TCAGGTAAGTTCTCCGCCTCTTCCTGAATGCACCCCCCCCCTCCTCCTCCTCCCTCCCCGATCCTGTCTCCCCCCCAGAACACTCAGCACAACCCTTTCACCGACACACCCAGCCCTCCTCATTATCGCCACAGTCATACTCATGCCCTCGCTTTAACTCAAGCACCAGGCAGGTCGACAAGCAGGCCAGCTGCTCATGGTGTCCAAGTAGAAGCTTCTCAATAAAACTATTCAAAACACAGATCTCCAGAGACAGGAAGCAAAACAACACTCACAATGACAAAGTGAACACAGGGGTAATCAGGGCGGTTTCTCTAAAAGCTTCGGCTGTTTTAAAATGACACTTGAACCCCCTGAGACACAATCTTTGAGGCATTTTGATGTAATAAACATACAAATGTCAACAGTACTGTGTTTGTGTGTATATCTGTGATGTAATCCATCACTATACCTATATCTGTCTGTTTTGTTCTTGCTACTACCTCGATTGCAAACTGCTGCAGTGTGTTTTTTTGACCCAGCAGCTTATCCACAAGCCAACATGCACAGTCCTTCTTGAAAGTGACAACTGTTTGTGGGTCCAGCATCTATTTTTGCACTGGAAGACTTTTTTTAAAATTATTTTTCTTTGATATTTTGACATTAACTGCAATGCAGGGTGACTCGCATCACTGATTGTCAATGAGAGCTCATTGGCTGAAGAGTTTCATCTGACTGATCCTCCTCCATCCAGCTCCTTGCATGGCTTCGCTGATGAACGGTTTCAACAGCTCAGCTCTCCATCCCCCCTTTTTCATTCATGGCTGTTTGTTTGTCAGCGGACGACAACACCATGACGACAACACCTGAGCCAGGAGCTCCCTCCTCACAACCCCTTGACTTTTCAGAAAAACTAAAGAGCTCGCTTTCTCTCACACACTCACACACACACACACACACACACTTTTGAGCACTCGCAGTTTACCAGCCACACCTTCCATCCACCTCAGCATCTCCACCTTTACGTCATCAACCATCACAGACACACACACACCGGCACCATGCATACACCCCCCCGCCCCCAACCCCCACCCTTCCTGAAACCCCCGCTTTGCAGAGGCCCCTGCCTGCCCTGGCTGCACTCCTGGCTCACTGGCACCGCCCTGCTGGATGGAAGAGGCAATGAACAGGCTAAGCAAGAGCGATCTTCCGCAGCTTTTCTCCGTGTCTCTTAGTTTTCGAAACACATCCTCTGCTCCCACCCCCTGCACTTTTATGACTTTTATTTAGTTCTTTTCCTTTCTCCCAGTGATGGCTGTTGACCTCTGACCTCAAACACTCAGTGTCAGAGTTTTCCTCTAGTATCTCTGGTAGTATGTTCGTAGACTCTGTGTCCCATGTCTTGTCCTGTGACATTTGGCCATGGATACATGTAGCTAGTTCTCTCGCCATGTTCATCGTGTAGATGCCTCTCATTTGTGAAGAACGTGAACAAATCCAGTAGAGTAGAACAGAGCCACCCATTCTCCGAGCCATGAGACGCATACAGCTGTTGAGTGTTTGAGGTTATGGCTGAAACATGATCAAAAAAAAGGCCAGCATGAACTTGGATGTGAGTGAGAGTGAAATCTGCATTCAGCCATCTGTGTGATTCATGCATGATAGAGAGAGTGTGCATGGCAAACGTGAGGATTTTTAGCGGCGCCCTCCCTCTCGGTAACTAATGTTCACACTCCTCTTCTGCCCCTCCCCCTTTCACTGTTTTTCTATCCCCTTAGCACCCGTAAACAAAACTACATGATGAACTTTGCCAGACAGACCGCCGGCCGTCACTACTACAGCCGCAAGAGGCGGGCACTGCAACAGCGTGCCTGAACCCAGCAAGAAGGGAGTCGCCCTCTGACCTGCCAATCACACATCGACCCCGCCATGTTCATCCTTTTTCATCCTGTCGAGTCCCATCCACCGGTGGATTCCAGTCAGCCGAAGACTTCCCTCATCCGTTCCTCCCCTCCCTCTGCCACAAACAGTTTTCGACAGCCGTTATAGGCCTTCCCAACCACACGGGTCGGGGGGATCGAAACTCAGAAGAAAAGGGCAAAGCGGCCATTTGTTTACTTATTTAATGGACGATCAGAGTTTAGTTGTTTGGTAATTGTTGCTGTGGTTCTTCTGAATCCCACCTCCGAAAACCCTTCCCCATCCCTCCCTTCTCCCTCCCTTCCTCCCTCCATTCATCCTCCTCCTCTTACCACACTGTGAAATTGAGAGATAATATATCACTGCTGAACTGACCAGCCCCTCGGGAGAGTTTCCTCCTCGTTCCACTGAGCCGCCGAGAGGAGGACCACTCCACTGCCGCCAACCAGTAAGCCAGGAGAAAGACCATGACGATGATACTGACCATAGAGAGGAAACCTGTGATGAAGCTACAAAAAACAAAAAAAAAGGAAAAAGGAAAAAAAAAGTACTGTGTTCTTGCTGTTCTGTGTGTCTGTGGGTTCTTTTTGTGATGAGTTGACTGTGGTGTTCTGTTCATTTGTTCGTTCGTTTTCTACTAATTCATATGCTTTTAATGGGGGGAGGGGGATGCTGGGTTATGTTTCTTTTCCCTGGTTAACCTGGAATGGATGTGGGCGGGGTGACAAAAAAAAAAAAGCCCGGCCCCCAACGGAAGAAGGAACGAACAAACGATTTGCACGACGGGAAAAAAGGAGAAAACAAGAAAAAAATTAAAGACTGAAAATGATTTTTTTTTTTTTTTTTTTTTTACCATTTTTTTATATATGTTGGTTCCCGAAAATACAGATATTTATGGTAAATGGTTCTTCACGTAACCTATTTAAGATGCACTGTGCGTGAAATCTGTATGTTATTTTCTAGTGTTAAGTTATTAGGCAGTCGAGTGAGGCTCTCAGACTGCATCATCTCCTCTCTTCCTTCTCTTGTGATGTTTCCCCTTCTCCCCATTTCTCTCTCTCTCTCTCTCTTTCTCTCTCTCTCTCTCCCTCTCTCTCTCTCTCTGCTGATTTCTGATACCTGGAGGTGAGGCTCTCTTAGTGTTGTTTTTTGAAGTCTGTGTAATATGGACCCTCTGCCCTCAGTGTAACTCCAGTATAGCAATCTCCTGTATATATATGTATATCCACAATGGGGAGACCCAGCAGCCTTATAAAGGGAAATAAAGAACTGTCCAAACCTCAAACTGTACACATCGCTTCAGCTGCTTTTATTTCATTCAATACAGATCAGGCTGGTTTTAGAAACGTCAGCACTTCCACAATGATCCACATCCTACATGTTGTCTGTACAAACTATAGACTTTATATATGATGGACAACTTGGTCCCGCCTCCCGCCAGTATACGGATTTGAAGCCGAAAAGCTCTCGGTATTTCCGCGATTTTTCTCCACTTCCTGAAACCAACATTGCGCTGTACTATTGTTCGCACTTCACCACTTGCACAGTAGCATTGTTCGATTCAGCCGGAGAGTCGCTGTGATGGCGCTCGGCTCAAACAGCGTATCCCTTGGGTGAGCTACGCAATCTTTGAACGGAACCACGGAAGTTACCGATGCAAAAAAAAACTGAAGCCCACTGCAAATAAAAAGAAGAAACAGTGCAGTTTAAAAAAAAAGCCACAACCGGAAGTTAATGACGCAAAAAAAAAAATTGCCAATGCAAGAAGGAAAAGTTACTGCAAAAATAAAAGTGTTTTACAATCTAGTCACAGAAGACGACAGCGACAAGACAAGCAAAGACGTAAGTGGAAAGGTTATTGTTTATTTTTGTTTCGTGTGCTTTTCAATGTGTCATTTGGTTAGGCCATGTGGCGCCTGAGTCGATATGAAGTTGAACTGGATGCCAGTGTAGTGTTAGCTTCAGCTAACATGGGAAACCCACTACGCCCTAAAAGACCATCCTCGAGAGGAGAATCGAGTTCGATAGCTTTACAGTTCAGTTGTTTCACTCATAGAAATAAGTACGCAGACCCCTCGCTTTTTTCATTATTGTGTCCCCAGCAGCTCACTTCCATTGAGGCTTTTTTTTATCTGCATTCTTTTATTTTCGCAGTGACTAACTCTTCATCGTTAACTTTTGTTGCACCTTTTTTTTTGCATTCTTTTTTATTTGCAGCAGTGGCGGTTCTCAGCCACCATAGTATCAAGTGTCAATCATAGAAAACATAAAACCCCTAATAACTTTAAAAATGGAGCTGCACAGAAAAAAAAGAGGACTTGAGCACAAACCTGTCTTACAGGAACTACGTGTCAACATTAAAAGCAGGGGGCAGAAAAATGTATGTTCTGTGTAATAAATTTCTGAAGTTTGTCCAGCCCATCACCAGAGGGTGCTGTTCTCATGGGGGCTTCACCCAGCGAGGAAGCAGACGCTGTCCATTCTATATACAGTCTGTGAGACGAACACACATGACCTCAAATTTTATTTTGCAAAGTTTTTGACAGGTTCCACTCTCTCCTCCAAGTTCATGCATTCTGTTATTTATAGCAGCTTAATGTATGTGAAATTGAAAAATAAACTGGTTATCAAGAAACAATGCCATGTATTTGTGGCTTATTAATTTGTGGCAGAAACATCAGGCTATATCAGGAAATAGAAACAGTCATCATAAGAAGGACAAGTTGATTAATCTGTCAGTCTTTTACGGAGTTTGTTGATAAAAGTTAGTTTATTTTCAGCCTTATCTTGACTGTGATTCTGTGCATGTGATAGAAAGTTTTTGAAATGTTCAGGAAAAAGGAAAGTATAAAGATAGTGACTCAAAAATATTTATTTAATCATCATAAAACATTTTCTTGTTAAGAAAATCTAAATTAAAAATCTCTGGCATCACCTTGGTGCACACCTCAGTGTTTCCAGACTGGGTAAACACACAGGAGCTCTGCAGATCCTCTACATTGCTTCATGCTGAGGCTGCTGAGACGCCAAAGTACCCCCCACTCTTTTAAAAGAGTTCACCTCCATGACATGAACCCCAAAGAAGTCTATAGAGTCCTAAATCACATGCTGCCAGCCATCACCGCGACAGTCATCAGTGCTGCAGTGATGTACAGTGATGTGGCCTCCACCCTTGGGCTGGAGTTACAGTACGGCCCATCACAGCAGCTGTAGCTCATGGTGTAGATGGTTCCTTTGAGGCGGATCTTGTGCACCTGGCTGCAGTCCTTCTTCGCCATGCAGCCCCTTCCTGTCAGGGCGCTGTGGTTTCCGTAGCGACCATCCGCCTTGTAGCACAGCTCATCAGGGGGGCACTCCGTCTCAACGAGCTCAAACTTCTCCTCCTTCTCCAGGACGGGGCTGTAGTAGCACCGCAGGTTGGCGCAGAGGAGGGAGGGGATGAAGTAGAAGCACAACAGAGCGACACGCAGAGGGAGCAACATGTTCAGCCTGCAAATGAAGAGAATGATGACGAAGATTCACTCGAATCAATAATAATAATAAGTGCTCATCTACAATTTAGCACTGCTCTTAAGTGGAGGTAAATCACCTGTAACAGATCTGTCAAGTTCTTAAAAAAACACCAGATCCTTCTCACTCAGATCACTTCTTTGGTGCGACACATCAATCCTCATATTTAAACTCTTCTTTGCAAGTCTGCTTTGTGGACAACCCTCCATCATTTTCCTCCTTTTTAAAATCTTTCAAAGTGACTCATTAACCTCGACTCTGACACAGGTGTTGATGATCTCTGCTGATTGTCACATTAAAGCAGTCAGAGCTGCAAAAACAGGAAATAAAAGCAGAAATAATCTCACTGTGCGACTTCAAACAACTATTACAAAGACCTACCTTGGCATTTTTAAGATCTTTACTCCAGTTTAGCAGACAAAACCTCTCAAAGCTCCTTCATCTGATGAACTCACTTCTCACCACTGACTCCAGATCTTCTTGCTCAGGCCACACCTCCCTGCACACCTGTTTGAAAAATCCACACAGAGGAACTACACGCAGTTGAAAGCTGATCAAAGTGCTTTTATTGTGCTGCATTCATGGTTTCAGAGATGACTGACAAATCCACCTTTAAACATTCGAGCCACCAGCACCGATGGATTTCTCTATATCAAACATCATTGAGTAGAAATATAAAAAGTCTCAATCACGAAAAAACATTTGTCTGAATGTTTCCCTCTTGTGGAGACTCAGGTGAGTGTCCTCGCTTTAGAGCAAGTCTATGATGCAGCGGCAGTTTATGTGGAGCTTTTTGATGATGGGTAATCTGCACATGAATCCCACGGCTCTGCGTCAAGGCCCTTATTGATATCATTGGGACCTAATCTGCCTGCCATCTTCCTCAGCAGTGTTTTCAAGCTGAAGGCAGATTTCAGGTGCTCATTGCATTTGTTTTTGCAGCAGCAGCTGTGGCTGACGTTGAATTCAACGCCTCGATAAGAGATTATTTCGTGGGAGCCGCAGAGGTGGGAGTCCAGGCAGCCCTGGGACGACAGCATGTGGACGGATCCGTAGTGGCCTCTGGAGTTGGAACAGCGCTGGTGAGGCAGACACTGGCTTGTAATGTTGGGGCAGGGCTTGCCTTTCTGCTGCAATGGACAGTGGTAACACGAGAGGCCGTCCAGGCTCAGAGCGGGGAGGAGGAGAGCTGACGCCAACAGGATGGAAGTCAGGAACCGGTGTGACCCCAAAGGATGGACATCAGGACTAAAGTAAATTCACACACACAGATAAAAACAAAGATACACACTGATAAAAATACTTTCATATCATAAATCAAGTGAGTTTGTTAGGTGTGCTGGTCACCTGCTCTGTCTTTGGTCCATTTGTGTCTCTGTAAAAGTCATCTTCTCATGTGAGGAAGTGTCAGAGTGTGAGGAACCTCCAAAGATCAGCAAACCTGCTGATTATCAAGCAGGACCAGGTGTGTCTTTGGAGCTTTTTGAGCTTCTTCTATACATTTTAATCAGACATCCATACATGGAAAAAGAGCATTCAAACTTGATTTTAGCTTTTAGTTTATTTCCCAAAAAGAGAACATCGCCTGACATGTTAAACTTTTAGTAGCTACAGACCCTAAAAGAAGAAAAGAGGAGAAAAAGAAATAAGAAAGGATGAGAGTGCCATCTGCTGGGCGGTGTGGAAAACAATTTGAGGACATGAAATGATCTGATGTGATGCTGGGAGTCATTTTTTATATGTCTCTTTTATAATTTTGAGGAAGCAGACAGTCTATTTGTTTCGTCTTCTTTTATAACAAGGAGGAAGATCTTTCCTCCTCTTCCTCTTCTTGTTCACATTCCTCTGTCCGTCTTGAGTTACCGCTCATGTTCCATAATCAGCTGACAAGAAGAGCTTCCCCTCCTTGTACAGAGGTTCCTATGAAAGAAAATAGTTCTGTGTAAGTCTGAGTTTCATAAACACCCGCTGATGTTGTGAAATGTTTGTTTATTGTATATTTTAAAGTCTTCTTACAGTCAGCCCCTCCTCATCCTCTTTATATTCATCCCCCCAGTCGTCTTGTTCCTCTGCAGGGTCGTAGCTGTACAGGGGGATCAGCCTGTGACGCAGATCGTCTAATCTGCAGCAAAACAAACAAGATCCTGGCTGTGAGAAAAAACTAAAACATAAAATGATCTGATGCTTCAAATTCAGATTCAACTGACCTCTGTCTCCTCCTGATATAAACAACCTGAAGAGGAGAATAATGAAAACACGTTAGAAGACAGAGCCATAATGAAACAGAGTACCACTGAAGTGAGGAGTGCTCTTACCACGGCCACTATACATCCTGTCAGCGTGAGCACCATGAAAAGGATGAGGACAGAGTACCCGGGAAATCCAGGTTTGCCAATTGTGGGTGAAATATGAGCAGTGGTGTGGTTGAATTGCATTTCCTCCTGCTCTGTCTTGTCCGTCATACACCCTCTCTCTTCACGGAGCACCTCAGCTGACACCTCTGTGACACATTCAGTGGAGTGCTGCTGCTAACATTCCCCCCCTGAAAGGCCACCACAGACTGTCCCGTCTCAGCACAGATAGACTCAAACTACTGCTCTGGAGGGTTAAAGAGAGCACAAATGTCTCAGATGAAGACAGAGGATGAAGTATTAATGTCTAAAAAGCTCAAGATGAGATAAATTATTGAGGGAATTCTTACCTTTTGGTGTCACATTTGGAGTACCGAGCCATGTTTCCTTCTCGCTGCTTTCATTTCTCCTCTCATTAGAGAGACATACCTCAACCTGCTCAATGACATTCCTGGGTGAGGAGTGGGTATGAAGCAGCATCTTTGTGTGGTTGAACCGGATAGATGCAAAGAAAGTCGTCTATTTTTAATCACGGATCTATGAAACTCTTGAGAGATAGTTGGCATCACTTTAATCAGCAAAGGTGGAAAAAAAACTGTCAGTGTGTCTGGATTGTTTTGAGAATCTGAAGCAGGAACCGGTCTGCGCTCTCTGAACTAACACACACACTTACACACATGTGGTGTTGTGTCTTTTCCAGCAGAGGGAGGGTTGTGTGAAGAGGGGAGTGTCAGCAACAGGAAACAGATGGGAGGCTCACTCAATGTTTTACAGGTCTAACTCGCTGAGCATGGCTTCAGTCAAGTATTCACCTTGTCGACAAGAGGGTGGCTCTCAGGGTGAGTTATCATGAAAATGGTTCACAATACTTTACAGTGAGATGAAGTTTAGTGTTTAAAAGTAATCTGAAACTGTGTATGATCTGTTTATTCATGAGACGTGTCTGTTTCTGTTGCTTTCAGTTTCTACTCCTCAGAATTTTAATCTTGATCAACTCTGTTTATTTCTACTTTGAGGTTTAATGTGATAACTGAATATTTCTAGCTGTTTTCTGTTTCTCACACAAAGGTTCGCCTGAAACAGTGTGGCGCGCATTGTCTCGATTTGAAAGCTGGTTAATTATTAGACCAAGATAAACCTCCAGGTTCTCTGGAGTCCTGTCATAAAGCAGCTCACTTTTCCTGCCTGGAAGGAGCCTCATAAACCAAAGTGATTGCTTTCTAATTCTGCTTTTTCTTATTATTCTCTGGTAAACTTAGTCTGATGTACTTTGCCTGTGTTTTAACTGTGCAGAAAAACAAAGAAAGATGTACTGATAAAGACAAAGTACACACGAGTTAGAAAAAGGCCCCGAGGTCTTTTTAAACAACCGGCCTAACACTGAAAATAAGAACAGCAGTTTATTTGTCAGGCACAGTTAGAGAGACACTCAATTTTAACACTTTCAGGACTGACAAAAACACATTTTCTTCATTCAACAGAATCAGAAATGAGGAGTAACTATGAGGTGGAGCAGAACAGCTGATCCAAATGACCGGACTGGACCTCTGTGGTTCTGAGGACATGCTGAGAGTTTGAAACAGACGCATCCAGGAAGACGAGCACAACTTCCTTAAAATGTGATGGATCCTTCTGACAAGGAGAATGGAAGACTACAGAGACAAGACGCGACAGACTCGGACCTCCCTTTGCCTCTTACTGAGGACCCACTGTCAAAGCATATTTATGAGGACATTCATGGAGCCGTCCAAACACATTTGTACGAACTCAGCTCGACTGAATCTCAACCCAAACCCTCAGGTGGTCTCATGGGGGACAGTGGAGGAGGAGGTGCAGGTAATACAGACCAAGACAGCAAAAAAGTGCCTCCACCAATCCCAAGTCGTCCTCCTGCACTCCGAACCAGACTTCCTAGTGCATGTCTGGAAGGTATTCAAGTCCCGCCTCCTGTGCCCCCCAGGACACGACCGCCCCCCAGCAACAACAAAAAGAAGTTTACCTTTGACTTCGCCGAACCTGCTCACAAACTGAACCGATCCAGGACCGAAGTAGACAACGTGAGTAACTTTCTCTTTCCCCCCCCAGCCAGGACTGAAAACTCTTCTCAGATTTAAGCCCAAGTAAGTTATTTAAATGAGTAAAATAAAAAAGAGAGTTTTTCTTTTCATACCAGGACCCATGGGCCATCGCTCTCATAAACACTCCAGAGGGTAGCACCAAGAGTCTGTCTTCGTTTTGTGCTGCAACTTCCAAGTAAGCGGGTGTATGAATGTCAGATTGTTCATATTTAAAGTGGTTAAAATTCAAAATCATCTTAATTCATGAGTGAAAAAAACATAAAAGAAAATAGAAATATTTTAATTTTTCCTTGTGTTAAATGTGTCATTCGTCCAGCTTTTTAATCCTACTCTTTTGTTTGCAGAAAATCCCGTCATCAAATCATTTTGCTGGATTTGTTTTGTCATAACCTGTTTTTGTTGTTTGTTATAACTGACAGTTTTACAAAGTCATTGTTGTTTTTGTGCTTTTAATAAACACAATAACTTTTTTATGCTTGTTCTGAAGTTTTATCTGTTAAACATCTGAGCTCACCTGTCCAAACACCTTTTGTTTTCACACCTGCCTGTCTGTTCTGTGTCTGGCAGGTTACTGTCACGGTACAAGCACACAGACAGAGTTCATAACCCTGGTGTAGTGTGGGCTCGGGTGTTACACATCCACCCCGCCCTGCTGCAGGAGGTGGAGGTAAACATAAGTGTCGCCAGAGACTGGGACAACCACCAGCTCCCCTTCCCCATCACAGGTAAGACAGAATTTCAGATATTTCCACAATACTTACAGTCAATTTAATTTTAATGTCTTTCTCTCTCTATTTATTTATTTAGCACAGATTAAAAATGTTTATGCTTATACAGAGTTTCATTCCCGTCAGGGCAGTGAAGGTACAGGTTGTAAACAACAAAGTAACTCGGACATAGACAGGTCATAGATATACATTGAGTAGGGAAAGGTCAAAACATATACAAATTGTTATAAATAGAACATAGACCAATCATCAACCAGAGATAGAGACAATATAAGTATACATAAAAAGGAAAGAAACATGATCATAATAAATAATGATGTGTTGAAGGCATGATTCAATGAGATTTCAAAGATATTTTAAAGGATTTGAAGGATAATATTGATTTTAGAGATGCATCCAGATTATTCCATAGTTTCGGTCCTTTAAAAGTAATATTAGACTCAAAGGTGACCTCAAGCACACATCTTAATAAATACCATTTAATATTGCAAATTATGAATTAATAACAAAAATGTATCCAGTTAGCGAATAAAGTGCAGAAACAGGCGTCACAGATAACAGCTTAAAATAATTTAGAAATAGATTAAAACAATTATCATGCACTGAGATCGGACAGTTTTTAATCACTCTGAAGTGTGTTGCTTGTAGGTCTCCTTTGATTTCATTATTTCACAAGTAAAAATTAACAAAAGTGTAACAGTTACATTTTAAAGAACAGAACTTGGAACAGTTTTTGTTGTTTTTTCCAAACTTCATTGTTGTAGCAGCGGTGCACTTCTGTTTTATTTTTTCTTTAAAATACAAAAGATTATTCTTGTAAGTCAGTGCATGTTAAACTGTCAAGGAACAGGAAACAACTTTTATGATAAAAACAATAAGCTAACAGTAACCAACCAGACTCAATGTATCATAACTGAAATCACATCTGAAGGCGTTTAAATCTTGACTGATATTTTTGATTGGTATTCCAGTAACTTGTCGAGAAAAAAACTAAATATGTATGACTGACGGTGGTGCAGAAGTAAGAAACAGCAGGGAATTAAAAATGTGAGATACTGCAGATCATGGGATTATTTACTCTGTTGAATTTCTCTGTTGATGTTTGTTTGTTTGGTTTTACAGTCTTTGTTGACTCTGCGGCTCATTCTTCAGTCACTGCACGTGTGGGCAGAAGTGTGTGTGTGTGTGGACTCTGAACTTTGTATCTCTTTCTCAGTCAACAGGACCGTGAAGAGCCTGATTGATGAAGTCTTCCTGCTGTTGGACATCACTCCCAGCACGAGTGAAGATTACGTTTTAAAACTGTGCGACTCTGACGAGTTCCTCCAAAAGTAAGTCCCAGATCTCACAGATCTCACAGCTATGAACTTAAGATCTCTAGAGTCTGATGTTTATTCAACGTACACGCTGTTTTTCTACTTTTTTGTCAATCTTTTCAGTGACGAACTCCTGGGTATGCATGAGATTATTCAGACTTCCTGCAAGCTCGAACAAGAGGTTTCTCTCCGGCTCCTCCACTTGAACAAACTCAGACACTGCCTGCCCAGAGATGTAAGCCAGATCGAACTTCTTCTGTCTTGCCACCAACTGAGAAAATCATTCACTGAGAAGGGGCCGGCCTCTCTTGAGTCCTGACATATCTCTTTCATGAACACTCGTGCCTGGCTCCTGGCCAGTTTGTTATTATCAGAGTTCTTGTGGCTGTAAAAGCCTCCACCCTCAGCTCTTGACTTTGTTCTGTTTACACATCACGTCATAGCTGGTGACATTTAGCTGAGCAAATGAAAATAGAATAAAGGTGAACCTCGCCATGAGAAGGAAATAAATGACTTTGCATGTATCATCAGACATTCTTTGAATATCTATAAAAGACTGTTTTGATCTGCTGTATTTTAATCTGTCGCTCTTTCAGGAGGAGGACGATAGAACGCCATGTCAACTGTACCCTCTCCTGCGTCCCGCCTGTGTGCACAACACCTGCAAGTAAGAGGAGAAGCTGCTCTGAATCCCACATCAGCTTTGTGAAATAGTTTTAAAACAACAACTGTTCACTGAGTCATGTGTCAACCAGTGTCTGTTTGTAGAAAACACTGGGAAGCCCTGCCCTGAGCTTTCTTTCTACATTGTTGTGCGTGTGTGTTTACCGTTTGGTCTCCTCTCAGGTTGAGCCTGCAGGATGTTCTCAGCAGCTACAACAGAGAAGTGACGGCTCTAATGAGAAGCAAGGTCAGTAAAGAGACAGAGACGCACATATCCAGCTGCACTTTACTGCCATACTTTGCATTTATTCCAGTGTGATATGCAAATGTCTGACATTTGTCTTTCATGCCTCTGATCTCGTTGCATATGTAGACTGGAATGAACACTAATGTAATCGTGGGCTGTGTTCGCACCATCAGCAATCTTCTGTGTGGGCTGTCGTGTCCGGAATTGGAGGATGCAATTGGGAGGCTGAACAGAATTAATCCAATTCCTCTGGTAGATATCAAACACACACACACACACACACACACACACACACACACTTTAGATAAAACTTTATATTAAGGTGGTTGTAATAAATATGTAATAAGCAGTGTTCCTACTTTAGATCCAGTGCCTGCAGAGGAGCTTTATTAGTGCATAATAAGTGCATAACAAAGTATTATAAGGCTTTTATATTTCCTTATGAAGTGTAATTAATGTAAAAAAATCTTATTAATGTTTATGACAGTGTTTAAACAATTAATAAGTTACTAATTAGTACATATAAGTCTCTTATAAGACACAATAAAGGTTTTTTTTAACCTTTTACATTGTTAGTCTTATAACTTAAAATTGTCTGTATTTTAAATCGTGTTTATTTTTGTGAAGCGTCTTTGAGCACCGGTAAAAGCGCATTATAAGTAAAATTTATTATTATTATTATTTTAATTATTTTTATTTTTATTATTATTATTTATTATGCCTCTATTAACACTTATATAGACTTATATAGACTTATATAGACCATCTTTGTTAATAAGAATCCAATAATAATAGTAAAAAGAATATTCCTTTATTGATCTTCATGGGGGAAATTTTTTTGTGACAGCAGCATCACAGACAAAGAGTTCAAAAATGCAGTTATAAAAATAAAGATCCTAATATTAAGAACTTAAATAAATGTAATAATTAAGAAAAAATGTAGAAAAATGAAGAAGGGAGAAGAAAAATAAAAAAAATCTACATAAGGTCTTTTAATGTCTTATAAGTGACTTATTACATATTAATTACAACTTATTACAACCACTTTAATATTAAGTGTCTCACACGCAATATTCTTGCTCTTAAGAGCTCAATCAATAACATCGACAACACTCCTTTTTTCCACAGAGTCATGATGAGATGGTTGAGTGTGAAACTGGTGAGTAGCTGGTTTGGTGTTTCAGTGCATGTGTTCAGGTCCAGGTTGTTACCTGTTTTTTTGCCCATCAATGCTCACTAAGTCGACTCAGAGTGCAGTGTTGAGTATTCCTGTGTTTTTACTGTCTTTTATTCTCTGGATTTTAGCGATGATCCTTCTCCACCACTCACTGATAAAAATCCTTCAGATCTTCTTCGACAACTTCCAGTCAGATTTCAGCTGTCAGAGAGCCACCAGCAGCCCAAGAACCCTTGACATTGAGTACAACACTGAAATCTTCCAGTTCAATATCGCTGCTCTCTACCAGCTGCAGCTCGCATGGCTGACCAAGTACGTGATGCATATGTTTCCTCTGTACAGTTGTACACATGGATGCACACAGATACACATGTAACCACAACTCTGCTTTCTCTTTCCTCTCCATCACTTGCAGTTACGAGTGCTTCTCTGTTTCCTGTGAGTTGACATACGGAGGAGTGAAGGTCTGTGACACCAGCGTTTCTGAAAATATCAGCACCGCTTTGTCTTTCGGAAACAAGATAAAGTGTAACCGCATGTAAGGACCAGATCTCTGAGTCTCTCTCTGTGTAACAGTTATTGTATCAAACCCACCTGCCCCCCTGAAATCACCCCAACATTTACATAAAAGAGAGTGGATTTCACAGAATCTGACTTTCATAAGCCTCCTCTTGTGCTTCCATATGTGGACCTTTATTAGAAATCTAATTTATGAATGCTAGCAGACATGAAAGAGTTGACTCGTAGAGGGATGGCTCCGCTAGAATAACCCTGTGTTTGTCTCATGTGTTTGTTTCTTTTATTCAGGATGGTGTTTCCTGTCCCGGTGAATCAGCTGCCGTATGAATGCATGTTGACATTTCGTCTCAAAGGCTCCAGGCGAGGCAAGACCCCGGAGCTTTTAGGCTGGGCTGTACTGCCTCTTTACAGAGACAGGTGGGTGCCCCTCACTGTTGACACCACCCTGAAAGCTTGTGGATTAGGCTGGGATATGATTTCTAATAACAGTGTGAAGAGTATCAGAAGTTCTGTTTTAGGCAGACTGTATAAGGGCTAAATGTTAATGAAACCTTTTTTAGGTTGTTAGCAAACGTAGCCAGAGAGAGTATGAAATGTATGGACATAAAATGACTTTGATGCCCCCCAGAACCACCAATAACTTACCATTTTTGAATTGATGGAGTGTCTATTTAAGGTTTTTAGGGAATTTCACAATCAAAACCACAGTGGGAAAATTTGCAGTGTTAACAGCAGGATAGGATCAGCTCAGCAAACATAGAATAAGTACAGACCTCATGCATATATTTGAGTTATTATACCTGTAGGTATTTGCAATTGTTATAAAATCCAGCCTGTCATAATGAACATAGAGGTAGCATTGAGTTATAGTCCTTTAGATGTGCTGGAAGAATCTGGGCTAAAGGGAGCAGGCCGGTAAAACAGTCTGACTGAAGGACCTGCGGTATCTCTCTGTTGCACACACTGTCACTGAAGGAGCAGCCCAGTCCTGTTACAGTGCTCTATAAGGGGTGGGAAACATTGTCCAAGAGAGATGATAGCTTAGCCATCATCCTCCTGTCCCCCACCACCTCTACAGGGGCCAGAGGGCGGCTCAGAACAGAGCGAGCCTTCCTCACTAATTTGTTCAGTCTGATCCTGTCTGCAGTCGTGATGCTGCTGCTCCAGAAATGCCTTTTTTTTTTTTTTAGCTTTGACCATGAAGGAGAAGATAAAACTGATGATTTTTGATGTCTGAAACCAGTGCCATAGGTTAGGTGTTTTTAAATTTGAAGTTAGTAACAGCACAATGTTGAAACAGTGCTCGTCTACATTTTCCTGTTAAACTGTTCAAAATGGCAGATTTTTGTGTAAAGCTCCTGTAAGTTTTTTTGACATCTAAGAAAAAGACTTGAATTTTTATTCTGATGAATTTTTATGACATCCAAATGCAAGCAAAATAATCAGACACAAGATTGGTGATTTTTAGATCCTAATTTTTAATGCCAGAAACTGGTTCCAGGGGGTAGAAATCAGCCAAGCAGCTGCAGAAACAGCTCTGTTATTACACTTTCAACACAAATTATCCACAATGAACGACTCATTTGACGGTCAGAAGTCAGCGAGGTGACGTTTTTTTGTCAGAGGACAAGAGAAGCAAAGACTGCTTTATTAACAGGAGGTGCCGAAATAGACACAAACCAAAAGTTCATCACAGGAGCTTTAAATTATGTACAAACTTGGCACCATGACCCATTTAACAATGGCACTCATGTTACTCTTTTGTTGTTTATCGATTGTAAGTTAGGGCTGTTTTGATCCTGCTGTCAAAATTTGTTCATTTTAAATGTTTAGGTCATTTAATTTTAATTATTTTGTTGTTATTATTACACACAAAACCACAATGCATACCTTTAAAAATTCTGCTACCTGATAATTTACCAAGAAGAGAGCTATAAAAATTGACATCCAGTGTTCAAACTCTCCTACAGGAGTCTGCTGATCGGGACTGTTCTGCTCAGTTTGTCCCCTCTGGCTGAGCCGTCGTCTCTTCCTTCTCCTGCCCTCTTTGACAGCCACAGGCAAGCAACCGGGGTCATAATACAGGTCAGTAACACAGGATATTTTTGCACCTTTTGAGTGAAACACAAAACAACAGTGTGTAACCTTCCCAATCATCCGTCCTCCTCGTTCCTCAGCTTGAGTTCCAGAATCAGACAGAGTGGAAGTACCAGAGGCCCATCGCGCTTCCTGGTTCAGCCATTTTTACTGAACCCTGTGAGGACTTACAGAAGAGAATGTTGGATGTTTCTAAGAAGCACTGCCTCTGCTTGTAAGTTTTAAAAAATCACAACATCCTATGAAGTCTGCAGGGTTTTGTGTTGCATCTTTCAGAGGAAGATTTTCTTGTTTTTATTTCTTGCACATCCTGAAAGTATCTCCTCTCCTCCTCCTCCAGTCTAACACAAAACGAGAAGTCTTTCCTTTGGGAGAAGCGTTACTGTAGCGACAGAGCCAGCACTTTCCTCCACCTGGTGCTGGGTGGAGCCCCCCAATGGCAGCCTGAGAACCTGACAGAAATTTACACTATTGTGGAAAACTGGCCCATCCATCAACCTGAGGAGGCCCTCTTCCTGCTCAGTGACAGGTACCTGACACACACACACACACACACACACACACACACACACACACACACACACACACACACACACACACACACACACACACACACACACACACACACAGTCTTACTCAAATAAAGAAACTGTTATTATGCAAAGCGACACCAGCAAGGACAAACAAAGAGGTAACATGCTGCACACGGAGAGGGGCTTATTTTTCCAACTAATAACACGGGTACTCTGAAAATCTCTTGATTTAACGCTGACAGAGCCAGTGTATGATAAACACTTGGTGTGAAAGAGCTCTGAAATATTTTGATGTGTCTTTTTCAGTTTCCATGATCAGACTGTGAGGAGGGCAGCTGTACAGTTCTTTGAGCAGATACCAGATGTAGAGCTGGAGGTCTTCCTGCCTCAGCTGGTTCAGGTGAGCAGATATCCACATCTCATGAGCAGTTTGAAACTCAGAGAGAGAATCATTATTAAAATGTCACACTTATCTCTATTTTTTTAATTGAGGTTGTATGAATTTCATGTTACTCATAAGTTTATTAGCCACACCAGATGCCAGCCAGTTCTGCCCACTCAGTAGCTGCATTTACAAGGGCACAAATAATCGGAACAAAAGGCCCGATCGGAATAAAAAAATGTGTCATATAAAAATGTCGATCGAAAGATTCTGATCCAACTCAGCTCAACCAGAAAGAAATTGTATTCAAATCGAGAGAGGTGGTTTATGCCAATCGTTATTCCGAAACACGTCCATTAAACACTTATTCCGATCATGACCCTCTTATCTGACTCGATCTTCATTCTTTAGCCTTTGGCTTATTTATCGAGGTCAGTACAGGAGGTTTACTAACAACACTCTGGCATAAAACACAACCGCAGATACCGTGTCTGCTCCCCAGGTAACATAACAAGGCGTACATACAGCGTAATGATGTCACATCTGCATGCACAGTGCCACTTTTGACAGAGCAGTAAAATAAGTACACAAGGGCGCCATCTAGTGACAACATTTAACAGGGGGAAAACTCCTGAACTGGATGAAGTGAGCCACTACTGAGTTTGTTGGTTTGTTGAGAGCACAGGCGTTAATACAAATCTTCTTCTGTGGTTGTTTTAGCAAAATCAGACAACTCTGCGCTTGTCCAAATACTTCTAATCTGATGCATGTACACGCACGTCATGATCGGATTATTTGATTTTGCACTATTATAAACAGTGGATTCAGATTATCTGATCCCTCAAATTTTTAATCGGATTAAGAAATTTTGCGCATGTAAACGTGGCCTCTGAGAGAGAATCATTTTTACAATGTCACACTTATCTAATTTTCATACTCATTATGTCTGTGCCATTTAGAAGTTACTGCAGTCAAAGGTTATATTTAACTGTTTAACAGTAAAACCGATTAAAGGGATATTTCAGCGTTTTTGAGCTGAGGTTGTTTGAGTTTCGTGTTACACTTTTCAGGGATCCCTTCCAAGCCATTAATCTTGGTTTGAGTGGATAATGATGTGTGGTTATATGGCCTGCTTGCTTAAACAGTCATCTTGTCCTGCAGGCTTTTAAGAGTGAGTGGAAGTTGGATGGACCTTTGGTGGTGATGCTTTTGGAGAGATCACTGAAGAGCATACGGATCGCCCAGCAGCTGTACTGGTGAGCAACACGATGATACATCATTAACAAAAAACTGGGACGTTTCAGTCACCAGTAATGATGAAAAATGTATCCGTGGTGGCACTACCTTCAGCAACATTGACATTTTGTGTAATATTTTGCCATATATACCGTGATTGCAGGCTTCTGGAGGACGCCCACACTGACCTGTACTATCAGAGCTGGTTCAGTAAGGTCCAGGCGGCTCTGCAGCACTGCGTCGGTCGGGCACTGAGGCAAGAACTGGAGAACGAAACCCGCCTGGTGTCTGTCCTCATGCAGGTGGCGGAAAAAGTCCGAACTGCTGAAAAGGCCCGTCGTAAGGTCAGCAGACTCCTAATCCTAAATTATGTTATTATTATGAAGACATTTAAATTTGTCAGCTCTTCTCATTTGATTAATTCTGCGCAGATGATTTTAATGAAAGAGAGATGGAAGATCGATAACTTCTTCAAAGATGGGATCGGCTGCTGTCTACCTCTGGATCCTGCAGTACATATAAAAGCACTGAATGTGGATGTAAGGATGTTTGTCACACATCATAACTGGAGTCTGATACGAACTGAGTTATGTCGTATTTTAGAGCACTAACTCCTGTTATCTTTATAACAGGCCTGTAAGTTTTACAACTCCAATGCTGCTCCTCTGGGGATCTCATTCATCTGCTCTGACCATCTGGCCAAGAACTTCAGTGTCATCTGCAAGGTTTGCTGATGAATTGATCCACACAGAGCCTAATACAAGAACATTTTAACTCCCTAAAACAAGCTTTAAATAGTTCTTCTTACTATAATAAATAATAATATGATGAGATTGAATCTGGTTACAGCTCACATCAGGTTGTTGTTTCTGAAGGTGTCACACATTGCTGCCAGCCGCATGTCCTGATTAGTTCATTAATCTGTTAGGTGTGTTTTTTTGAAGACAGGGGACAACCTTCAACAGGACATGCTGGTTCTTCAGATTGTGCGTGTGATGGACAGGATTTGGCTCCAGGAAGGGCTGGACATGCAGATGATCATCTACAGATGTCTTTCTACAGGCAAAGCTCAGGGTCAGTTTGTCTTGTGATCATCATAACATTTTCTTTGTCTTTGTCTCTGTGGCTTCGGGTCAGTGCTTTTCTAAATAAACTTTGTGTATGTGTGTGTGTTAGGTTTGGTGGAGCTGGTTCCAGAGGCAGTGACCCTGGGGAAGATTCATCAGGAGTGGGGTCTGGGTGGCACCTTTCGTGAAGACTCACTGGAGAAATGGTTTCATATGTGGAACAGAACTAAGGAGAACTACGAGAAGGTGAAAACCATTATAAATGAAATATTAGATAACTGGTACGCTTGTCTGTGCTGGCTTTGCTGCATGTTTTTATCACACGGTGTGACTCCTGGTGTGTGTGTGTGTGTGTGTGTGTGTGTGTGCAGGCTGTGAACAACTTCATTCAGTCATGTGCGGGATGGTGTGTCGCCACCTTTATCCTGGGAATCTGCGACCGACACAATGATAACATCATGCTGAAACACAGCGGACACATGTTTCATATCGACTTTGGCAAGATTATGGGCAATGCACAGAAGTTTGGGAGCTTTAAAAGGTGCGGTAATAAAAAAAAAAGGTGCATTTTGCTGAGAAAAAAGCAGGATGCAGAAGAGTTTAAAGGTGTTTTTTTTCGTTTGTAGGGACCGATCTCCGTTCATTTTTACATCTGAGATGCAGCACTTCATCACAGGCGGAGGGCAGAAGCCTCAACGGCTGCATCGCTTTGTGGAAGTCTGCTGTGAAGCTTACAACATTATCAGAAGGCGCTCTGCACTGATACTCGGCCTGTTGGAGCTGGTAAGATCAATCACAAAGGGTCTAGTACCTCACACAAGAGACGATCATATCACCAAGAAGAAATTAATGTAAAGTACGTCTGTGGTTTCCAGATGCTACGAGCAGGAATGCCAGAACTGAAGGACTCGAATGACCTGCAGTACGTCCAGAACAACCTCAGACCTCATGACACTGACCTGGAGGCCACGTCCTACTTTACACGGTAAACTGATGCAAACCTCATGGATAAACTCTCGGAGGGATCCCACTGAATCAAATTCATTTTTCTTGCATAACTGTTTGTTTACTTGATGATGCAGGAAAATAAAGGAGAGCATGGCCTGTGTTGCGGTCAAGTTCAACTTCCTGACACACACCATGGCTCAAGGGAAGAAAGCAGAGCTGCAAACCCGGGACGGCATCCCTGCTCCAATCACCAACATCCAAGAAGCAGTCATACAGGGATACATCATCAGGGGCAAAGATGTGGTGAGGGAGCTTGAAATACTTAGAAAATGGTTTGTTTTTAAGACTGAAACTTTGTCTGATGCACTGAGGAGCTTTGTGTGAACCATAGACTGTATATAGAATGGACGCCATCTGCCTCCTCGCTGGGTGAAGCCACTCCAAGAACAGCACCCTCTGGTGACAGGCTGCAGTATAGGTCGTAAATCCCGCCTCCGCCAGCAAAGCTTATGGAGCTGTGGACAAACTTTAGAAATTTATTACACAGAACATGAATTTTTCTCCCCCTTGCTTGTGATGTTGACATGTAGTTACTGTAAGACTGGTTTGTGCTCTAGTCCTTTTTTTTCTGTGCAGCTCCGTTTTTAAAGGTTATTAGGGGGTTCATGTTTTCTATGATTGACACCTGATACAGCCTATGGGTGTTCAGGGATTGCGTAGTTCACCCGGGGGATATGCTGTTTGAGCCGAGCGTCATCACAGCGACTCTCGACGACTCTCTCGCCGAATGCGTACAACACTGCTGCGCAGCCCTGGTTTCAGGAAATGAAGAAGAATTGCGGAAATACAGAGAGATTTTTGGCTTCAAATCTGTGTACTGGCGGTAGGCGGAACTAAGTTGTCCATAGTATATACAGTCTATGGTTTGGACCCAGTAGCAATAGGGCACTGAGTGCTGACAAACACACAGAGTGCTTGTTTGTTCTGCTGTCACTTTTTGATTTAAGTCCGTCCGTCACTTCTTACTGATATTGATTAGTCTGTATTGCTTTTTGGTCAGAATAGTCGTCTTGATATCAAGTTGAATTTTTTATTTGTTTTTATTTATTTTTTTAACCTTTATTTAACCAGGTAAACTCTCATTGAGATCATGATCTCATTTACAAAGGCGACCTGGCCAATAAGTCAGCACCACACGTCATAATCAAAGCAAATTCTAGAAAAAACTAGAGCATTAAATAACAAGCAATAGATATAATGGAACCAACAAATTCACGGTTAAAGTGCAACAATAAATGTTGGGACAATAACAATTTAAAAACACAGGAATTGTTCATAGGATTCTCACTGCTTAGTGAATAAAATGGAACAAAAATCCTTAAATGAAACCAGTTCTGACGTTTTCAGTTCTGTTTGTTTAGTGTTTCAGGCTGTGGGGGCAGCAGAACAAAAAGCTCGTCTCCCCAATTCAGTTCGGATTTTTAGATGATAAGTTGCACAGGACTGTAAGGCAAAGGCACTTCTTGATTCATGCAGAAGAAAACAGAAGTAGGATGAATAGAGCTTAGGTTCACTCACCCAGATTCAGCCTATAGCAGATTAAGTGAAAATCTGTTGACATGTTTGATTCGCTCTAAATCCTAACAGGATCTCATGTTGTGTTTGAATTGTAGATCTATGACCTGAGAGTAAACATTCATGACGGTTATCTGAACAGCGAAAAGACCTATGGACAGTTTGAGTTGATCCATAAGGAGCTGCAGAAATACTTCATTGAATCCATGATGCCTCCGTGAGAGAAGAAACACGCATTTAACATACAGCACTATTTTATTTTGAAGCTTTTTCTTTCACAATAAGGGCGCATGTCCTAACTCTTCATCCTTGTAGGTTTCCAAGATGGTATCAGCTGTCATTCACCCCAACCAGGAGGATGTCTCTGCTGAATAAATACCTAAAGCAGCTTTTTGAAGGACCTTGCAAAGGAGTGAGTTCCTTTCTGTTTCTCGTTTATTTCTGTCTCGAGTGTTATGTGGTACATCGCTCTAACCTTCCCTCTCATGCTGCTCTCATGCCTGCAGAATGAATATGTGTGCAGTTTGTTTCTGGATGGACCAAATATTGTGCCAGAAAATCCGGTGACAGGTAATTCAGAGCTCTTTAAAGAAGAAAACATCATAATACCATTAAAAGAAGGGGCAGATTTAAAGAAGAATAATGCTTCATCCTGCTCCTTTTTGAACATGTTGGGTTCACATTATTATTATTATTATTTTTATTATTATTATATATATATATATATATATATATATATATATATATATATTTTTTTTTTTTTTTGCTTTGACTGTTGTTATTGTTGTTTTGAATATTTTCATTGGTTTTGTTTGTTTGTTTTCAGTTTACTTTCTTGTGTTGCATGCACATGTTTGAAATTAATATATAAATAAAAATTTAAAAATTAAAAAAAAAAAATTTAAAAAAATTTAAAAGGATTAAAAAAAATTAAATATGTGCTGAACTTGTAACTTTTGATGTGATAACTTGCAGGAGCCCGTCCACAGATCCAGCTCTACATTTCTTACTCTGACTGTAAGCTCTCCGTTCTGGTAAAACACCTGAAACACATAGTAAGTTTCTGTCACGTTTAGTAAAGCACAAACATTCACAGAGAGGATATACGGCATGTTTTCATTCCTTCTTGGCTTCTTTTTTTGTCTGTTTGACAGAAACTCACAAACGGCTCCAACCCTGATGCCTATGTGGTCACGCATTTGAGACCGGACCCTCATCAGCGCTCCAAGAAAAAGACAAAGGTGGTCCGAAATAATGACAACCCAACCTTCAATGAGCTGGTAAAACCATCCTTCCTACCTTCAGTCGATGATTTAGCATCTGATTGGAGATAAGCAACAAAAAGGGAAAGACAGAAAGACGTTATGTCTCATTGATGGATAATTCTGCTCTACACAGCCAAACATCAGTCACATATTTCTGTTTTATTATGACTAAAGAAAGTCTTTTGGAGATGAAGTGCTGCCTTTTAAAAGTTTTCTGAAATTCTTTCTTACTTTGAGTGTAATCTTCACTTTTATTGCAAGAAGCCCTGCCTGCGGCGCCTCTCTCCTGGCTTTGTGAATCTGATGTAATCCTGGCTGTTGAACCCTGCCAACTGTGACCAGGAGCTTCCAACATACTTAACAGCCTCTTTCTAGAAAAGTAAAACCTGGACAGGCTTAAATTTAAGGAAACTGAGAAACAGAACATCCCTGCTTTGAGACAGAAAAAAGAACCTTCAAAAGAAATATCTTCAAATGACAGGATGTTCTGAGTGCAGAGCTGTTTGATGACTAAAAATACCTTCTCTCTTATTCGCAGCTGGAGTACAATAATGTCCCCATGCTGTATGGGATGGTGCTCGAAGTTACTGTGAAGAGCAAGAAGAGCTTTGTGGCTGCAACCAACATTAAACTGGAGAAGGAGATGCTTAACAAGGAGAACTGGTTCCCCCTTGGGAACTGCGCAATCTAACCTCAGGGAGGTGCACTGCAGGCCTCCTGCCAGCAGAGGGGGCAACCACACTGGAGACAGAAATGGTCTGATGATCTCTCAGACTTTAAGAGAGGAGGAGAAGGAGGAGGAGGAGAAGGAAGCTGTGTACTGTGATTTAGAATTTCTGATAAGATGAAACTGAAGATGCTGGCAGTGGATGGAGTCGGTGGATGACGTTCTAAGTCTGACTAAAAGACTCGGTGAAGAGCGTTCACTGTTTGAAGCATCTCTTAACTTATGTGCCTCCTTTTAAATATTGATCAAATGAAAAACATTTGTCAGATACTCATATTTTCACCTTGATGATGAATGAAGGAAAAACTCTTTGGTAGCGTATTTGCACTGTCATATTTTTTGTACTTCAAACCCTGTTTTCTTTACTGAGAGTCCAAACAGACCTCGAAAATGTGTGTGTGTGAAATGACGAATATGAAGGATCAAAGAAGAGACTTTGTTTTACTGCTGAAAGCTGAAGATCTCATACCTGCACAGACTGAGAGTGCTTGTCCCTTTGGGCTGTGTCCACTGGACGCCCTTGACCAGTGAAATTAGAGAGGGGAGACAGGAGGAGGGTGAGGAGAGTGTGTGAGTAGGATGACAACTCTATCTCTCTGTCCTGAGGGGCCGGAGTTAGCACTCTTCCCCTCACTGCATCTGTTTGTCTTATCCATTAGTAGCACTCGAGTACAGCTCAGCACATGCATGCACAAACAGGCACTCACTCACCTGCTTAAAAAAAAAATACCCCTCTCAAAAAAATCCACCTCCACTCACTTACATCCTCCCTCAGACTCTTTCTGGAGCTAAGGCAGCTCTTCATGTTATCTTAATGCCTTCCTCTTACCAACAGGCCCGCTGACCCGTACTCGACCCTCACCTCACTGACAGGGTTTAGCTCGGATAAATATAGACTGCCTCGTACTGGATTTGGTTCATTTATGTACACCTCTGTGAATTCTATTTACATTATGCCCTGCCGAGGCTCTCTGAGGGAGGCAGGCTTGAAGGAAAAGCTGGCTGCTGCTCTTTTCTGATACTACACATGGACTATTTATGTACCCTGGCATCACTCACCAGCTTCTGATGTAAAAGAAGAATCACATCTGTTGTTTTAGATAAATGATTAATCTAATAATAACAATAATAAACACTGTCTGGTGTGGATAATATCCGCTCTCCGACAATAATCACACTTGCATCAATTATTAATTTTATTATAAGGGACTAATCTCCTCCATTTCTTAAGTAACGCAAGCAGAGAGTTTGTCTTCATCTTTTCCAGCCCCGCTGGAACCCTCTGGTCTTTTCCTCTGCAGCACAGGGGAGGAAAAGCACGTGTATTTCTACACAATAAAAGTGGTATTTATATATAAGGAAACTGTGTGTCCTCTTTTTATTTTTTTATTTATATATTTTCGCTGTTGTTGTAACTGAATCATCCACGCTTCTTTATCTGTTGGCGAGGTGTGTGTGTGCGTGTGCATGTGTGTGTGTGTGCATATGTGTGAGTGAGTCTGATATGGAAAGCTGTTTTTAGGAACACCAAACAAAGACAAAAAGGGAGGCTGGATCCAGGCTGCATCCGTCTCGGGACCGGAGAGGCACCCAGCGGTAGCCTGGAGGTGGAAAAAGAAAAAGGACATGAGAAGGGATGTACGCATGTAAAGCAGCTAAAAATGTGAACACCACCAAGACGTGTAAAAGGAGGATTCTCAGGGTAAAACACTGAAGCACAGCGAGAGAGAACAACCTTCAATAATGCTGACACGGAAAGGAAATACAATGATGGTCACACAATGTCACCTGATGTAATTTGGTTCTCCATTTGCCCCCCCCCCTCTATCTTTCTGTCTGTGCAGCTCACCTTTCTTCAAGCTGGTGAAGGGCAGAGTGTACTGACCCACAAATTCACTGCTGAGGAGGCCAGTCTGGTCTCGGACACAGAAGCGGATGAGGCAGAGCTCCGGAACGGCGATTGTGAAGTTCATGTCCGAATCCCAGTAAGGACTCAGAGCTTTAATGGTAATCAGAAAAAAATTAACATTCAATGATCAACAAACTTTCACTGTTTGAGATAAAAAATGTGATTTAAACTAGATTAAGAGGGCAGATTTCTGTACTCAGCCATGCTTTAATAAAAACTAGGTGTAAACAACTTTATCAAGGGAGAAAGTGTTGGTGTCGTGTTCGCAGCTTGTCTCTGCTCCCCTAAGTGACTGAAAATGTTATAATGTGAAATATTAAAGCTCCTGTGATGAGTTTTTGACTGGTTATGAAACACACTTAAATTAAGAGCGAGGCTTTTCGTGACCTACAAAAACAAATGAAACCATCCACAGCAAGATGACATTCCCCGTATTGCAGTTTCTGATGCCTGTAACCGCTGTGAGGGGGTGGGTGTCAGATTAGATGACTAACAAAAACTGCTTTTTTTACATTTTCCACAATAAATCAGTTGGTAACACACATCAGAAATCACTCATTATACACATACAGGACCTACAAAAAGATAAAACAAATCACTGTATCCACTGGGGGGCGCCAAAATGGACACAAACACATGTTCCTTACTTGGACTATAACAAAATCACTCTTTATACATTTGTTAATGTAACTTGATGTAACGTAAGTCTGAAGAAAATTTGGTTGGACAAGAGTGAGATAAAACTGTAAGGCTTTCATGTTTTGTCTCTTAAAGCTCCTGTGAGGAACTTTCAGTCTGTGTTCATTTTGGCACCCCCTGTGGACAAAACAGACTGTGCTTACTTGTCCCCCACATGCTAGTAAATCCTTTCATGTGAACATTTTTAGTGTATGTTGTAAAAGCTGGGCTGTTTCTTCAGATGCTTGGATGACACCTACCCCCTTGCAGCAGTTCCAGGCATTAAAAATAAAGATAATAAAGACTGTACATGTTGCTCATGGTTTTGTTTGCTTTTGCTTAAAGAAAAGAGTATTAATATAGCTATCTGTGCATTTCATAAAGGTAAAAATAAATCCTCACAGGAGCTTTAAACACGGTGGTCTAAAGACAGTGGACCCTCTCTGCAGAGGGCAGAAAGGACAAGGGCAGAGAGTTATAGAAGACTAAACATGAGAATCTGCTCTAAATAACTAACTCACTTACTCAGCTTGTATGAAACAAGAGTATCCTGTTCCCAATGACAATGATAACATGCTGACATGTAACAGACTGACAAAAGACATTCCTGTCTGTTAAGAAATAAATCAAATTACAGATTTTTTTGGAATCGTGTTGACGGTGTGATTCAGTCATCTCTGCTGCTGCTGCTCATCACCATCATTCTCTGATTCAAAACAGTTTTTCCACAGCTCCTCTGCCCGGTCCAAGTTTTAATTTAAATGCACATCCATTTGTATTCTCAAGTGACCTTATCTGTTTCATAGTGAGAAACGATTTTATGATTTATGCCCATGCATAAGTGCTCTGCCCTCCAGGACTCGTGCTATCTCTCCTTCTCTCCCCTTCAGTCTCAGCTCTGCTACTGCAATCCAGCGCTGCATCCCATCAGTTCCCTCTGATATGAGATTCGTCGTCCTGTTTGCATTTTTAAAGACCAAATCTACTCCTGAAATGCACCAGACTTCAGTGTATATCCTGTGGTGAGCACCTGCTAAACTGTGAGTAATCTTGACAGCTGTGGGATTAGCCTTCACACTCTAAGTGTATTGCTTGTAGCAAATTAAAGACTCATACTTTCAAATTCATTGTTAAGACAATAGTGGCTATGCTGATGGTTAAATATTACTGTGATTTGAATAACAAAAGAACAATCAAAGTGGTGCTCAGGACCACACTTCATTGAAGCTCAGTTTGACTGTCAGCTCCACGTTTCCAGTCATAGCTTTGGTGCATGACAGACCCCTCTTCAAAGGAAATCCACTTCTACATTTTGAGGAAACTCATCAGCACATTTCTCCTCAGAAGCCGAACAGCAGCTTACTGAGAAATGGATTTAAAAGGGGAAAAAAACATCTGAAACCATGACATGCTGCTGTCATAGAGAACTGTAATTCTCTGTCACATTTTAGGTGGTTTTCACATTTTCACTTGAAGGTTCACAGCTGTTCAGGCCAGTATGCAGTAACAAGGAATGCTTCCAGACGTCAATTAAATTTGTATCTGTGAGTGTTGTTAGAGGAAAAAAGGAGATATGATGTTAACGTCAACCTGTCAGTCAGTCACCCAACTAATTCCACCCAGAATGGATGAACAGGCATAAAACTTAGTTTGGATGTTGAATTGATTATTTGATTTCTATATTTTTTAAAACTTTAGAATAGATTAAATTTAGGATTCAAAACTCCAGAAAGATTTCAAGGGTTTGGCGCCCCCTGTGGACAAAGTAGTATGCCTCATCTTTATGCTGGTCTTGTCCTTCAGGTCTACATGCATAACTATTGTTAAGCAAAATTTGATTTTTGGGCCCTCTATTTTTGCCAATAATATTGATTGTTGATCATTCAAACACCTACTACAGTATGAATTTAATACACCTGACATGTCTTTAAGGGGGTGGCCTAGGTAATAACATGAATAATACCAATGCAACCATACAAATGATAACAATGAATGACTGATGAATAATGCTCAGGCTGCCATATATGGTGATTAATCTCAAAATGTAACACATTCAGGATGCTCAGTGCACATGCCTTATAACAGTGGTGGAGCTTTGACATATCGGCAGTAAGAATCATAGGCCTACATCAGCAGCAGCACTAAAATGTTTTTAGGTTATTTTATTTTTACAATAATATATATTTGATCATGCAGAAAGCATCACTCATACATGCAAAAAATTAAAAATATTTAATAATTATTATTTTTTTGATTGCTCTTGGGGCCCCCTACTGGCTGCAGGGCCCTAAGCAGATGCTTGGTTAGCTTATGCCTCGGGCCAGCTCTGTCCAGACCAATAAAACACCCTCATTTATGGCAAAACCCCTGGTCCACAAAACATGTGAACTTTGCTAAACTACACAGTTTAAGGTTGAGACAGAGGTGAGATAGACGCCACACATATTATTGTTTGACAGATAATCTCATGCATTTGGTGCTTAACATGTCGCAAAACTGAGAGGCACAAACCTAAAAAAAAAATATATATATATATATATATATATATATATATATCAGTGACTTGTACATAACAAAACCGAGTAGCTGATCACGCTGTAGGCATACATGTGTAGTGTCTGCAAATAGTCTTTCTGATGGCAAAGTGCATCAAAAACTTCTCTTTAGAGTTTACTCTCAAATTTAGACGAGTGCTCGAGTCAGTGTCTCTTAAAATGCTCTAAATTACTTTGCAGACTTGACACCCTCTGCAGAAAATTGTTGCCTAGATTGCAGTCCCCTCAGTTTCTCAGTCTCCACTATGAGTGATACAATTACAAGTGACACATAACCCAATCTCATTTGAATAATTCAAAGATATCATTTTAAAAACTCTTTGCAAGGACCATACTAAATTCCTCAGAAGTTTCTGCAAAAATAAACACCAAATGAACTTGCTGAACACTTTCTTAATGACCAAATAATACCTGCAAAACCCAGAAACATCCTCCACTTATCTCTACCAGAAGTTTGTATTTAGTGCTAATTAATTTAAGGAGCTAAACTAAGATTACAGAAATGGTGTGTTTAACTTAAAGCACGTTAGAATGCCAGCATTATTTGTCTTGCTGTACTTACAGTTGCCTTTGACAGTTTGTGTGCTTTTCCTCTTTGAGTCAGAAGGGGTCCCATGGATTTCTACTCTCACAAAGGGGTCCAGGGCTTTGCCACTCTTGGGGACAGGTAGGTTGGACCCACTGATCACCTGTAGTCAAACACAGAGACAGGGATTAAAGCATGAATGGTCAAACGGAGTATATAAGGATGGGGTTGATGTCAGAGGAGAGGGGGAAACAGGCAGAAAGAAGAAAAGCAGAGTATAATCACACTGGTCCAGAGAGAAGCAGGCTTATCTGCAGTCCTCTCACACTGAGCCTCTCCTCTCCTGACTCTGATCAAAGACAAACCTGCATGTACTTATTCAGACATGCCCTGCTTGGCACCAATGGACCTCTACGGTGTCCGGCCCAAAATTACAGTCCCTTTACCCTCCCAAAGACAGCTGCAGAAAGTCCTTCTTCATGTTCATGTATGCAGTCCGTGGTCAACACTCCTGAGTGTTTGGAGACATCATTTCATAAAGATCTGCTATTAAAACACGGACCATTTCTTATGGTTGACAGTTTTATGCTAAAAAAGTCTCATAAAAAGCTCAAGGGGAAATATTGTTTTCCTGAGCATCTGAATAATTTATTGTTCTGCCATTGAAAACCCAGACCCAACCCCAGTTACAGCACTGACTGCTGCTCATGACTCTGATCCCCACTGAGTTGGGAGTAGAGACCGCAGAGTTTTCCTTGAAGTGATCAAATAATACAGAATGCTGATGTGAATAAATAAAGGTAAAGTTTTTCCGGGGTCTCATAGACAAAAACTGAGCACACCGCATTTATATTTCATTGGCTGTGCAGGAAGATGTACAGAGTGTGTGCATACTCCATTAGAGACCTTGTCTGATGTGCTTTAGTTTAGTTTGTGAGAGTCTATACATCCTCATGAGGACCAGTTTGAGAAAGATCTACTTCCTTTTCTTTATTCTCCTGTCAGAAAACAACAAAGCAAAGCAAAGATTCACTGTCCGCTTGCAAGACTGTACTCTAAAATGACAGTTTGCATGATGTGAAGTCTGTTGCAGGATGCTTTCGAATCAGCTGCCACACTTGCAAAGGTGGGTCAAATGATGAAATAGTGAAAGACCCACAGAAGAGGTTGAAAACATACATAACTACTTAAACTACAACTACTTAAAGCTCTAGTAAGGGTTTTTTAAATGGTCATGTAGTAGTCTGAAATTAAAAACAATGTCTCTTTAGAGTGCACAAAAGCAAAAAACAACAACAAAAATAAAAGGAATAAGATTGTATAAGTTTCATATTGTAAACATTAATGTCTGAAATTGCTGCTGCAGGGTAGAAATCAGATAAAGTACGGTCTTGACCCAAGTTCACATTGAATTAAACAAGTTCAGCTGATGTTTTGAAGATCTTTTAAATAAATTAAGGTTTTCAAGAAATTTAAGTAAAATACAGTTAAATTAATAAAAATGTGAGCATGTGTGTAAATAAAGCACTTGGGTTCCCAGTGATGAAAGCAGGGTGAGATTTTTGTCAAAAATCACAGTAACACTTTACTTGATGCTATCTCTATAACGCATTATAAATATATGTAAAATGCATTATAATCATGTTATAGCACTGTATAACTGTAGTTATAAACACTAATAAATGATCATAATGCTTTATAGCAACAATCATAACACATTATAAAGCATTTTATCATGACTTACATGGTCAAGTATCATAATGTGTTGTGCTTATTGTTATAAAGCCTTATGATAATTAATGAGTGTTTCTAATATACAAGTTTATAAGCAAATTATAACACATCATAAATATATGTACAGTGCATTATCCATGTGGGCATTGTCATTGAGTTGTTAATAGTTATAACACATAATGATTATTGCTATAAAGCATTATGATCATTTATGAGTGTTTATAACTATAGCGTTAACGTGATTATAACACATTATACATATATTTATAATGCATTATAGAGAGAGGCATCAAGTAAAGTGTTTTCAAAATCACTGCTTACAAGTGTACAGGACAAAACTAGATAAGAGGTAACGCTTTGTCCACATGAAGGGGATGCCAAAACAACACAGACTCAAAGTTATTTACAGGAGCTTTAAAAGTCAGTTGCAGTAATTCAGGTGAACCAGCCCCTCAATAGACTGATCTATTATCTCTAAACAGACTGACTAAACCTCCTCTACAGCCCTGCACTCTCTTAAGCAGCTCCATGTATTTTCTTTGTCTCAGATATCTCTGAAGATTTCTTTACCGCTCATGCCACACTGTTGTTTCTCTGTAATTAAACTCCAGAAAGTTAGAGTGTAACTTTTGTCCCCCCGACACACAACAGAGATGCTAATTGAGGTCACTGTTCTCTATTGTGCTTCATTACGTTTCCGTCATACTGCTTCCATATACACCATTAAAAGGTTAGCTATTATGGCCCCTAACATACTAGAAATAATGGGAAATAGATTATTTTTTAATTGGATTGAGTGTGTCATTGTATTAGATCAATCCTGTCCCTCCTTCTTTTAGTAAACTTTCTTTAGGGGATGATCTAATTAAACAGAGACCCTCTCAGGGAGTTTACATCATCATTGGTTCACAGTGTCCCTGGATTTCAAATGAAGGCTGAGCTTGCCTCTATTATATGAGCCCTTGATTGTGAGGCAGAGACCCTTGTTTATGTGCATTTAACAGACACATGCAGCCTTGTGGAATTAGACCATAATCCACGAATCCAGCTGCTGTGGATTACTGAGCGTTCAGTGCTTTGTGGCTGTACCTTCAGCAGCAGGTGTGTAGGTTTGATGCCATGCTGACTGCAGGTGGGATCAAAGCTCTTCTGACTGGACATAAGCACCACCGGCTTCAGGACATACCCACAGCCGCCGTTGTCCTGGAAACGGCCATCATTAAGGTCCATGGCCAAGCCCAATGACTGGAAATTGAGAGCCACTGCAACACACCAACAAAACAATCTTGTAACAGTGTCAAAGAGGAACCACACAGCAGAGCCCAAATACTGCAGAAGAACAAAAGTGAGGATGTAAAACAGCATGACATGTTCGCTGCACACATCCTGTTTTCAGGTCTCTTCTTCATGCTGCAGTAGAGTGGCCTGAAACGTTTCTGCAACAGTAGTGCACATTGCATCAGGGGCACATTTAAAATCACAGACTGTGCAAGGAGAGCATCTGTAAGGGATTTTTCTACGGTGTTGTGCGTACACCATGTCTCTAGAGTCGTCAAGGGCTAAACATTTGGGACCAACTGTGAGATTAGAAAGCAGCAGATAAAACCCTGCTTTAAGGTTAGAGTTCGGTGTCTGTAGGGTTAAACTGGAGACATTTGTGTCTCTGCTGTTACACAGATAAATGTGCAAAAATGCATTTTAAATTTTACCCTCCCCAGCAGATTGCAAACACTTTCTTGCTTTTGTCACACTCTTGTTCAGCGAATGTCACTGGCTCATCTAGCTGTAATTGATCCTTCCAGGCTGCTCCTCAGTGCTGCGGTTGCCTGCATATGTGCTGCCCACCATCTGCACATCTGCTGCTGAGGCACCACGTCAGCCTGCTCAGTATTTAGCAGGACTTAGTGACAATGGAGGCAGATGAGAGCGGATGTGTAAAGACGAGCAGAGCCGGATAGAACCAGATAGATCAGGGTTGTAACTTTGGGTTAATGGATCGTTTCATTTTGTCACATGGTTTGACAGCATCTCAAAAATAATTTGTTCAAATTTCACAACAAGCAGCACAGGTTTAAGTAACTTAATGCTCATGCTTGACTTCAGAGAACAATGACCGCACAACAAAAATGTAGTTGTGGCCCATATAAAAGGTGTAAGGTAGAGGAGAAAGCACATTTTTGAAAGTGCAATTCAGTTTTAAAAAACTCATGAAAAGGTCCCAGAGAGGACTTCCCTCAGGGGGGAAAGAACAGATGAGGCAGTCAGGCTGTGGACTGGGATGAAATGTTTCTTTTACTCTGCTAATCGACAGGACAGTCATCCAGGTTGTTCTCTTTGAAGTTAGACAACTTCGGTCTTCAGACTGCTGGTGGATTACTCTGTGTGTAAAAAAACTGTGAAATGGATTCTAGTGGTTTTTATGAGTGTGTGCAGAACTTTTTGAATCCTTTTGTCACAAAGAGTTCAAAGAAGAAGTCCTGTTCCTCTCTTCCTTTTTTAAAGAAGTTTTATACGGTTTTAACCTAAACTAAAATAGAAATACAGTTTACAAGATTGCTCCAGAGTCTTCACAGAAACATTTAGTTAGAATCAAAGGATCAAACAACTTACTAATATACCCTGTAAGTTTTTAATTCATTTTTAATCATCTATGGAAGTGTATAAACAAATACACAGCTGTTGACAGATTAATCTTTTAATTTATAAGATACAATACCATATATGATATTATCGATGGCAAAACAGTACATTATGATGCAATATGGTTAGGGTTAGGATGATAATAGGATAGAATAAGATGGGATTCATGTCTTTACCATCAATTAGTGTTGTTTTGCTGCAATATAAATTGGTTACTCGGGATGGGAGAAAAATTCAATACAGCATAGTATCGCGATATTTTCTCTGGTGATATATCTTATCGTCTCACTTACCAAGCATAAATTTTTTCGAATTAATTGCTAACGTAAAGTCAAATCTATGATAATTGGAAAATGAAATCGACTGATTGTTTAGTGACGTTGGCAGAGGTGACATCATAGAGCAGGAGAAAGTTAGTAAAACAATTATAAGGTTTGCAAGATGTGCTACATGAGAATAAAATACCTTAAATAAGACAAACGTAAATAAAAGACAAATGCTAGATTAGCTAAACAGTTGAAAAAATTGTATAAATCGCAATATATTGTATCGCAATATTACTGTATTCCAAAATGTTAAAAATCACAATAATATTGTATCTAGGCCCAATCTATCGTGATAACATCAGATCATGGGGCCACTAGTGACTCCCAGCCATATTGGCTATGGTTCAACAATATGTCATCATTGTTGTTAAGTGAACTTTAGTGTCTCAGTGAAGATATGTGTGGAACATGTGCATGTGGATTGGCACTTTTACTGCTTACTTTATGCATTCACACAAAGTCTCTGTACCAGTTTGGACAGGCTGAACTTGTTCTCTGCAACTCACCGAGCTGTGAGCCCACGTTCCAAAACTCCTGAGGGTTGTAGTTTGATGAGGATGTCCTTGAGCCCGCTGGGTAAATCCTGCTGAGGAACTTCTGGTTGTGCTTCACATAATCTGCCCCTGCAAGAGAGATTACTCGACACACTCATCATCGATGATAAAATCTACTGATTCAGACTTCGCAGATGCCCTTGGTACACAACAAATGCTTCGTATCCTGATTAAACAAACAGACTCGGTCATTATGGCTCGGTGACTGATCACAGTTGTCTCAGAACAGATCTTTTTGACCAATTTACCGTCATTAAAAGAGACTGTCTGAAAGCATTGATGGAAACCATTTGTTCTGCGTAACAAATCTACTTCTGAGTAGACAAAAAGTGACTCGCGGCTTTTTCGCTTGTGAGTGATTGTACTGACGCTGTGTAGCATCCCTGCAGGGCTTGACAAGAAACTATTGAAGTCTTTTACAGCTCAGCATTATGCAGACAGCTCACAGTTTCTGCCAACCAGATCGTAATGTAGCTGTGTATCTGCAGAGTGTCACTCACTCCTCCACAGCTGGAGCAGATTTCATTTCTCTGCTCCCTCTGCTTTCTCGGTTTCTCCGACATACTGCAGCACAGCGGCAAAGTGACACTTTAACCGACTATCATTTGTTTCCAGCCTCTGTGGTGTCTTTTACCCTCCCCAAGTGATAATTGGCACATTACTGGGTCTGCATTGTTAAGCTGTACTACTCCCTGAAAGTATTCCCTTGTGAAGTACATGTCATGTTCAATATACTGTGTCTTGGCCATTAAGGAGGTTTATGGCACAAAACCTGGTTGCTTTTCTTTCCTGCAAGAGTTCTCCCATCAGCCTACTCCGAATCCTGTGAATACTCTGGCTCACCATTATAACATTTTGTGGTATTTGCAATTAATTACACACATCTTTTGTAGCTTTAAAACTAAGCCTCTCTTTGTCTTCTCCATACCTGAAGTTTTGGCTAGCTTGCGTGCTTTCTTCTCTGCCATGGACGTGTTCTCGTAGTAGTTTTGATTGTCCCTGGAGTAACAGAAGCTGACGAACTTTACAGACCCGGTGTAAATGACCAGGTCAGATAAAGCCTTGGCCACCACCACCGTCTTCTTCTACTCATTACATCGGGAGAGAAAAAGTAGCAGAAAAACACTGACACTTCACCCTTCTGTCTTATTTGTGGAGGATTTTCTCGTGCGAACATGTGGCTGTTTTTCTATCTGACTTACTTTCACTTTTGACCCTGCCTTTCTTGGAGACCAGAACCTTGCTTTGGTTTGATTGCACGCGTCCTCCTCCTCCTCCTCCTCATCCTCCTCCTCCTCCTCACCCTCATCTACACTCTCCTCTGCCTCTGTCCCTGCAGCTGCTTCTGTTTTATGCTTTAGCTTTTTATTCTTGATGAGGATTTTATACTGCAGGTCCTTCAACCCAGACAGAAACACAATCAGTACGAGGTTACATTTGACAAAAAGCAGATTTAGAATTCATAAAACCATCACACAGCTGCGCCGGTCTAGTAAACTTGATTCCTCTCGCTCCAAACTTAGAGCACACATAAAAAAGAAAAAAACTATACCTGTCTGATTTGTTAACAGTGATTTTAAAAGTGTTTCTCCATGTCAACATCTCTCCAGAAAAGCCTTCACTCATTTGAAAAAGCGGTGTCAAGTCACACATCTGCTGCTACATCTCACCCTCTGTTTCTACTCTTCATTTCTCTTCAGGCAGATGAGCAGCAATATGTTTAAGGCAGTGAAAAAAAACCATCATGATCTCAACTTGGATGTGACTCCACAGTAAGCCACATGATGAGAAGTCGCCCTGTCAGTATCGTAGCATTAGCAGAGGCAAAATATGCAAAATAATTACAGTTCTGCCAACATTAACAAGCTGTAAGAGACTATACAGTCTGAAAATTATACTCTTCAGAGCTGCACTCATTCATTCTTCCCTACAGTTACACCAAATAACACAGTCTGCACAGCTGAAACACAGGCCCTTTATCGTGTTGATGTAATTTAGGACATGTGGGGGTTCTTGAGGAGACTTTTGGTCTTGTTTGTGATAGAAATAGAGTAAAAGAGAGTAATAACTTGCTAATTAAGTGTAGCTCACTTCCAATCCTACAATAACACAGCATAATAGAGGGGGAAAATTGGATTCTCAATCCCTCTTGCAGTTTTTAAGAATTGGCAAACCTTTATTCTAAGCGGTCAGACAAAGGAACAAACAGCTGTGAGAATTAGATTTGGATTTCACTTCCATAATTTGATAGTAACTTGTGCATGAAGCTGCTTGATTGTAGGGGCTTCACAAAGAAGATAAAACCAGTAGCACTGAGGCTCCTAACTAAGCCAACCCTTCCTAACTTATGAAGATGAAAAAGGATGGGAGATGAAGAATCTTATATGCACCCTCTGGAGATAAATCACTACTTGCTTCTGCACTGACTCCCAAAGCAGAAGCAGCAGAGAAACTCTGCACATTCATCTACATAGAGAGAGAGAAAAAAACCTTCATCCTCCTCATCATATTCAGTAGATCAGAATGATTGTTGCGGTGTCTTTCAGGGCCAGCCACACAGTCATGGGGTAAGGCAAACACTTTCAGAGGAGAAGTCACACCTAAAAGAAGATAATCTAATCGAAAAATCAGCTCAAGTGCCTCGGTGTGCTCGGAAAGACGGACACTTCTCAGAATCGACCACATCACATTAGACTCTTTGAACCCCAGAGAGGTTTAAGAGGCTGGCACGTCCGTCTTCTGCAGTGGAGGTGAGAGATACACCGAGTCTCAGAGGAAGACTAATGAGGCCAGAGAGAGTCTTTTTCTCTCCTAGTTTAACTTTGCTGAGGCAGACGATGATGATTTACTCAAACAGTCACGATCATCGCTAACAGATCTGACACCAAACACAGGTTCTGCCTCTAAAATCCCAGCTCACTCTTCCTTGAGACTTACATTTGGGCTCGGGAGATCTCTATTGATTAGGTGGTCCAAGGGGGCTTTCAGCAGCTTGTCCCCCAGGATGGAGATGAGGTACTGGGCCATGACCTCCTGCTGCTCCTGGGAACAATGGTTCTCTAGTGACAGGATTACCGGGTAGGCAGACACCTTTAAAGAAATAATAATAACATCAGTGAAAGATGATGATTCAGCCCATATTTGTTACAATTAGCGTCAACCTGGATTTTCTTCCCTCTGTGAGCTCTAAATAATCCAGACACATCACAGAGAATTTCCTCAAAGACATCTAGCAAGCAGAGTATTACTATGAGAGATTATATTAATTAGAGCAAATGCGGCTGAGTGTGAATCCTGCAGTATTTCAGAGACAGTAGTGAAAACAGAAAGAGAAGCTAAGGGCCGCGCTTCAGGATATACATGAACATATGTCATGTACATATCTGTGTGTCATATCTGTACACTGTTACCTCAAAGGCATGTTGCTCCACAGTGGTGATGACATCCTTAAAGAGTATCTTGGTTGTCAGGGTGTAACCATGGTAGACTACAGGCTCCATGTCTGGCCCATCCCAGCAGTCGATCTCCAGACAGCGACAGCCTTTCCTTAAAGCACTGTGTCACACAAACAAACAAACACGCGCACACACATGCACACATGCACACACACACACACGCGCGCAGGGAGACACATGCACACCCACTGGGTTGAGGCAGGGCTATAACAAGCACTCATAAAGACCAGTGTGAGAAACTAGAAATGAAATCTTGAAGCAAAAATTATGCTGCTAACTTCATGAATCACTTCAGGTCGACTTACCATGTATCAAACCATTACTACTACTTTAACGCCTGTGACAAATCTTGTTTATCAATAAATGTGAATAATTTAAATGAAAGTTTATGGCTGTTTTAGATTCAAATGAACAAACACAAATATGAGCCTCACTTACCGTGTTAAAAAAACTTAAACATACGCTGCATTTCTTATTACCACAGTTTTCAGCTTTCATTACAAAAGAAAAGATGTGCCTAATTACTGAAGAAGCCAGGCTAGTTGCTCCATGGACCTTTTTTGCATATCTACACTGTAAAGGGATATTCCGGCGTACAATTAATTTAGGGTCAAACACACCGTAACACAGAGTTAGACACCTGCTTGAGAGATGAATGTTGCCGACCGCTTGCTTCTCTAGTTAAACCAACTTTAGTAACGATAGCAGGATAGCAATACACAGCGGTCTAAGGAGCCATAAACAAACCTCAACCAAAAAAACACTCTATAGCCACAAATAATGCTCATAACAGCACCTAACTTCATCAACAGGACATAAAGGGTCCTAGCCACAGCACTGTGCACAGCACAGCATGCTGTAGAGTGGCGTTTTGGTTGAGGTTTGTTTATGGCTCCTCAGACTGCTGTGTATTGCTATCATGTGGTCGTTAGTAAAGTTGGTATAACTAGAGAAGCAAGCGGTCGACAACATTCATTTCTAGAGGGAGTTTTTAACTCGGTGTTACGGTGTGTTTGACCCTAAACAAATTTTACGCTGGAATATCCCTTTAAGGGCCTATGTCCACCAAAGACACTTAAGCACAGACAGCATCATGAGTTTAATTTCAGGTCACTTTTCAGGGTTTACAGTCACTAGGTTTCAAAATACGTCCCCTTCATAGTGACCATGAAGTATAATTAAAATTCTCTGTATGCTTTTAATTAGCTTTTATTCAAGGACTTTTTAGAATGAATATTTGATGGAAATAACTGAGAAATCAGCATCACTCTCAATGACCGCTGTAGCATTAGCAGCAGCTCTTGACCTAGAAATTGTACGCTTGAAGAAACAAGGGCAGTAAGTTTCTGCCAGCAGAAGTTGCAACAGAATCCTCACTGATTTTTGATTTGTTAGTCATGGATGCTGGGCTGAGATTGATGAGGGCTGTGAATGCAATGATGTTCTAACTGAGCGTGTTGTGAGTACAACAACCAAAACAGCTGATACTAAGGGGGATTTTACACTTAGGGGGCTGAGCACTGAAAACACTGAACTTTAATTGTTTTGTACAGAACATAGATGCTGCAAGTGCAAACAAAATGCTGTTGGTGGAAACAGGCCCTGAGACGATATCAACCAGGAATTATATACGTAAGCACTGTAGGTTACTAGTAGGTGTTCCGTCCATCTGGTGATCATTTTATGCTTAAATAAATTCTGAAAAATTACAGCTAGAATATTTGAATGGTCAGTGTTGAATCCTGTTTAGTCAGAGTGCATCTTTATTTGCCTCCTTTTTCCCCTAGCTCTCACTTGGTCGTTCTCTTTTCCTTTCTTGCTGGCCTGTGAGGAGGTTAAATTTTCAAAAGCTGCCGTCTTTTCCCACCACCTCACCCTCTTGAGTTGATTCTGTTATTGTCGTAAATAGGGCTTCCAGGCCGCTGGTTTGGAGGTTTCCACTCTACCAGGCCACCAGAGCTCTCAGCACTTTCACAGGGACCATAAATACAGCACTTCTGCTGCCATCAGCCCCTTTTGTAATCACCTCCATTACCTCATGAAAGGGCAACAGCAATTTCATTGTCTGTCTCAGCACATGAGTGGGCCATTGACATGAGAGGAGAGGAGAATATGCAGATAACACACATGTAGGTCTCGAGGAGAGACTCCAGTGAGAAGAGAGTATTGAGAGTCCTTTTAGATTTCTATGGGGGCTAAATGGTGCTTCAACTAGTCTTATCACCTGTTTCTAGATTGTAAAATGCCAAAAATAGAAATTATGATCCAGCAGACACATTGTTGTCCAGCTCGCAAATTGTGACCCAAACATGCCTGTTCAGTTTTCTAGAGGTGTAGGTAACAGGAATTGCTTAAAGCTCCTGTGAGGAACTTTCCATTTATGTCAATCCTGGTGCCCCCTCTGGACAAAAAAGTCTTTGCTTATATTTTCTCCAAGCTATCTCCTGACATAAAGAAATCTCATCATTCTGACTTCTGTCAAATTTTTCAATTTTTATGAATATTTTATGTGAAAAATATAAAACCAGGACTGTTTCTCCGGCTGCTTGGCTGACACCTACCCTTCCACATAAGTTTTAGGCAATTGAAATAATTATTTAAAAATCACCAATCTAGTTTCTGATCATCTTGTTATCTTTTATATATCATACAAAGGCCTGTCTGAGAATTTAAGTCTATTTCATGTTCCTCAGAAAACTCCTTACAGGAGCTTTTAGTGCTGTAATAAAGTTATAACACAAAACAATCATACCAAATATAGGCGTCCAGGTGGCTTTTTCCCACCAGCTGATCTCCAGTCAGGTAGGTATTATGTGAGGAGGAGATGAAGTAGTTGGTGAGGGGCTGGTCCATGTCTTGGTACACACGTGCGTGAGCCTGGTTAAACACGCAGCAGTCTTTGGACTCCATGTACCTCAAGAATCCTTCAAATGTCATGGACCTGCTCTCTCTGGCTAAAAGAGGAGAGGCAAATGTGAGACGAAATCAGTGTTAGTTCTGCCACCAAGCACAAAAAATAAAACTTCCTAAAAAGGGGTTGCATGACACCGACCACCTCAGGTAAAAGATTCTCCTCGTTTTTAAATGGTAGCATATCTAAGTGATTAAAAGCTGTGCTTGAGAGACACATGACATAACTTATAGAGTTAAATACTACGATCGAGCCAGCGTGTCATGGCAGGTTTAATGATGTGCATACAGGCATGTAACAATGTTTTACATCTTCATTAGCATCCTCACATTAATTAAATTTGCTCTCATTAGTGCTAAAAAAGTGGCACATTATGTTCAGCCTTGGCAGGCTTAGATTTTTCAATATCAGTGAAAATATGTTCAGAAATAACATTTACTGACATGAGCACAGTTACCCAACAGGGCCAGCTAACTTCAATTTTACAGCAGCAGTTCCCTTATCCTTTTTTTGCCTAAATCAATGAGACCCCAAGGAGCCTCCCATAATGATTTATTAACCAAGACATTCATGAGCAAGTCCACGTGGACCAGCTCCAAATCTATTCCAGTGAAGCAGAAATCAGTCCACACAAAATCCCCCAGAGCCCAGGTCCGTACCCACAGAATATTAGCCTTTGCACAGATTTTGCAAACAGATTCCAAACCATATGCATGGATTTGCTGTTTTTATTTACTTGGTATCATGAGGACCCAGTAAGACCTACTTCTTAAAAAACTCTTACAAAGAAGAGTGTGTGAACTTTCCAACTTATTTAGAGGCAGGTGTTAAAGCTCGCTCAAAGGGAAAGATGATCACTGCCAAAAAAATCCTGAGTTATTCATAAAAGCAAAAAAGCTCATCTATTTGTTCATAAATACTTCATGGTGGGATTAAACTTTTGGTAATTCATAACTATGGAGTTAAACATAAATGTGCCTGATTAGGGGCGGGCTTTAGATGACTGACAGGTGTGCATGTTTGAACTTTTCTAAGTTGACCAAAAGTTAGATTAAGCCCAGAATTCTTGGGTCAAGAAACCAATAAGTGATTGTCACTGAAACTATGACCGTATTTCAGACAGTCTGTGGTATAATGCTGCAAAAACACTCTAAAGACATAAACAAGTTAAATCCTAAAATTCACGACTGAAACCAATATCACAGACACAACACTTTAAGTGAGCCACCATTACTAGTGTTATCCTTGTCCACTTAGAAAAGTTACACTACCTGCTGTTAAAAAACTGTATTATGTTGTTGATGTTGCTAATGGGATGCTGTTGCTAAAGCGTCTGTTATTCCGCCAGAGTCTCCAGTATTTTCTTTGTTTCCTCGCATGTGTTGGCAGTCGTGGCCAAAGGAGGATTCAGACAATTTTCTGTGCTTTCTGGTTGCTTTCTACTGTGTTATATCGTAGCACGCTAACTCTGTTTGGGTTCGTGAATGTTATTCGAGGACGTGAAGCGTCTGCCTCACAACCAATCAGGTTGGGCAGGCAGAGAACGGCTTTGTTTACAGTCAGAAAGAGCGGGCCGCTCAAAAAAATAAAATGTTGACCACACAGATATAACAAAACAGCGATATCGTTATATTCCCAAATGTCATCAATGACTAATAGCTATTGACTGATATTAAAAGCTTTTTTGTATATACACCATAAAAAGATGCTTCTTTAAGGGATTCCTGCCTACCCCACCTTTACGTCAGCACATCCTTGAAGGTTTTCATTTTTTATGTTTTGCTGCTGTAAAGTAGCCTGCAGCTCAAGTTACGACTCAAACACCAACTGCCTTCCACTTTCATTTCCCTTCTGTTGTTTCAACCTCTGGGATGACAGCTCTTCATTTTGTCAGCTAGGCGCCTCCGGGGCTTTATCTTCAGCTATCGCTAAACAATGACAATAACGTGACAAAGTTTGTGGTAATGATCGGTGCAACAGCCTCATGTGTTGTATGAGTTTTCCCTTTACTTACCCGTCTCTTCAATCTCATATCTATCAATCAAACTCTCCACCACCTCCTCGTTGGCTGTGAGCTCCATCTGTTCTTTGTGGAGGAACCTGAGGAGGCCGCAGGCAGGCAGAGTGGTCTGTCCGCAGGCGTAGACTTGATGCAGATGCTGGATTTCAGCTCTCCTGGAGGAGGGGCTCCTGTTTTTCTTCAGCATACCCTGCACACATCAGTAAAGCCTGTTGATCCCTAGTTGTTAAACTCGTTGAAAATATTTATCAGTTTCTTTTTAAAAATCCAAACTTGTATGAAAAGCACCATGGATTACAGAGAAAAGAAGTGTTTATTTATTTAAGGCTTGTCTTTCTGCTCGGCTAAAAATGTGGCGTGATGGTGTCAGAGGGAAGAAAATCTCGGATTCGGGTCCATTTGAATTATACAGTAATGCTTAAGATTATCCTTTATGTTGTCACGTTGTAGATATTTTAAACTCTTTTTGGTGTTTCAAAGGCGCAGAACATCACTAGCTCTCTAAAAATATACAGAAAATAGCAAATGGAAATGTCAGCTCAGAGATACATCCCAGCTTTTTACCTGTGCTCTCTGTTGAAATACCACTTTTTCAAACTCGGCATGAGAGAGAATAAAAGAGACGCCAGGGTCTTCATTCGGCACAAAGTTCTCCTATCCTCTCGCACTGCACCTCCCCTCCTCTCCTCTCCTCTCTGTATCTCTTACTCCATCAAGTACTAACGCAGCGTCTCTCTGACTTTCTCTTTTTCGGTCCCTTTCCTCTCCTTGTCATTCCTCTCAGCCAGCAAGACAAAAGTGTCTGTGACTTTCTCTGGCTTTGTGTGAGCGTCTCTCCCTCCATACCTTTTATCTCTTTGTACTGCAGCCCCTGTCAGTTCACAGGAGTATGTCTAAGCCATTGCTGTCACTGGGTACCCTGCAGAGGGCCAGCCTCTCCCTTGCATCTGTTTTCTCAGTGGGAGCAACTCTAAGCAAATGTCACCTACTCATGTATGCACCCTTATCTGAAAGTCCACTGACAATACAACTTCTCTGTGAGCCTTATAAACCTTTTATACAGCTGCCGCATCATAATCGAGACCAGCAGATCACCTTAAAATCATGTGCTGTGTAACCAAAACAACACCTAGCAGAGGTATGGTAACTTTGTCGTTTGAACAACACTGAGGTGGCAGTTAGTAGAGACTTAAATGTGAATTATTACATGTAACACAAAAGACTTCCTGTAAGAACAACCTACCTCAGATGTTGATGGTCTCAGAGCCACAGTTGTATATTGATGCTGGGGAGTTACAGATGAAACCCACGGGGTTTCTGCTGAAAATAATCTGACTTTTCCAGCTGGTTTCCGAGGAAGTACATAAAGTTGTTTCCATGGCGACAAAACATTCTGATTCCGCAGGGATGTCAAAAAAGGAGGAAAAAAAAAACACAGAATTTCATAGACAGATTGCATTGCTGCTTTTTCTTAAGTATGGCAGAGGAAGATTTGAAATGACCGTCTGTCTTATGAGTCGTAGACCTGGAGGTAAAATAGAGATGGAAGAGAGTCTGTGAAGTTATATCTTAAAAATATTCCTGCCTGCTGAAAAAAGAGTTCAAACACTTTCTCTTTCATGTTGTCTCAAAGTCAGACACAAAAGCCCATGTTACCAGTCCAGTTCATTAACCCTTACCCCATACTAAGTGAACTCTATTTCCACTATCAAGGGTTTGTTTTCAACCTGCTCAAACTTTTTTTTAATCCAACAGTTTTCAACAAATTGCTTTCGTCCACACTTTAAGATTGACTTACTCAGTCTATCTTGGGAGTTGACTCAGACAGAAGTCAAGTTGGCATACAGTATTTACAGACATCCAGTTGAGCACGGCCAGAACTTGTGCTAAGAACTAATAAATTCCTGGGACAGATGGTGCAACCAGTGATGAAGCTCTGCATTTGCTAACTCAACATTTTGACTCATAACTCTAAAAACGAAAATCAGCTGTATTAATATTTTACTAGTCTGTAGCTTTTTTGGGATCCAAGCATCTAATCTCCTAACTTGGTACATATTTTAATTTCCCAAAAGGATCAATTAAATTCTATCTAATGTAATCTGATCTAATCTAATCTAATCTAATCTAATCTAATAAATAAATGACAATATACAGTTTTTTGGTCATTAGCTATGACTGATGAGCTCTGATAGCGATACAAAACATTAGCTGCCCCTCAGCTTCCCTCCCCAACATTTTCCAAGTACTATCTCTCACCAAATCAAGGGCCTGTCTTTACTGTCTGAAAGTTATTTTAGTGCTTGCCTTATATTCGGACAAGGCAAGTGCTAAAATAACTTTCGCAGATGTAGCCATCTTGTTTCAGGACTCCGATTTTGCTTTTTACTGACTTGGTAACTGAAATGCTGGTAACTCCGGTGTTTTGCATTTTCAGCTCAGACTTCTGACTTCTGAGATAACTCGATTACAGCATTTGTCCCTCATGGTGCTCTCTCAGGTGAAAATAGTTCAACTTTTGAAACACCACTGCGCATGTCAATATCAATTCTCCATTGCTGACCAATCAAATTCAAGAAGGGGAGGGACCTCTGTTATCAACTTTGTCCCTGTCACTGGCAGAAGTCCATACAGAGATGAAACTAACCACACTAGAGAGTACAATTTCCAAGTAAACAGCTGCCGCTAATGCTATAACATGATTTCTATAAATTGGCAATTAATTAACATTTTAGTCAGATACCTTAGTCATTTTACTATGAAGAATAAAGAGCTGTGTGACAACTTTTCCAGGAGTAGCAGCGCTCATCAGTGAAAAGTACTCCAGGGACTGCCGGCGCAAAAACCACTGTCAGTGGACACAGGTCCTAAGTGTTTCCTTCATGTTTTCTGCATGTTGGCCTATTTAAACTTTTTCTTTTTCCTTCATTATAAAAAAAGAGGACTCATGATCTATCAAAATACAGTATAATATAATACAAAACACAACATTACAACTTCATTAGAGTAAATTAATGCCCAGATTCATGACATCTTTTGTCGATTTGACTCATTTTTCTGGAAATGATGCAGGGATTCTTTAAAAAAAATAGTAAAAGAGCGTCATGTGGCTTCCATCTCTCTGTCAGCGTTGTTGTTTTGGTCCAGATGGATATTAAAACTTCTTTATGATGACACATCAGTTTACCAGATTGCGTGGTCCATGCAGATGCATGAGCTCTTTTTATGCTACTATGAAGTGGTCTGATCCAAATGGCTTCTTGTGATTTCCTTCAACATTAAATTGATCCTCTGACAGCTCCACATCTGCTTAAAGTGCTACAGGGTGCAGTCAGCTGCTCTCCAAATGCATCATGCAAATGGATGCTAATAGTTCACAGAACACCAGGGACTGATTTCAGAGGGATTTAATTTGGATGAAATGAAATCCATGTTCTCAATAATAGAAGACAATGTGCACACATCATGAAAAAGTATCAGCGAAGCCTCCACAAGTGCCCTTATTGTGTGTTGGTTGTTTTAGCAAGTGTAACAAGAGCTTCCTCTCTGGTTGTCTGTGTAAACCTGAATGTTATTGGTGTGGTGTGAATCACTGGTGCAAAACAATAGTTACTGCATAGTCATGGTCCTGTAGAGTCATTCCAGTCTTCAGCAGGCTGTGATGGCTCGGCCTTGCGCCTGTCAGAACCTTTAGGCGTTCAAGTTTGATGTGATAATTCCCAGGCAGTGAACATGAAGCCCCGTGTATGGCTCCTGTCTCTGCATCACTGCACCTCCCTCTGCACGCTCGCTTAGCTGGACTCTTTTGGGAGCAGAGTGTGCTTGTGTATGAAGATGTCGGTTTTTGCTTCTGTGCTCATGTGCATCTGTGCATAATAGAGGGTTGATGGTGATTAAGAGATCAGCCGTCCGTATGTTCATTTGTGTGTGTGTGTGTGTATGCAGCAGTATTGTACATGTGGAGCTCAAATGTACCAGCAGGCTGCAGGACCCTGTACGCAGCTCAATTAACTTAGTATCACTTTTGTAATGTGTAGAGATTTAATCTCAGGGATTCAGTTTAATACAGGTACAAGTCAGAGACCGAACTGAAACTGCCAGGAAGAGCAGAGACCTGTGCATCTTTTTGATAGTGTCTCTGTGCTTAAAAAAAGACTTAGGGGCAGACCATGTTTCCTTTGACAGCATATTCCCAGCTGGATTTCTGCCGGCTCATTTGGTATTCACTGGCCCGTAGGAGCTCTGAGTCAGACAGCAGAATGCTAGCGGTAATGCCTGATGTCCGGGATAACTAGGGAGGTGAGAAGAGCTGTGAGCTGTGGCATTCAGTCTGCTTTGTTCATCTACCAGTAGCTTGTAATCTTAAATCTGTGAATTTATTACAACTCAACTTATCCAAAAAGTTTTTGGAAAAATAGAAAAAAAGTTTTTTCTTGTTCTTAACAGTTGAAGTGGAGAGGTCTGGTTATTGTAGACAGGCAAAACTTTGAAACTTGGAACATCAAGTTTTAAAGCTGATGCTCCAAACTTCTCACACATACAGGAGTTGAAATCTCTAGATCGACACTAATTGCTTCAATATATTTTCCTAAAGAGCGAGCTTTTCAAAACTTTAGCTTAAAACTAATAGTAAGACTTTTCTGCTGTTACGACCTAGGAAAGCAGATGAGATCATCATCATAAGAAGCTGTTAACCCCACTTAGAGAGTAGGATCAGGTTCAATTAAAACCCAGGACTCTGCGTATAATTCCCCACTCTCTCTTCCCAGTTTCCACCTTTCTTTAATGAGGCTATAACAGCTAATAAATAGACTTCTAAAGAAGGACAACTGACAAGAACTTTAGTTAAAAAAATTAGGATATAGGAGAAAATCCGAAAAGAAATAAGAGCTAATACTTTGTCTACATGTTGCACCAAACTCATCACACTCATAAAAATCATCTTTCATTTATAAATTTTTTATTTCTACTAAAATATTTTCCAAGGACATTTCACACAAAGAGCAGGTCGAGACCTTTTTATCTAATATGTAAACAGACCAAATGGAGTGAGGAATGCAGCAAGCCTTGTGCAGCATTTCGCAACACTGATTTCATTCCTCCATCATGTTTATACTGCATATTTTAAAGACTAACATTTCGAGATCTGTTTCATTTTTGCAATGAGGGATACATCAAAAAGCTCCTGTGAGGAACTTTCAACTTATGTCAACTTTGGTGTCCCCCTGAGAAAAAAGGGGAACTTCTCATTAAGTTTTGATTTCTGATATAAAAAAAACTCTTATTCTTTCATGCTTCTTTTTAACAGTCCAATTTATAACCCTGTTTTTACATCTGCTGTGAAAAAAGGTTAAAGAAAAGAGGGAGGGGCTGTTTTCTCAGCACTCAGTCGATTGTCCATTAAGGTACCAACCCTTTAAAATTGGCTGAAGGCATTGAAAATCACAATTGCCTGAATTGCTATTGTAGGCCATAAAGAGTCACCATTATCAATTCAAATCTGCTCCATAGCCAGTCAAAAAGCCCTCACAGGAGCTTTCATATTAACAATGTGGAAAAAAAGGTACAAAAAAAAAAGACACAGCTGCACCCAGGTGGTTGAGAGTTAAGTCCAATGTAATATAATAGCCATAAAAGACAATGAATTTCATACAAACCGCAAAACACACGGTTACATAATCTACACCACTGAGACACATGCTCTCTTTCACATGGAGGCGCTCATCTGATCACACACACAAAGACACACACACGTTGCATGTTGGCAGAGTTACTTGCCAGCTGGATGAGGGGGGCAATACTGATGGGCTCATTATTTTCAACAATTGCTTTTCTCTCTGCTTCACTCTTCCAATGGGTTCCAGCACCATATTGTTGTCAGGAAATCTCCAACTTGCTGTGGAACCAACAGAGAAAGGAGGATTTTATCTCTGTCTGTAAAATGAACTTGTTTACCCTAAAATTCCAACAACTTAAGCAAGAAATGAGGAGGCTGTGGAGTCTGCTGTTTACTGGAGATGAATGAAATTTCACAGCTGGTTAGTATTCCTGCTCTTCCTTTCCGCAGATATCGCTTTAGCTGTGAGCAAACGGCCACCTGTTGGAGAAAATCAGCATCCAGCAGCAGGCGTGTTGTTGATGCGTCAGAGCCATCACTCTCTGACGGGGGGCTGGTGAGCTGCGAGAAGCAGACAGTCGGTTATTAGGAGCGATCTCAGTCGAGGGAAATCAGTGAGTCAAAGCAGCAGGCAGAGATGTTCATTTGCTATTCTGCTCAGGACAGAGAGACAATGATACAGAACTAGACCCCACATAAGGAATGTGTAACACTGATGAGACATGCACGCTTTATGAATGAAGCTACATGTCGGGACAGGTCCACACACAGCTCACACTGCAGAGGTAAATGTCTGTACTCACTTTGACACCAAAAACTAACATCCTGAGTTTTATTGGTACATTGGAGACCGATTGTGGAGTATTGTTACTGCAAATCTCATTAATGCTCCATAAAACTTTTAAAACCAGAATTTGTCCAAAAGCTGACATAACTAATTTTCTGATGAGCTGGCATACTTCTCTCTTAATACACCACTTTGCAATTTGTCAGAGGACTTTAAAACCCCTTAAATGGAGATAAATGTAATGAATTAGCTGGTGGTTTATGCAGAGCGCAGCTATAATTAGAAAGCACTACTATGAAAAGTGCTAATTTAATAACTGTCATTACAAATTACAGCATAATTGTCAAACTTTTGCTGACTGCTGTTTTAATTATAGCTGGTTCCAGTCAGCGTACAGTGATCCCCAGAAAATTACATATCCTTTCTCTGTCTTATTGTGCCTAACCCATCCATTTTCTGTGCCATCGGGCCCCATAATAGCTGAGGGAGATTAATTGGCGTCTTTCAGCCTCACTGACTGCCATGAGTGATGTGAGGGAAGTGTGTCCACCTGACAGGCAAAATTGGACCATTTCACTTCCTATCATTGTCCACACAGCCCCTCCATCCTCCTTGCTAATTCATGTGTCCATATTTAGCCCAAACAGAGTGATGCAGCAAATGTAATTTACACCCTCTATTACATAGCTTGAACTCTAGTGCAGAATGATGTAAGCCAATTAGGCATTTGTGTTAACGTTTCCACGCATGTGTCGGCACGCGTATGATCAGCTGCTCAGTAAATACACGCCATTTAAAGAGGACTGAGTAAACTTTTCATCATGCAGGGATGACTCAGCCAGTCTTCAAAGTCTTATATAAAATGATGAAGACCTGTCTCAACCACACAAAAAACAGCGGTATAGCTCACACACAAATCTCAGAATTTGTTAGCTAATATCTGATGGTGATATCATTGCTGGAAAGATCACCAACTTTCTGATGGTTCCAGTGTAACAAGTGGTTAAAAGTCACATACCTCTGGTCAAAACTTGTCTTTTCATGTGGAAGTTATTGCTTTCAGGCAGACTAGAAACATGAGCAGAGATACTGCGTCTGGAGATAGAAGGGAATGGTTAAGAGCTGGTTATTGAACTGAACTTTTATACAGTTGACTGTTCATTGAGCTTGAAAAACAGATTTATCCACTTTCCCATCTTTTGCTTTCTGTGTACATTGTTTTGTTATGTGCAAACAGAGCCTACTGAAATACTGCTGTATGATACAACTCTTACTACAAACAAAAACAGAATACGTATGACAGTTTTTAACAATATCTAAAGATGGAAAATGCATCTTCGCCTCCTGCTGAGACAAAAATCAAGACAAATATCCTCTAGGATGTGTCCTTCACTCTGGCTGATTTGAAGCCAGAATCTGTGAAGTGGCAGTAGGTATTGTTGTCTTGCCCCTTATCCTAATTATATTGCACATTTAACTTTCTATTACATGTAATATACAGAGCAGATTTTGTGTAGTTTCCAGGCAGTTACCTCTGAATGTGAAAAGCTGTTTGACTCTTGAGTTAGTGAAACCCCTCCAGCTTTTCCTCCTACAAGTCAGAACACTACAAATCAAGAGTTCACAGAACCTCAGGAGCCACATTTGACAACAGGGCTAACTATTATTGCTTTACACTCTGATTTCTGAATAGAATATCAAATCAGAGCCAACATTTTATAAAAAATGAATATATGGACACAAGTCAGAGTAATGAGCACTCAAGATAATGACATGTATGAAGATTGAACACAGTCTTTGACTTAAAAGCTATATTTAATAATCAAATCATTGTTAATTTTAAAAACTGACCCATGTCCCATCTGTAATAATGGAAGATGAGCATATGGCCTGGGCTGCAGCCAACCAGTAGAGGGAGCTCCAAAAGTTTGACTTCACTTCTGTGGAGCTGTCATGATAGTAATCATTTTTACAGTCCAAGCTGACAACTCAGATTATGTCCCTCACCCCTCATAATATTAAGCCCTAAATCTTTAAAAAACAGGGCCTGTTAAAGTTAATAACATGATTATTAATAAATAAATATATTACAGGTAATATTAAAAAAAAGAAAAGACTTGAGCTCTGCATAGCCTCTAAAGGCAGTCATTGGGCTAAATCGAGATCATGAATTCTTTCTTAAAGCAGGCACACTGCTGCGCCTGGTGAAGTCAGAGTGACATCCTGTCCTTCACACTACTGTCAGATATATCTGGTGATTCTCGAGTCTCAACCATGACAGAAGAAGCAGAAGGCTGTGTGGTTTATGCAGTCCAGTGGAGTGCTGCTATTTTAGAGTCCGTTGTCACGATATGTCCTTTCCACCTGTTTTGATCCGATCAACACATAAAAATGCGAGGCTTGTTTGTGTGCTGTGCTATTCCTGTTGCACATGTAGAAAGTGAAGGGGAGAGACTGTATAAATATACCGCAGGTCACTCAAATCCTTCAGGCCATAAAGTAAACATGAAGACAGACCTTATTGTCCCAGCGAGGAATTTGTCTTGGACTTCATAGTGCTCTAATACTTCAACAAAACATAACTGTAAAATTCAACACATAATAAAAATGTAAGTAATAAAGAAAGAGAAACTGTTTTGAACAACTGCAAGTATGGCTACATACGCATGTCATGAATGTCAAGATTCATGTCATTATTTGCAACTTTGACATCGGGCACACTACTATCTCTGTATATTTCATTCAGGCTTTTCTCTGCACAGCCACTTGAAATGTTTATCAGGTTATATGATTAAAATAGTTAATCTTGACTCTTTTCCCAAATGCGTTTCCTCCAGTTCTAATGAGTCTGGCTCACTATTATCGGAGTTCTTCGGGCAAAAAACCCACCATCTCAGGAGGTGTCAGATCCAGGCATTTTACGTTAATGTTTTCAGACAGGAAAAAGGAGGAAAAAAAGCCTCCACTAGTGAGTGGATAAATATCAGCCACGCATAATGCACTCTGATGTAAGAGGTATTCACATAAAGGCACATGGGGAAAAAGATGCTGAGAAGTATGATACAGTATGGAGTAGTGAAAGGATAACAGGATAAATGTTGCCTTGTTCGTGCAGTAAAAATCCGACACACATCCAGTGCCTCCAGTCCCACTCTGACCCAGCATCATGACAGAGCTGAGCACATTTTTCGCTGGTTTGTTTGTTTACATTCTGAATTATTTGACTTCATTACTACTTAAGCAAACAGACTATATATAGCATCTAAAGGCACATCATTAATGTCTGTCTCTGTATCTGAGATGCATCAATGTTGTGATCAAGTGACTAGTCCCAACCTGGCTAAAGTTTTATTTCAGGAAAGTGTTTTTGATTCCCTAGTCGGTGATGTGCTCTCGGGAAAGACCACATTTTAGGGCTGCACGGCAAGGGATCACATCAGCTGTAGCTTTAGTCTCTGTGCCCAAAACACAAATCCACTTTTCAAAGGGAGATAAGTGTTGAAAACAGCTCTACTGCTCCCACCTCGTGAAACAATTGTATTGTCTTGTAAGTGGCTGTTTTCGCTTTCTAGCTTTCAAGTGAAAATAATGTCTTTCGTCTTGGATTTGTTGCTTTTAACCATAGCTTATATTTCAAACCATCACTTAAAGATAAAAGTTAAAGAGGAGGGTTTTCTATATTCTTACAGCTGACTCAGTTGTTCAGCAGTATTGATTCATGCCAAAGGATACAACAAGCGAATGCAGAGGAGCAATGCAGATGTTCAAAACACAAACAGTTCTTTTCCCTTAAACTTCGAGCCTTATTACCTGAGATCGACTTCAAAAGGTGCAACCAACCCTCATTTTTATTGTTTTTACATCCAGATACATGAGCACTGAATTTCCCATGACCATGAAGTCTGTTACCGTGGGCATCACTAAATCTAGAGATGCCATGTTGTGGACCAACTGTGCTGTCCTATCCACAGGAAGAGTTATTGATACTTATATCAGCATGGCTTTGTAAGCATCTGCCTCTATGTTAGATTTGGGAGACGACATAATTATGTATCGGTAAATGTAAAAACACATCAATTCAATAATTAAATGTTGAAAAAGAGTGCAGCGGTAGAATCAGCTTCGAGATAAAGACATCTTTAAAGAAACCTCTAAATGGTTTCTTCAAGCATTTTCACTCTCTCCTCTGACTTAAGGGTTCTGTGAAGTTTTTGAGCATCCTGATGTTTACTGTAGTTAACTTAGATATACTTCAGGTCTCTATTAAACCAAAGGCTAGGAGCTGATGGACTCCTCTAACCACTGAGACTTGATTGAGCTCTCTCATTTGGCTCCACTGATGCCCACTGAGAAGGCTTTACCAATTAATCAGTTGTTTGGCACACCTGAGAAAGGCATAATTTATAGCAGACAGTCCAAACACCTGTTATGTTGGGCAGGGAGGGTGAAAGTCGAGTCATTGTGCAGCCCCTTGACTGTACATTAAGATGGATGATGTGTCGCCGCCTTTTCCCACTGTGCACGTTGATGCCAAAGTGCCGAGGCATATGCTGAAATATTGCACATTTGGAGTCAGAGTCTGCACAGTGGAGATCAGCTGGTGGAGCAAGGGTTCTGGCATCCTGCCTCTTCTGCTGACCAAAACACAAATTAAACTTCCTGATAAAACTGTAAATATCCCACAGGAAGAGTGCACAAGATTCCTGTGTGGGTCTTAAGTGAAAAATTCATGTATATGGATGTTAAATTGCACCAAACTTTGTGTTCTTCCACAGTTTCTCTTCCACAGTATCTCTTCCACTCTGTTAATTCAGCGCACACAGCTATAGACAGAGCTATCCGTGGCATTTCATCCAATTTTTGAATCAAATAACCAATAAATTAACCCGACAGGGAGGCAAATATATGGACATAAATCAGCATGATGAAACCTAACAATAATAACATACCGTATTTTCCGGACTATCAGTCGCACTGGGCCAAAAAATGCATAATGAAGAAGAAAAAACATATACTGGTATAAGTTGCATTTTTGGGGGGATCTTTATTTGACAAAATCCAAGACCAAGAACAGACATTTCATCTTGAAAGGCAAGTTATAATAATAACAGTAGAACAGAGAACAACATGCTTAATAGGTTTATGGTATGCCAACATAACATGTTGATGGTTATTCAGCTACATGAAGCATGAACAATGAGCTCATTAGGTGTCTGGTATGTTAATGTAACATATCAACAGTTATTCAGACAACTAAATCCATCGAATTCTTCATCCTCTGTGTCACTTCTGAACAACTCCGGAGTTGAAGGCTTCATCTTCTGCATGACTGTCATCAGACTATATGTGAAATTATATATTTTGATATATATATAAGTCGCACCTGAGTATAAGTCACAAACCCAGCCAAACTATGAAAAAAGTGTGACTTATAGTCCGAAAAATATAGTAATCTTAATTTTTGTAAGAGCTCGATTTCAAGCTTGATCCATGTACCGTCTGTTAAAATGATTGACATCCATCCGTTTTTTTTAAAGGCCTATGGTGCAACCAGGAAGCCCTAACACATTGGAGTTTAACTAGGAAATTAAATATTCTGGTCTCCTTGTTTTGGATCAATAGGCTGATTTGGGTTTCTCAAAGGATTTTCTAGCTTGAGTGTCTTGGTTTTGCCTTTTTCGTTAGCATCACTTAACCTAATTAAACTCTACACTATAATTGGGTTGAAATAGGAAGCATGAAAAACAGTTAAGAGAGGATAAATAGCAGCTCCATAAATGTTGCCCTCACATCCTCATTAGTGCTTCACATCTTTTTCAAACAAAGCTTCACCACAAAGCAGAGATGTCCAGAGGGTACCTCCAATTATTGTGTCCTGTTCTCACCTCAGAATCCTCAAGTTGCTTGTTTGTTCCTGAGGGGACATGGCTGTCATCCAGGGAATCATGTTCTCTCAGATGGTGCAGACTGTTCTCCTGGCATCTGTCTGTTTGCAAAATAAAGAGAGAGAAAAAAAAAGATTATTCGGTGCCCTCTTTATGACACCTGAGTCTACATGAACAAAAGGCTCTTCACCGCCTGTTTTGACATCAGTCTCACCTTGTCGAGACCTCAGAGTGATAGTGATTAATCTGTCTTGTCTTGCAGTAGATTTTAGGCGTTTGTTCTTCTTCTTTCATCCACATTTGCTTGCCTTTGAATGTGTCTCTTTCCTTATTTACATCTTTGCAAAAAGATCGACTTGACTTTCTAATAGAGGTCCATATGTTAAGTCAGTATGGAGTGTCAGTCTCTGCAGTGTGTCCCTGGGAGCTCAGAGAAACTCCTTCATCACGGCTCACTAAACAAATCAGGAATCCATTAATTGCATTTCACAGCAGTCTTAATCCGCAAATTAGGAATCAAGCAGCTCATTTTCTGTACGCTACCCTCTCTCTGCATGATAGGCACAAATTCAATTATACCAATCTTTTCTGCACTGTTTTTGACTCTGTTTGTTCCCTCTGTCACTTTCCCCAGTTTTGTATCACGTATGAACGCGTTTTATTTATTTTGAAACTGTCGGGAAATAAATTCTTGAAGCTCACAGAAAGACTGGAGAAAGAAGCTATGTGTCATTTTAAAATAAATATTTGATCAGAAAATACTTGGAAATGTCACACACTGCCACTCCTGGACAGATTTGTGAGCTAAAATTTGAAGCCATAAAATCTGCCAACAACTTTAGCTCTATGGGGAATAATTTCACCTCTTCAACAGGGTGGTGCTAAAGATCACGAAGAGCTTGCAATGGCTGCCTGTAAGATGGTGATTCATAAAGATTTTTCAAGAAATGGGGATGTTCACTTCTCCATAAGCATAATGAGTAACGTTCTTGAGTAATCTGCCCATGTGAAGGCGGCTTTAGAAGTGGAGACAGTAGTTTACATTGTAAGACACTGGTGAGAAAAAGGTGTCTCATCATGACTCAGGTGCTGAACATCACTGTGGGAAAAAGCAGTGGGTGGATATTTTTCACTTAGTTAGCGCCTTATTGCCACACAAGTTTTTCTAAGACAGAGAATCTTCTTAGTGGTTTAAAATAAATCAATATGTGATGGGAGGATATGTTTTTCTACAATTATAAGGAAAGCAGAAAAGAGCGAAAACAGGGCAAAATGAATGTGTTGTATAAGAACAACTCATTTTAGCCTATGAGTGTATTCAATCAATACAATAACAGGAATAAAAACAATGTTTGTCCAAATATTAGAAGAACTTTTTTTTTTACATATGGATAAATCACAATGTTAAAATGTGTCCATAGAGTTATGATGTAGAATGCCCAGCATAAGTCAGTCCACCTCCTATTAAAAGTAAAATGTATTACTCAATATCTGAGCAAAAGTACAATTTCCAAAGTTTTGACAAACATTTTATTTACCGTAAATTTTTGCTTTGCTCCCAGAACTTTGATTGGGGTGTACTCATTTTTGCATCCTGATTTTAAATTGAAAAAATAATTTTTTGGTTGCAATTTAATTAATTAATTAATTTTTTTGCAATCAGTGGCCTACATTTGGGGGAGTATTTTGTTGTGTAGCCTGATACATAGAAAATGTGGATTTTGAAAGGAAACTAAAAGTTTTCTGACAACTTTGAAGGTGTGTACTCATTTATGCTGAGCACTGTATTACCTATGTTTATATGAAGTGTGATTGGGGATCAGGGGTAAGTCAAATATTATTACATTTGAACATTTACAGTCAGAGATATTGTGGTACAACTCCACCATTTTGACATGATTTTTCTTCATCTACAGGCACTTCATTGTCACTATTCAGTGCCATCAGTAATTTCACATGTGTGATATCCAGTAAGGTTTTAAAAAAGATATTTCCAAAGCAGTCCCATTGTCTCTAGCAGTCTGTCCACTCATCCGTCAATCTGCCCATGCACGTGTCTGTCAGTTCAGAGGCTTTGCTTGCTCTTCATTTATTTTACCTTTCTGCTGAGCACAGCAACTGCAGTGAATGTGAGCCGTCCAGCCAACAAAGCACTGATTAATTGTCTGCCCCCGACAACAGAGAGTGAGAGCAGCAGAGGAAGGACGTTTGGAGTTAGAGAGAATCGTGTCGGGATAACTGTCCGTTCAAGCTTTGACAAGTCCAGACTGAGAAAGGAGATGGTAGTCTGGCTGAATCTCTGCGTGCTTTCTGTTGTTGATGTATACGTTTCAATAGTGTGAATCCAAAGTTGTGCACATTCTTCCACTTTCAAGTTCATCTGTCTGTCAGTCAGCGTGTGCCTCTGCTATGTGTATACTTTTTCCAAAGCACAGGTATGCAGACTCTGTTGTCTTTGTTCCACGGCACAATGATCACCCTGCTGACACCCATCCTCCCTGTTGGAGGTCAGATGTGTAGCATCTCATCAGCCCAGCTGTATTAGGAATGAGTGAGGAATCAATACTTATTGATTAACGGGGGTTGCCACAAGAAATCACATCCTTACCCAGCCTGCTTTGTGTCGGTGTCCTGGTGCAGAAGCAGATGGTCCTGAGCACCTGATGCAGCTCAGCACACAGGACATGTTTAGTGGCCCAGACACAAACCTCTCCACAGGACTCAGCTGTGCTTCTGCAGCACAAACACAATGACAAATTTAGATGCTTTTGCACACACACATACTGAGGCTCTTTTCAACAGAAAAGGATGTCAAGGATTAAACATTTTATGATTTTGGGAACATTTTGAAAAGACTCTAAATTAGTGGGTATTTTGGGTACAGTGCTTTTTGAATTTATTTTGCTAGTTTTTAACCATTGTGGGCGAGTTTAAACCATGTTTACATTCATGTGCTGAGTAAATCTCTTGATGTGCAACCCTTATGCTTAATGGACCTTAACAAGTAACGAAATTGGCTCACATTTCCCACAACCCATCACTCCCACTTGTCGTTTCAGGGAATATTTACTGCCACAGCCCTTTGCTATTGCTGACAAAGTGTATGTTAAAATGTGTCTTATGCAGTTTGTGGTTTAGACGCTCTGTATTTAATATTCACTGTGGGAAACAGAGGAACTCCCTACTCCTGAGCAGGTGTGGGGTGGTGGTAAGAGCCAATATCTGCCTCACTGAGTCAGCACAGTGCATCTGTCATGTAAGTAGAATAAAAGTGAACGTGTAGTATAAGTATATGAGACCCACAGCTTTGATGAAGACACCTTAATTTCTTTAACATATTCTTTAAGTGAAATATACGAGGAAAACTGAGATATAGGATTTTGCGCCCTCCGTTAAAACAATTTACATCAAACATTAAACTTCAATTGTGTTCTTGTATTTGACTATGTTGTCTGTGTTTGTGTTAGTATTCTAGTGAATCAACACATTGTGTGGGAGTTTCAGTGACTTCCATCGCAGAGGGAGAGTCCCTGTTCTGCTTGACTTGTTTTATTAACATGCTGAAAACTACCAGCCTCATGAGCTCTCCAAGGACAGATCATTTGTGGTAGAACATTAAAAGCACACTATGTCAACATAACGTGAAAGGTTGTATAAATCTGTGTGGTTTCTAACTGCATTCTTCATCAATCATAAGCAGATCCATCCTGTTAGGAAGTCTCCAAAGAGTGTGGCATCATTAGATAAACAAATAAATAAGAGAGCATTTCTCCTTTTCCTTCAGCAGTAAAGTAGAACTCATTTATTTAATACTGAGCAATGTGAGTAATAAAAATGAAAGAGAAGCAGAGACTTCTTTAACAGATTGACTTTTGCTTTGGTCGACATAACTCATATTCTTTTTGATTTGACTGTACACACTCTGCTGGAGACCATGATTGAGCACACAGACACTCTGCTAGGGTCTGTTTTTTTTCTGTGCAAACTCAGGATTTCAAAATAACTCCTCGTGTCTGAGTTGTTGGTCCAGAAGAACAAAAACAACCTTTCTTGTAAAAACTCCAGTGAGGGAGTGACTGAAGCAGGGAGGACAGTGTGATTATGCAAAGAGTCGTGTAGGTCACGCAGTTTGGTGCAACCTTGAATTTTCAAAACTCCAGGAACCAAACAACCCCCAGCAGAGCAGATGTTCATACATAAATATGTGAACTGGGATGTCAACGACTGGGTCAAGTGTTTGCTTCCCACAAATATCATACTGAGAGTTTTGTATTGACTTTATGTCTTTGTAGGTTACTCTTCTACATAATATGAATTTACTTACACAGCTCCTCTTATCTTATGAACAGTGGGATATAAATCTCTCTCTCACAAATATCAAATGTAAAAGTAATTTATTTTAAACTAAATAAATGATTAAAGCTCCTGTGAGTAACTTTCTGTTTGTGTCAAATTTGGCACCAGTGTGGACAAAGCAGTCTCTGCTTACCTTGTCCTCCACATGCTTGAACAGTGTCTGTTGACTTTTACTGTCAAATTTATAATCTATTATGAATACCTGATGTGAAAAATGCTGCTTTTCTGACACCTACCCCATCTGCATTCGATTCGGGAATTAAAAATCACAGTAAACAAATAGCCAATTTTGTTGTTGATGGTCTTGTTTGTTTTTGGATATAATGAAAAGACATCAGTGTGAATTTCAGTCCTATTTACAAACATCAAAAACTCCTCATAGTAGCTTTAAATAAATTAATACATTAATCGGCAATCAACAAAATGGGTCAGTAAATAGTAAGTACAGTGATAAATAAATAAAATAGATAAATAAGAATACTCATCAATTCCCTTTATGACATCTCTCTGGTGGACAAAACATAAAAGAGTCCTTACCAGGGTTCCCTTTTGAAACCAATTTGATCAAGGCCTCTGTACACTTGAAAGAGAAAAAGCATGAGAGTCCCTGTTGGATGCCTTTTCAGTAGAAAAGTTATGACATGATAAAGTGTCCACTGGGGCCCATCTTAAGGGCATAAATATTGTTTGTGGAGAAAAAAAATGGATAATATGCTAAGTATAGCACTCTTAAAATAAGAAAAACAATTGTAAAAGGCTTTTCAAGATGCACATGCAGTGAAGTAAATTCAATCTGGTGCCCTTCAAAAAGTGAAAGGCCCTGAGTAGGAAAGATTGTAGAGCCCATCATGACAGTGTTCTTGTGGAGAAAATGTGAAAACATGTTATTTAGGGTGACCTTTAAATGAAGAAAAAAAACAGCGTTGGACTGTGCAGGATGTCATGTTAACGGAGAGAACACACAGTGCCATATGTACTGGAAAACATTCAATCAATTGCATTCATCCTTTTCTTTTTACACCCTCTTTCCTTAGACATCCAGAGTCTGCATCAATATCTGTGTCCTACTGTGAGACCAGTACCGAACAGAATACTATCCTTGTGTTTATCAGGAAATATTATCATTGCATTAGATGGCTCCCTTTGATTGTTATAGTAGCTGCTGAATACAGTGGGAGGGATAATCAGAAAACGGAAAAGTTTATTGACCCAAACTCCAGGGTCTTTGGGGAATATCAGCTTTGTCCACGAGGATTTCTTGCCAATCCTCTTTAAAGAATTATTCCTGGACTGGAGCCTTTCTCACATGACCCTTCTTGCCCTAAGAAGATGCTCATGACCTGTTTGTCACACTGCTCTGCTTTCCCATCAGACACAGGATATGTGTGTCAACAGAGAGGGACTGCATGCTGAGACATCGTGAATATTGCAGAACCAAACAGATGTTGTGGTTGCACTGATGTACAATACATGTCATCAGTGTGTTTGTGAAAAAACAAACAAACTTCCTTGTGGTTTCACTTTAACTTTATCAGCATGTACAACCCCTTAAGATGTGTGCAGTGGAATGTGGATTCATCCACTTCTACCAGATAGTCATGCTTTAGAAACAGCTCTTTCACAGTATTCGCACACTGAGCTTGAAGTAGCTCTCAGAGAAATGATCTATAATCTACTACTTAAGCATAAATGCACTGCAGAGTGGAGGCACAAGCTTGCACTCATGAAGATGAAACCAGGAGGTGCTGTGTGTCAGGATCTGTGAAGTCAGCACATGTGATGAGCTTTAATGAGCGCAGTATACGAGGGAATCTCACCCATGTCAGGTTTTTTCTGCATCATCCTAAAGTAGAGCTTTAGACCCAGATCAATGTTAAGTACTCCCTCATTTTTTATAATCTGCTCCATTACTTAAATGACACAGAAGGATCTAATGAGTAATGGTGCCAGCTGCAATCAATAGGGGACCCACTCGTGAGATATGTGGATGATTTAAAGACCAGAGTGTTTACTGTAGCGTTTTGTTGTGCTTCGTAAGCGCAGATAGCAATTAATAAAGCACTTCATTACACAGAGGGAGGTTAATTTAATTGTGTTAACACAGAGGTTCTTGTTGAAATCAATGGTGCCTGAAGACAACATGTAGGTAAGAATATCATAATTATGTTGACTCGCACAACTAAATGTACTCATAGATGAATGGTATGTCTGCACCTCCTCCCACTGTACAAAAGAAAAGCCAGACTGCCTTCCCCCAACTGGGTGTTGATCTTAGACGTTTGGAATTAATCACTATGTTTACATGTCGTTAAAAAAATTACAATTATTTCTAGTCCTACTGGAACATGACTTTTAAAAAACATGCAAACACATTAGTCCAACTGAAATTGCACTAAATTGAACTTCTCAAAGTCGCACTTACATGCCTAAATAATGCAGTTGGGGATCTATTCTCTCTGTCATTATCATAGCTCAGTCAGATTGAAACTGTCCAAAGTACATGCCCCTGTGTTCGCACACTGGCTGGGTTGTCAGAAAGCAAAACCTCAGCAGACGAAGAAAGGACATAAAAAGACAAAACTTTAATATCCTAGAAACAAATAATTCAGAGCTGTTAAAGTTACAGTGTCTTTATCATTTGACGTACATCCCATTAGCCTCTTGTTGACATGGTTTGCTGACTGTTTTGACATGTAATACATCAACTGGGAGATGACCAGAGGGGAGGCCAACAACTTTCTGTTAATAATTCAATTTTTGCCCAGTGCATGTAAACTGGGACCAGGATAATAGTCCAGTTAAATCACTAGAAGAAGTGATTTACCCAGAATCAGTAATGCATCCTCTGAAACAGAAATTATTATGATATTATTCGTACTAATGTTAAAATGGATAAAGAGCAGTTTATGACCTACTATGCTTTGACCAGTCTGAGAATGAACCCCTGAGTCTTTTGACTTCACATGTGAGGATCTGTCAAGTCGTCCATCTTTTTATACTGTGTGTGGTTCAAATATGCCTGTTTAGTCTAACTGTGTGGCAAAGACTACAGTTCGGGGCTCTGCAGAAAGCAAAACAATCAATCTTTTCTGTCCTCTAGCATGAATAAACCATTACACTGAGCACAAGTTAAGCTCTGTTTATTCGTACAGCAAAATAAATCTGAGTATAATTGGGGAAATAACTGTGCCTGATATTAAGAGTTTTACTGCATTTCCCCTCTTAATTGCTTCATTTCGAACTGACGCTGACCACTTGATCGACAGCATTCTCTAATTACAAAACAGAATACCCACTCATTCAGTCTTAATGACACTTATCACTGAAGGAAATCTCATAAAAACCTGGAAAGAAAAACATTTGGATGGTATCCAAAGAGGATATGGATGCAGTGAGGTCATCGCTGTGGTGAACACAGAGCTGTTTGTGGGTTGGGTTGTTGTCAAGCTGTGACTAACTGTGATTCAGAAAAGCATGTTAAATGATTCAGAAGTGAGTGTAGAAGAACTAAGCATGCTTTTAAGGTCTTATTTTTCACAAACTTTCACAACCAAGTGACCCATATTCACACAATATCGTATTAATTTTGCATTTAAACTGAATCAAGAGTTTTACCATTTGTACAGTGTGCCTATTACTCTGTGCTGCTGCACTGGTTTGTGGGTTATGCATGCCAGTCAAATGATACCGTGTGTTGCAATCTGAGTAGCACAGTTGCTCATTCATGTTTACATCAATGAGCATTGTGCAAAGGATAGAATAAAGGTCCCACAGGAAGTTATTGTGCTCTGAAAGTAAAATTTGCACTGTAATTGTGTGGTAAAAATTACTTCCTGAAGCCATGTTCAGCACTGTTATCTTTTTTTTTAAATCAAAGAATGACTAATTTCCCCTCTGATGTAGTTAGGAGGCAATGTAATAAAATCCCCACATTTCCAATTTAACTAATTTCAGAGTGCTTTATTCAGACTGAATGATGGCTCTATCTGAAAAAGCTTTTGATGCCAGCAGATGAGAGGTTTTGCGCAGATGCTAAGTGGCTCCAGTCTAAAGAGGAGGGTCCTCCCCCTTACCTAGCACAGACAGGCACGGGCTACTGCTGCGCTGGCACCAGAACAAAGCCCTCCAACAGCTGCTTGATAATGTGCAACCTTTAATTACATTCTGATGCCTCAAGTCTGGCCTGTGTCGCTAAGCGGAGAACCCTCACCCCACAGAGCATGGAAGAATTATGTAAGAGTGCCTTGCACATTGTTAATCGGACACAACACTATGCTCTTATTCGTACTTACACTTCTACATATTCAGGCCCTGGGATTCCTTTAGGACATTAAAATTAATATTTTGTGAGCTGAATAGTCTTTGAGAAACAACTTGCATTGTGTAATTCAGCTAATCTCGCTTCTTTTTTGCTGTTTAAAACAAGCTTGCAGGCTAAAAGTAGCTTTGCATTTACAATGGGAGATGATATAAGGTCCTAAAAATCTCTGGGGACTCAATTTTATATTTGCATCCATTATGACCAGTGCCTAAGTTTAGTTTATTTCTGTTTAGTGTGATATTAAAAGAAATCAAAATTAATAAATGAACTTCAGGATTACATGGCTGTGTGTCTGTCTGTTGTCTTAAATTTCCATTCTGTCTTGCACAGCTGTTTTTATAAACATTCCAGCATCCTGTTCTAGATCCACCTTAGTGCTGGACGATAAGGTCCTTCATCACTTTATATTGGCCTCCCACTTAATTGTAATAGCCTGCTTGAGTGCAGATGATAAGCTACAGCACAGAGAAGCATTTATCATTCACCCTGGCAACTGTGCCCTGCAGTTTAGAAATGTCTGCTCCTGCCAAAAGAAGTGCATGAACTGACCCACAGTGCTTGATTTTTTGTTGTTTCAGGGTAGTCTGATCTCTGACATGGAAGTATGCGCCAACTTGCATATGGCTGTGAGGTTCTCAGTCAAGCAAGTAAAATTAAGTATTCTGGCTTTCTGTGCAACCACTTTTAAAACTATTACACTAATGAGCAAAACAATTTTAAACTTAGCTATAATTTGAAGAATTATGAATTCCATTAAAGGGCTTGTATTTTTCACCTTTCTTTTCTAAGTGCTGTAATGGCAAGAAATAGGCCGACTGAGAGGAATGCAAGCTGAGAGGCATAGAGTCTGGCTTTTAGACACTACCTCATTTTCGGATCCCACGAGTATATCAGCACATCCAGGTAGGTATCAGGCTCTAATCCAATCATTTACACCCTAATGGATCTTATTCACAGATATTCTGAAAGCAATTATAGAAAAGCTGAGGCCTGAGGGAGCAGGTTTTTGCCTCTTTTTATGAAGATATTTTAATAGTTCAAAAAGATCTGAATAGCAGAATTAAGTAAATCCATCGGTGGTTGTTCAAAAGGTTAGGGATTGGGCTGTATTTAGCTCTGCACTATAAAGCAAAGCATCTGCACTCCTCCTCAAAGCGATACCAGGTTAATCCGAAGGGCACACCAAGCTAAGCTTTTGTTGAGTTTTTTTCTGTTCTTCCTTCTCATGGACCATTGTCCTTGCTACCTGGGGAAAAGAAGCAATTCTTTTGTACAGCCAGAAAACTGTGCTGCTCTGCTTCAGGTAAGAAGAAAAACAAAGAGCTCAGTGTTTGTCATCCGACCAGAGGGGGCATCAGCAGCTCACCGCCCCCCTCCCTCTACACTCATTCTCCAAAGTGGTCGGCCTAACAGTTGGCAAGTATTTCATGTCCCTCTACAACCAGCTGGCTAAAAAGCAGTAGCTTACCATGTATCATAAACACAAAGCAACACAATACCAACAGCCAGGCCGTGCATGGTGGTGTTGAATGACTTGTCTTTGTGAGGTGTAAAAAAGCTGATGCTGCAGTTTCACAGCACAGTGACAAAAGGTGGAAACCAGTTACCTAAAGGTAGAGTTAATATGGTGTTTCTGCAGTGTGTCTGTGTGCATGTGTATGCTAGTTTACACCATCATACAAGGATGGATTAACATCCAGGCAAAGCTGACAAATGCAGACGCAGCAACCTCCAGCATTTAAAAAAATAACTGTCTCTTCGAAACAAACTTCTGTACAAATTGAAAATTTAGTCTGTTTTCACAGAACTTTATCTCTAAGCCACAAAAATGTGACTACAGTGAAGTTCTTAGTGGTCTGTGGACATACTTAAAAAATGTGCCATTGCTGCAGTGGAAAAAAAACGTTGATTTAATTCTCATGACTTGTATGTTTTGAGGTTCCAGCTATTGTGCATGGCCTGTGGTTGATCACACTGTTTAGTCTTAGGCCTTTTAACCACCTAAATTAAGATGTCTATACTTTTACAGTTAAAGCCTAATGACTGCCTTCACATGAAATTTGTGTGTTCATGGTTATGACAAACAACGGGCCTTAGCTAAACTGTTTTAATGAAAATCTTGTCAGAAGAAATTTGTTGGCTATAATAATTATAACAGAGCTGTCAAGCGTCACGCTTTAAGTGTGACAGTCACGCAATTTGACCCATTCTCACACCACACAACACACTTGACATTTCTCACGCTTATATTTCCCCATTCAAATACTGTGTACTTATTTTTTTCATGATAACAAACTTGGTTTGCCGCAGTTAGAGTAACTCTGACTGACCGAGATAACCAATCCCAGACCAATCCATCAGTCCTCTGTCCCTAAATCTAACCAACCACGGAAGGCACCACGCAATATAAACCAATCAGAAGCAACGTAAGGCGGGCCTTGGCTTCACTAACTATCTTGTCCCCGGCTAAATGATGGAGAGTTGGTTGAAATGCAATATAGACAAATAAATGTATTTTGTCAAAATTCTTGTTACAATTTTCATTTTTTATTTTTTGGTTAATTAAAATTAGAAATTAGAGGCCACAGTGCAGGGAGAGAAGCTGGCATGGAGGTGAGGAAATTTATTATTATTATTATTATGATTATTATTATTATTATTTTCATTAACTTCAGCTGCTGCATCATTTCTGAAAATGTCAGAAAGTTATAAAGATCGGATATTTCTTATGTTTTTTTTGGTTATTTTTTAAATTCTTTGTGTGTGTGTGTGTGTGTGTGGGGGGGTATTAAGGTACCATTGTCACCATCATGTTACCTAGATACCTTAATGAAGGTGCCATCATTACTTGAATTCACAACACCTGTGCTCTTCCTTTGATATCAGGTCAAATGATATGGGGGTCCATCAGATTGATTTTGCCCTGGGGCCACCATTCTGGTAAATTCGCCCCTGCCCCCAGTGCTGCTCACACTTCCGTCTTTGTTTAAAACACTGAGCACCTACACAAAAGCAAAAGACAAAAGAGTAAAAAGGAAAAAAACAAACAAACAGGACATTGAAAACCAATCTTGTGACAACTGCAGCAACAAAACAGAGCAGATGTTACACAAATATTCTACCTACTTAAATGTCTGTCAGCTTTCCTGAACGTGTCTCAGGAATAAATCGACAGTCAGCTGCCTGCTTACCTGTCTGCCCTCCCCTCTGAGCTCCTGCCCTCCTCACAGCCATCCGCCGTTGCCAAGGTTTCCGTGTACGCGCTGCCCGCGAGAGCGGTGCCGCGCGATTGTCATACAGTATTGCCAGACATGGCGGCGGATCTACAACCCGAGTGGATTTCTTGTCTCCCCTCTTCCTGGAGTTATGGGGTAACTCGGGATGGACGCGTCTTCTTCATTAAGTAAATATCTCTCTAAGGAAACATGAGTCGAGCTTTTCCCTGTCTAGTTCCAGTTACAAAGTCAGCCTGTAATAATGACCGCCTTTCCCTCTCTCAACAGCGAAGAAGCCAAGAGTACAACCTGGCTGCATCCAGTAAGTGGCGAAGCGGTAATAACCGGGCACAGAAAAACTCCAGGTAGGTGTCACTTAATCACTGTGGGTTTTTTTCCTGTCATTTTAACCGTGATAGTCGTCATGTCTGCTTGTTGTTGTTGTTGTTGCTGCTGCACATATTCCCAAACCGATACTTTTCACGGTGAGAGGGGAATGAGAAAGGCTGTGTGACATGCATGCTGTGTTTCTTAACGCACGAGTGGGCTCGTTGGGTCGCTAGTGCTGTGAAAAGTGAGCCTTCTTATTTTGCCCACCTCTGTCCGTGCTCGTGCCACATACCGCGTGAGCCTCGTTTTGAGGTAGGTCTGTCTAACGTGCTTAGCTGACGTACTTGTAAACTTGTTATCGACGACTTTTGAAAGCAACAACAACCACCTTCATGTAGAGTCATCTCTGGTTTCCACGCCGGAGTCCTCCTCTGACCACACAGTGTGTCAAAAATGTTCACTGAACTGAAGTCGACCGAGCTAAAAACATCAGACAGGTAAAAAGCAACAGCTGCTGTAGACGGAGGGGCCAGTAGAGGTTAGCTATAAATCTACAAAATGAGCTTCCTCACTCCCACTATTTCTACAAAGCTCCGTCCTGAACGCAGTGTGTTACTTAGCTAAATTGGATCCTTGCAGTGTAGTATACTAGTGACGTTACTCTGCGCCTAACCACAGTATGTAGCAGCCTCCTCATACAACCTCAGGTCTCTGCAGAGCATTCCCACTCATGTTATTGAACAGCTACAGCATCTCATGAGAACTGCAACTACACATCCTCTCCTTGTCTGAACACTTCCAAATCCTTTAAGCAGAACAAGCAAGTAATGATTTGTCAGTCAGGACAGAATTCATCTTCAAATAGAGTGATAATCTGTCAACAGTGGTGTTCATTGATTGTAGTTAATGAAATATAAAGAGTTTGCATATTAAGTTGTCTTATAGGGCCCGACCGATATGGATTTTTTGGGGCTGATGCCGATACCGATTATTAGGGGGGAAGAAAAAATCAGATTACCGAATAATCAGACAATTTTTTATTTTTTTTTATAAGGTTATAAAAATATACATACTGTGGATATACTGCCGATATACTGTAGGCTACTGCCTTTAACGCCGACAGGAAGACAGACTAATCAAAGTCGGATCAGAAAAACGTTTTCAACTATCCCCCCGCCGCCGAAAGGCGCCTCCGCGTCTCAACTCACGTTACATATTTGCGGTCCGGTCTCATCTGGAGACATGCAACTGCCCCAGTAAGAAAAGTAGCTGGATCACGTAATGTGTACTGTTGTTTATTCTACCGTTACTGGCACGGCTAACAGTGTAGCAAGGCTAATAGCAGATGGCTAACTCTACTCTAGCTTGCATATTACATGGTGCTTCACCGTTAACTCGGCATGACCGAGACCAGCACAGCGGGGAACATCGTGAAGTGGGTTGAACTGAAACTTGTTGACTTACTATCTATTTCACAAACTAGTTTATTTACCGTTGAGGCGGACCACTCTCCTCCGTGCATCCCTGAGCTGCCTACTTCAGATCTGTCACTCTGCTGTGCTGTGAGGTAGTTAGTGGGTCAAGATCGCCATGAGTAGTCGCTGCACCATCTACAGGATAAGTCAGGGAACTTTTCAAACCAAATCTTATTCTCTGCATTTTATTTCAGATAATATCGGCGAAAATTTGCGAGTTTTGGCCGATTACCGATTAGTCTCAAACAGGCTAAAATTGGCAGATTTAATCGGCTCGCCGATAAAGCCGTTGGGCCCTGTTGTCTTATGCAATAGTTACTTGAAAGCCTTTGAGAGTTTGGCTGCTGCTCAGACAAAACAACAATGTGAAGACATTAACCCAAAGGAAAGTGCAAAGAAGTCTTCCATTTAAAAGCAAAAAAAAGTATAACTACAGAAAGAAAGATTAGAAAGTTAACAGACAATTAATGCCAGTCGCAAATCAAAAAGTCAACCAGAAACAGCAAATGCATCGCCTTTCTGCTCAAAGAATTAAATCACTCTGAAATCATCAAGTTATTTTCCAAATATGTGGTAATGGATGTTCTCTCTGTCAGCTTGGTGTGCATTTCATCTCTTTTTTTCCTCTGACAGCTGAGAATGCATTAACCTTGGTTTTCCACCAGTTTGCATTCACTTGTTTTTCTACAACTCTTCTTTCTCAACAGACCTACCCACTGGATGGGAAGAAGGATATACTTTCGAGGGTGCTCGCTGCTTTATCAAGTGAGTTAACACCCTCCTGCACACCCAGACACAGACCCACCATCACCCCAGAACCTGTATACTCTTTCAAAGCACAGACCTTTAGCATGCATACCATAATTATCAACAAGAATTTATTTATTGCTAGTTTTACTGCCTCAAGTAAATGGAAAGGCTTTTTCAAATGCTGTGCTGCTCCTGAAGATATGCTGTGTAGTGGGAGTAAGAATCACAAGGCTGTAAATTGGGAACCTTTACACCCGTACTGTAGAAGCCTGTCACAAAAGTTAATGATTACACAAGCGCATTGTGCAAATACTAGTTGGACATGGGCAAAGTGTGGTTGTTGCCTTTTTGAAAGTTGTTTTATTTATTCAGGCTGAACTGCTCTTAGCTGAGAGTATACAGAAAGAGTTGGGCCAACTTTTAATGTTTTATCTTCTTCTGCTAGTTATCAGAACAGGTGTCATTACTGTTTGAGTGTATACAGTTTGCTTATACTTTGGCACTAGTCTTGTAGTAGAAGTTGGCAACTTTCTTAAGGTTATTCTAACCCACAAGCTTAAAGCACTTTTTATTTTAAAGTCTCTGTCATTGATTTTGTTGGAACATCTTCCTTCTTTGTATTCTTTCGTTTCTGCAGTGTGCAGCAGAAAATGTGGCACATTATCCATGTCCACTTATAGTAAACATTTGGCTTGCTCAGGTTGTGCCCTTTTTGTTTGACGACCTGGAGCTACATGAATTACATCAGCAGTTGGCCGTGTTACAAAGTTGTTCATCTGCAGTATTTTTCACATTTTCATACCCATGGTAGTCTGATGCATGCAGCAAATAAAAAGAGATCATAAGTGTTATCATTCAGTCAGCACTGATTCATCATCCGTCATCAGTGTTCACATCCAAGGGTATGAGTGGAAATATTCTGTTATTCTGCATGTCCTAATGAAATGCTCCTCTGACACAAGAGGTTTAGATATTTCGCAGATGGATTTCTCTGCCGAGTATACCAGAATGCCTCTGTATGATTGAAGACATTGCAATACACAGGCTACGAATTCAGGATATTATGCCTTATTATCCCCACTCAATCCCCTCTCAGCTTTGACTTCCTCATGAATTTGAGGAGCTTTATGTGGCAAGATGCCAGGCAGTCAAACTGAAAGGCAGTCATATTATGTTCCAGAATTATATCATAGCTTCTTTGCAGGAAAACGACGAGTCAGAGACCACATTCACGAGCTGATCACTGTGATTCTGGCACAGTGACATAGGGATGTTAACGTAACAAACTAATGTCATTGTCCTCCGCTGAGCAGGTACTCTGCCTTTTGGAGGTGGAGAAACGGAATTGCCTTATGCAAAAGATACACGTCAAAAAAACATGTTAGATTTTTGGAAAAATGTGAAAACATTAGATGTTGAATTCAGCATTTTTTTTTTTAATCTAGTGTGGTGCAGGTTTTTTAGCTCTATCTCTCTGTGACTGAAGGGCCACTGGCCTGTTTGCAGGATACAAGATAAACCAGCTGTTTAACAGAGGATTAAGAGAGCACAGGCTGTAGTGATTAAAGGGATCTACTGTATGTGTCGTACAGATGACATATCATTTATACTTATTTATAGACCTTGCTGTTCTGACACAGAAAACATGGATATTTGATATTTAATAATCATATTTAAGCCAAGCTGATGACTTACGATTATTTTTATTTCCGCTGAATCTGTCGAAATAATCTACCAATTACTTTCATGAAAAACGGATAATCCTTTATTGTGTGACGTGCCAAATTAACATTGAAACCGTAATTTCTCAGGGCGCAAAATGAAACGTCTATATCTTTTCTTTTCAAGGCAATAGCTAAAACCCAAAGAGTCTCTCCCTTTAATAAAATAATGAAAATGAGCAAAAAATGAGCCGATCTTCACATTAAAGAAGCTAGCATCAATAGACGTTGGAGTTTTCTGCTTCAAAAACTACTTACCATCCAAAATGTAGGCTTTGAGTGTCGAAGCAAATGTCTTTTAGTCTCTTTTTTGGGCCTTGCACACAAAGTGCTCAACCTTAGTGAATGAATGTGAGGTCCCGTAATAGAGAGATTAAACTTTCATAGCTCTGCAACTTCCATGCAAGAAGTTAATGGCTTGATTATTTTTAAAACTAGAAAACTCTAAACATTCATTTTTCCATTAGACTTTTCCATTGATCTGCTGTTTTAGCATCTGAATTGCGAGCACTTGATTTAATGCAAATGTCATCTTTTGTGATTGCAATTTAAAATCTGCCTCATTGTAATAGTATTGGGAAGCTTATGCTTATCAGGCTAAGTAGGACAGTTTACAACAACCATAAATTAGTTAAAGTACTGCTGCACAACAAAGAAGGCACATGCCGCTGTTTGTTTGTGGGCAAAGAAGCAGCTACATCATCTGTGAATCTCTTCGTCAGCTGTAATTACAAGCACCAGCTATCGTAAACAAAGTACAGAAAGTTGATGTGTTCGGCTGAATGAACTGAGTCTGTTCTGAACTGTTGCCAAGCAAGTATTAAACTGAAACACAGAGAAACAGCCTCAGGAAATGGTATCTGATCAGCTATGTGACCAGATCTGTGTCTAATTAAAAACAATTTTTAGAATAGAGCAAAGTGGCAGAGCAATGAGTGGAATAATTGAATTTCGTAAGCATCACACACGAAGATGAACAGTGCAGTGCAATACTCGCTTTAGTTGTGGTGTCACTCATGTCTTTCACTCATGTCTCACCTCTCTAATTATCCCTAAGTGTCACTTATCAGTGGTGCATGTTACTTATTTTAAAATCATTATCGCGTGATTCCTTATAGAGCCCTCTGAAAATGTTAGTAGATGTTTAGCATGTTGCACAGCCTTCTTTTGAATCCGGAGTCACTATTAAAATGAAAGCTGATGCTGATTGTGTGTTTATGGCAGATAATCAGCCTACATTTGACCAAGGCTGCTGGCTTGTTTGTTCTGCTTAATTGAGGCTAATTTTCGCAGACTGTTTACTCACTCAAAACAGCCCTTTTGAGAGCTTTTCGTTTTTTTTCGTAATCTGGTCGCCATTGTGTAAAAATTTTGCTAGGTAAGTGTGGTGACTCAGCACATCAAATTAGATCATTTTATCTGTTTGTGATGAAGATCAGTCATAGATGTGATTGAACTCTAGTAATCGGCTCTGTGAAACCATGCTTGTTCATTTCACTGTGACTCATTGGGATTTGTTGAAATGTTTATATGACAGTTGTCTTGGACAGTACTTGAGGCATTAAAGGTTGCCAATAAAAACCCATTCATGCCAAGCCAAATCCTCAGCTAGAAAAATAACAGGAAAAGAGCTGTTTTACTGTATTTTATCATTATTATGTGGTCAATTAAGCATAGTTAAATATTGTAGTGAAGGGTTTTATTTTTGAATTTACAAAAAAAAGGTACAAACACAAAACAAATCCTCTCTACTTTTGCCTCTATACTTGGTAGATAAAGCCTTGATCTCTGATTGATTTCTATGACTCAGTTTTTGTGACGCCTTCAGAACGACCCTGCTCTCTCACATGCTGGCGGTGCGGCTCGTCTCACCATCAGGTCACACAGTGTGAGCATCAAGGAGCAGATTGTGCTGACACAGGCTGTTCTCTGATGGGACAAGACGGCAAGGATTGAAGCTGCAGATTGTTTGTGTGATAGTGCGGACAAGACACACAGGCTCTGATTCATGTATGCCTCTGTAAGTTTTGAATGAGTGAAGGTCAGCGCAGATGGTAATTGAATCAGTCATGGCTTACTGCTCTGCTAAGACTGTACAGCAGTCTGTGACGGTTCTGGGTGTGTTGCGGGTGGTCCAATGCCAACAGATCCTCTATTCTTCGAGGGGCGTATGAACTGGTCAGGACCTGCTCTCCTGAAGCAAGTGAGATAAATATGATGGGATTATATGCAAATGTAGAACTTTTATTAGTGTAGTAAACTGCTTTGTTTTTAGGCGAAGGATATGAAGGAGTAAAATATTTTTAAAAGCTCTAAGGTCAAAAACCTGATACCACTGCTTCTGTTCAGCAATATTATATGCCCTAAAATATACAACTTTGTTTTTCTGGAGAACACGCCTACACAAGCAAACACACACACACACACACACACACACACACACACACTGACTATGGCTGTGTTGGTGGATATGCTGATGTGATGATGCACAACGAAATACCATCTTTTCTAATTGAAAACATCTGATTTACATCTGTTGTTTACATACATTCAGATTCACACACACACATTTACACTCACACACTTTACACAAGAGTGTCACCGTGTCTCCTCAGCTGCTGTGGCTCATTAAAAAGACTGTCAATACAAGTCAACAGCACTCACCTATTAGTCCTGATACATTCTGTTTTTTAAGCCAGTGGCTTTTGGCTCTTGTCTCAGCTGCTGAACTTGGCAATAAATCAAAGAACACTAAACTCTGTCCAGACAGTTTGTTGCTTTGGTCTGCCAGGAGCTAAAACAATAAACCAAGCACCAGAGAAACAGACACTTTTTCCTTTGGATTACTTGTTTGTTTCTTTGTTTTTATGTATTTAGCATTGGTACCCTGAAGACTTAGCTTAGATATTGTCCAGTTTGTAGAGCTCATATAAGAAACTTTAAGTTTGTGTTGATTCTGAAAACGCTGATGGGTAAAAGCTTTACCTTCTTCTAGGGCTGGGCGATAAACCGAAAATTTACAGATACCGAAATTTACGACAATAACCGACATCATTTTGCCCATGTCAATACATTTGGTGTCAAAACAATAAATAGATCAAAGTTGATTTTGGATGTGCATAGATAGGCTATGGTCTCATGTCCCTTTAAGACACTGTCCTTTGTTGGAAATGTGACTCCACCCCATCCAGTCTGTAACAAAGAGGGAAAGACAGGTGAGGAGATGGAGGACAGTTCAAAAGTTGTAGCGGCTGGAGTAGACGAAGTTAATGTGGGAGGGGGTGAGCAGCTTGTGGAGTAGTTATTGTCCATTTATCATTATTGAGGTGAACTGCTCAATATATTGTGATATTGATTTAAGGCCATATCGCCCAGCCCTATCTAACACCCACCCTGCAAAACCATATGCAGACACTGAAAATAACTGCTTGAAAATAGTCAATCTTTATGCTGATAGTTGTGTTTGCTTTTGTAGGTCATACAGAGGTATCACTATTACTGTCAGTCTATTTCATAACCAGCGAAAAACTCCTCACATGAGCTCTACAGAACAAATATGAAACACTGTAGGCTGCATGAGCTCTCTGCAATATACTGAATGGAGAGTCAAGCAATTGGATGTTTTATTTTCATCACATTTTCTGTGTTTCCCTCTCTAGGGGATGACAAGTAAATTCTGCAGCCACCCAGAGTGGCGTATCTCGGTTAGTTTTCGTTTGTGACATCAACGGGGTTTTGATGAGACTGTGCCATCTGGCAGATTTGCGTTTTCCATTTTATCTCTGTAGCACATAATCCCACATTTTAACTTAAGCTGCAGGACATGATTTGGCCAATTGAGCCAGCATTTTGTCAGAGAGTGTTTGCTGTTAATGTCTGCTAATGAGGATTCTTGACCTGTGAGGACCTTTCAAAAATGTGTATTAGGATAAGTGGGGTAATTTCAGTTTAAAGGTGCAAAAGGCTTTACATGCCGGTGGGAGAGTGATGACCCTAATTATGAAATTGTTGCCTGGTGGAGTGTTTACAGTGATTACGTGTATGAGGAGACAGGTACAGATCTTCTCCTAGTTCCCCGTCTTTGTACTCTGTTTTGGCTCATTAGCTCTGTATGGGATAACCAGACTGCAGAAGTGCAGGCTAATTACAGTTTCTTACACAATGAGACTTTAGACAGCTGACGTCTTGTTTTAAAGCCAAATAAGTGACTTATGAGTTCAAGAGGATGCTGAAACACCGTATCCTCACAGGGCTTCAGACCAAAAGTCCTGCCTGATTGCTGCCCAGTTATTAATGTTTTATTTGATGACATTTTATCTGCATCCTTTGAGGGTAATTTGCTGGTCTTGAGTGCTCATCAGTGTAAAGTGCAATATTAAATATAAATATTGTACCAGCCTGCTCTGCTAGCACCACTTTCATTAGACCATTCACTTCTGCTGCTGCATAATTCATCTCTCAGAACAAAGGAAAACATGTCAATTGAAATTTAGACAATTATGACACATACATATCCGCTTTGTCTCTGCTAGTCTTGAGCTCAATCTGAGTTTTGGATTCCCACACAGTGGCTAGAGTAGGTAAACAGTAATGTGACCTGTTCAATACTTGATTTTGTGGTTGTCCCTCACATATGAATAATCAGATTTTCTTATTTAAGGTTTCTGTTGTTTCTTTAAGGTGACAGATAAAGATTTGTATTGTAATGACTCAGCAGAAAAAAGCTGTAAACACACCAACTTCATTTCTATACACTAAGCATATAAAGAAGAACCATGCCTTCTTTTGAGGTGTTTTTGTCTGATTAGATGGCATGTGCAAATCCAATTCCCAATCTCTTCTAGCTCCGCTTTTAGTCTCCACTAACTCAAGAGGAAATTTTTCACTGCTTGTGTTTGGAGTAGTCAAAAGTTTCTGGAAGGAGGTTCTTGGATTGGGTAGCCAAATTATAAAATTGAGGATTCCTAAAGTTTTACATCTTTCCAAGAGCCGTAACAGCTAAGAGGAGCGGAAGTGATCTTTTTGAGACTTCATGTTGTAAGGTATTAAAAAGACCATAATTGGTAATTGTTGAAGTGCAATGACAGCCATAGACAGCTGGTTCTTTCATGGGATATTTCAGAAACAGCTAAACTTGCATCTTGGAGTTGGCTTTACCCCTTTAGTTACTTTCAGTGTCATTTTTTTAGTCATCTGACCAAAATGGTTGTTCTTGCTTTGCCTCATCCTAGTTACATGCTTGGTGACACTTACCACAGTGACACTTGAGGACATCAGTAGAATCAGGCATTTTATCAGAGCTGTGAAGAACGGATCAGCATGTGTCAGACTCCAGGCAGAAGAGAATTTTAATAACTTTGTGAGTAACATGAGCTGAAGTGAATAAATATCTACAGTGTTAGGGGACAGTCTGGGGAATGAGCACACATGGATGAACATTTCTGTTCATGTTGGTTTGCAGTGACTCGCTCTGTATTTTCACCTGCAATGATGAAACATGATTTGAGGGTTATGATGTCAGTTTTAAAAGGGACTCAAACCAGAGACCTAAGTCCTCTTTGACTGTCAGACACAAAGTCATGTCAGACCTTAAAGGAACTCTGTCCTCTTCAGAGAATAATACAAGCCTCTGTGAGCAAAGACTCATATCAGACTTTATTGTATAAGCCTGATCCTCCATTCAAAGCAGTATGAGAGGTGACCAGCTGGGTCATTGGCAGCAGTTTTAAGACCTCAATAAATGATCGTAATTTCATCTACTCACTGAGGTACCATCATCAAAGACAATGGAGATAATTCTGACTTAACATTTAGAGTGCCTTTGCTGGTGCAGCCAGTCAAGTTTTCTCTGTTAAGACTATTTATCAGCAAGAGTCTGACAATAATATTTGTACAATCATACCTGGACTAAAATTCAATCCTCAGTTATTTTGATAAAATTTGTGAAGTGATGGATATTGCAATTTTTAAAATCTAATGTAGAAATCTTTGAAGTAAGAAAAAAAGCACAACATGCACAAAATCTTGGAAAAAAGTTTTTTTCTGCTGACAGAACAGTTGAATGACAATTATCTGATTTCCAATACCATATTATAATGACAGTAATCTAAGTCAAGCAAATGAGCAGTGTGTCTACATCATTAAAAACTAGTATACTAATATCAGAATAGCACAAAATAATTAAAAAGTGAATCAGTCAAATAATAAGAATCAATAGAGATTACAAAACATAATATTTCCATGTTTTCTTCTCCTGGTGTGACAGAAGCTGTGACCTGTCATAAATGCTGGGTTTAGACTTGGATAAACTGCTCTCTGCTGTGTAAAATATAAATGAAGCTGCAAGGCCCTGTACAGCACAGTTAACCTGCAGTGTGATTTAACCCAATTTTCTAGTCACAATCAATTATTTTTATGCCTTAAGCAAAGCAAAAACTTGTGCCTGATGAGTCAGCAGGTGTGAACTTGCATTTTAGGTCACCTCGGGAATACCTTTTTTTCAGTAATTCAGTTTTAAACTGGTGTTTTATATTAACGTTCAATGTATATTATCCTGAATCAGCAAGAAACATGTATGGCTCCTTCTATCCTGTGTAATAAAAAACCCCACAAACAATCATGTAAGAGAAAATGAAAGCATCAAAAAACAGGTTAAACCAGCACCAATAAAACTCCCACTGCTTAAATTAGATGTACACCCTATCAGAACTAATGAACTGTAGCCTTGCGAGGTTGCTGGGGCAACAAAAGCTCTTTTTTTTGGCTTTTTGTTCACTGGTATGAGAAGCAACATTCGACTTCACAGCAGGAATTTGTCTTGTTCTTCCATTCTTGCGCCAGTTGCACTGTGGAGTACCGTGGAGATTTATTATCAAGGCAACAGGTAGAGCCTGTTTCTTTCATTAGTTTTGCTCAAGCCGCAGGCTATCCCTTCACACATTGATTTAGACTGGACACCTCACCACTTTGCCTCACAAAGACAGATGATCTCATTCACATCTGTGTGCAAATTAGTTTCCAATTCATTTCACATGTGTGTGTAGTAAGGTGGAGATAACTTGAGTGTCCATTAAAAAATCACAGACATGCAAAGACAACATGCAAAATCTCCTGTTGAAAAATGAGACAGTGGAAGAGTGTGAGGAGAGATCAAAATTTACAAGGTATAAGAAACAACATGACATCCTTACGTGTCACCTGACAATGACAGAACACTGGGTTCATATAGAAACACCTCTATACCCTATCCAACACGTATCTTGTTATACCTCATGTTAGAATTGTCTCCTCCACATCCACTCAAGTCAACAGAATATGCCGCTGATCAAGTATTGCTGAATCAAGTCACAGGTGTGTTCAGAGTGAATTTGCTGCTTGTGGCACTGTAAAACAGGGTCATGTTTACCGCTGTGTTACATCTCCTTTCCTTTTAACAACCTTTCTCCAGCCTTGATTGTGAACAGCTGAGCCTTTCAGAGATGCTCCTTTTATATCCAATCATGATACTCACCTGTTTTCATTGAACCAGTTCACCTGTTGAATGTTCCTGACAGGTGTTTTTGGAGCTTTCTTTCCTCAATTTTCCCCAGTCTCCTTTTGCCCCTGTCATATTCTATGTGAGTGAACAATAAACAATAAAGTTGATTAGTTTAAACATTAAATATATTGTCTTTGTATTAGGGCTGGGTGATATGGCCCCAAATCAATATCATGATATATTGAGCAGTTCACCTCCTTAACAATAAATGGATGATAACTACTCCAAGCTCACCCCTCCCACATTAACTTTGTCTACTTCAGCCGCCACTCCAGCTGCTATAACCGTCCTCCGTCTCCTCACCTGTCTTTACCTCTTTGTTACGGACTGGATGACGTGGAGTCAAGTCTCTGACGTAGGACAGCATCTTAAAGAGACATGAAACCATAGCCTACCTACACACATCCAAAACCAACTTTTATTTATTAATTATTTTTGACACCGAATATATCGATATGGGCAAAATGACGTCCGGTATTGTAGTAAATTTTGGTATCGATAATTTTTTTGGTTTATCGCCCAGCCCTACTTTGTAGTGTATTCAATTAAATATAGGTGAAAAATGATTTTCAAATCATTGTCTTCTGTTTTATTCACATTTTGCATAGCGTCCAAACTTAATTTCAATTGGAATTCAAGTTCCCCAAGTAGGTTTCTTGAGTTTCTGCAGTTGTTAAAATGAACTTCTTTGCTTTGTTTTATTTCTCTTTTTGTTTGATCCCGTAGTTTACTGTGACATATTTCTTACTCAAGAAAACAGTGTCATACATGCTACCATCACTGTACAGATGTTGTCAGTAGCTGTAGATGTTGTTGGCATAACAAGTGTGACATACATTCACACTGATAGCCTTTGTTGTTAGCTTCCTCCTCTCTGAAGTTTGCCCTGCCTGGCAAAATACACAGGCACGCTAAAGATATAGGATTAGTTAGTGCATGTCGTTGCTGTAAACACAGAATAGCACAGACTTGAATAGATTGTCTCTCATGGATAGCCTATTGTCACTGGGACCCGACCAAGCTATGTGGGTCAGTCTGATCTTTAGAATTGGGATTGGTGTATTGCTAGAAAAGAGCTGATGAGATACACAGTGTCTTCTGTAATCAAGATGGTCTCATCTCATCTCAAACATGATCAATCAGCCCATGATCAGTGTCTAACAGTATGTTTTTAAAGACATATATTCCCATCCATACGGCTAACATGAAGAAACGGCACACCAGGGACGATGCTTTATTCAAACTGCGAAGCTTTCTCAGTGTTTACTCACCCCCTTGGCAGGAGGAGGCTCTGATTGCTGTGGCTGCTGACTCACTAACTCTGTCAGTACTCATGCAGCACTCTTGTGTGTGTAATGTGATTTAAGAGGGAAACCAGTGGACCTGGATCTGCTGTACATCATCCCTGTTTCAGCTCCATAACTCTCAGCTGTGAGGCCGGGTGCTGACGGGGGGGAGACAGACAGTCAAACGAGGCAGGCTTTGAGCAGCTCAGTCTACTCACTCTCACACGCTGCTGCTGTCTCTGTGGGGTCCTTGCCATCTGGAAGAAAAGTGTGTGTGTGTGTTTTGGTGTTTAGATGCTCTGTCTTTTTGTGTGAACATATGTGTAAGAGATCCTCTGATGTCGGCGGCTGCCCCAGGTGCTGATTAAGACAGTTTCTGTGTAAAAAATCCACACCGGCTTAAGTTACCCTCTGCTGTGGGTTCTTTGTGTTCCTGGATGCTGCGATGCATTTTGTTGTTTACAAATTGTTGGCTCTAATAGCAGCTTTTCAACTTTTTATCTTATTGAAAGGATTTTTTTTTTCAGGATTGGAAACTAAAGGCCTGGCTGCCTTTAGAAGGATCAAAACATAGTCTGGTCTTGTAATCTGACAGTCTCTTCATTTTCAGACTGACAGATTACTTAGAAGCCTCACAATAAACCACAGTCTGTCAGCATTCTCGCAGAGAAAATGACCTTTCTGAAATCTCGAATCATCTGCCTGTGTTACACAAATGTATGTAATCCTGGTATCGAATATGTTGATTGAATGCAGCCCATCTCTCGGGTTTAGCAGGATGTGATCATACAGCCTCTTTCTGTGCTCCTAAAGCCTCTTAGTTGTGTGGTGTCTTTGATTTAATGCAGATAGAGCTGTGGAACTTGAGTAATCCCTGTTTTAATCAACATTGAGCTGCCCTTTGCTGATGATATGCCAAGTTAAATGTGTGGGGACAGCTGCCTCATATGGGTCAAGTTGATGGTGAGATGTCATTCATCACTTTATCAGGTACACATTTGCATACAAGATATTAAATTTGCATATAAAATTTTCATGTGTAGTGTAAATAAAATATGACCGTGTGTGTCAAGAAACACCTTCAGTATCAGTATGTTAAGACCATATGAGTTGAAATTACCAGTTATTTATCAGAGGTGGGAATCACTAGTGGCCCCACGATATGATATTATCACAATACTTGGGCCACGATACGATATTATTGAGATTTTTAACGTTTTGCGATACAGTGAGTATTGCGATACAATATATTGGGATTTATACAATTTTTCAACTGTTGAGTTGATTTATCATTTGGGCTTCCTTTATGTTTGTCTTATTTATGCTGTATTTTATTTTCATGTAGCACATCTTGCTATCCTTCTCAATATTTGTTGCATTAAGTTTATCCTTCTCACCTCTGCCAACCTCACTGGACTAGCAGTTGATTTTTATTTCCCCATTATCATAGATTTGACTTTATATTAACAATTAATTTGAAAAATCGATACTTGATAGATGAGACGATAAGATATATCACCAGACAACATATCGCGATACTATGCTGTATCCATTTTTTCCTCACACCCCTACTATTTATTAGATGAGAGTTTCCTGGAAACAGGCATACTTTTCACTCTGACATACCCATACTGAAATCATCTTTTTGTTCTCACCATATTCAGACTTGCAGTGAGCAATGATGGGTGGACTCAGTCATGTGGGTTACACTCACTTTTTCGATAAGTGGTGCTGTATGTTGCACCAAATATTGACATTTAATGACCAAACAGTATATATAAGATGATCCTGTACTCTACCTTACTGTCTCATATTTTGGCTGGTATGAAAGATAGAGCTCTCACAATGAACGTTAAAAGCTTTTGAGCTTTGCTTCACTGTGAGAGAAGAACCGGCTTCTAAGTCTTTGCCTTCACTCTCTTCTGATTTATCTTTTTATTCTTACACTTAGAAAAATGAATCATGGCATAATTTATTTTTAAGTATTTACATGTATTTGATTTTATTCAAATAGAAAGAAAATTAAATTTTTTTAGAATTAATTTAGAATTTATTTATTCAAATTTCTCAAAGTCAGCATAAATATGTTATTCTGAAAACAATTAATTTAAATCACTTAAAATGTATGAATATAGTTTAAATATGATGAGCTGTGGATCAACCAAGATTCATTTGGTTAAAATGTACGAGACAGAAACAAAGTGGATATATCAATAATAAATACATAAATCTGCATCATTTATTCTAAACACATTGGGTTTATTACATACATCTAATTCTTAATTGTTTCATTTACATTTGACTGACAAAAATGCAGCGCATCAAGTTTATTGGTCTGTTTATGTCAAATCTAAGTAATGTAATGTAAATGGAGGGACATTTTGTATGCAATGAGGCCTAAATATTTCTGTTAATATAGTCTTTATCCATGTAGCTGGATAAAGAGAAGGATATTGAAGTTGTGGAGACATGAGTTTTATCACTTTTTTGGCTGTATATGATCTTTAGCTTAAATTGATGCACAGCATCCTTGCTTTCCCTCTGGCTAATCTTACTCCATCATAAAGGCCTGTAAGTTCAGAAACATCACATTTCTATAGGCTTCAACAGAAACAGTAAGTTCATGGTGAGATAATGTACATATAAAAGAGGAGCAGTGTGTTCAGGGTTAAGTCCTATTTTTTGTTCCATGATATATGTACCGTGCTCTAAAAATGGTGCAGCTCCTATATCATGCAGTGACAGAACCTACACCTATACCTACTCTTATCTTATTTCCCCTCTCACTCAGATCTCCTCATCCCTCTCTAACACAGTCCTGCGTACAGTGCACACAGACCAGTTGTTGTCCAGATGCTCTGCTTTTGGAAGCCGTCACTCTTGCTCAAATGTTGTGCAGCTGTGAGCTCTTGGAGCACCATGTCAAAATGTCCACAGAGGGCTTTGGAGCAGCTTATTGTTTCCTGAAACAAACTGTGACAAATGCAGCTTCCAAATATGTCTTTATCCACATCCAGACAGGCAGTCAGCACTCCCTTTTTTTTCTTTTTTTTTTACTTTAGCTGCTACACATTGAGAGAATCTAAATCCCCTTTTTTCACATGTAGAGGCTTCACTTAAATATTTCAGCCTACCTTCTTTTCACTCTCTTTCAGGGGATTGAATAGAAGCTGTAGTGATGTACTGCTGGCTGCCAAGATTTCAATTTATCAGCAGCAGGATTAATATTGTACCCTGCTGGTCTTGTGGCTTTAGATTACTGCCTCCTTTCTTGAGCTGCAGACCTCTCATCTCCAACAATTGTCTCTCCCTGGAAAGTGTGGTTTAGTCTTAATGCACGCTCACAGCAGGACTGTGTTTCTTTCTACGACTCTTTTATGCTGTTGTAATTCTCCAACGGTTGTTCACTGTGTCTGTGGCTCAATGACGGCACAAACGCTTGTGGCTACTTAGGTGTGCGCCTTTGATGTTTTCTCGCTCATAAGAGCCGTACTAAGTGTTAATAATTGGGAATAAGTGGCTGGCAGCCTGAAATGTAGATTTGATAACCCCTGCCTTATCTGTTGTGGTTTAATCACTTCTAGCAGGGATTGGATGCGGCATGAGTCTCAATTTTCCCCCCTCTACTCTACCTCCAGTGCTGGCTCTTCAAGAAGCCATTCATCTAAAAAAGACCTTACGTAATAACATGCCTGTGTGAAGGGCTTCCATAGTTATTCCCAACAAACATCAAGCAGAAGCGAAACTGCTTTTTACAACCACTTAGTATGCCTCTCTTATGTGTCTGTGAGCATGCAGTTTAGTTTGAGGCCCATCCTAACTTGAGTGCGCCGTAGATTCTGCTGCTAGATGGGCCACTTGACAGTTATAAATAGCACCCAGGTCATCACGACTGCTTCAAATAGCACCTAGCTCTCTGAGGTGCAAAAGCACTGTCAGATAGAGCGGATTAGAGTGAGTGGAGATATTTAAAACTTATTTGAGAATAAATTTACATCCTAGCATAATACCTGTATACTCTGTATAGCGAGCTACTTGCTGGGGATTTGGGTCTCTTTCAGGGGACAGGGAGGGATACACTGGCAGAGGCAGTGATTTGATAATACACCGCTCTTATTGCTCAACTGTTGGGTAGTGTCTCTCCTGCTGTCAGAGTCCTCTCCCACGCTCTGTCCCAGGATCTGGCCGTCCCCGCTTAAACAAATATTTGAACTCCGTGCCAAGTCTTTCATCGGGTGTATACCTGCTGCTGTGATTGATATTGTTCATGTGTGTTTCTCTCGAGCTTAATGCCATCACTGGAGTTACGGTAAGAAGAATGTGCCACACTGCGGGGAGAGTCACAGAAAAAAACTTCTTGAGTTTGTTGTCCCTCTTTACAAATGACCATGTTTGTCCAACAAAAACAAAAATCCTGAAAAAACTACCTGCGAATTGTGAATCATTTGATATAAATTCTAGCATTGGAGGCACTGATTGATTTTTGCTTCGTCAAGATGTAGCTGTCTCTGAGTTTAGCTGATTCGTACCTGAAATAATAAGCCCTGCTCTGCTCCATACAGCCTTGTCTTCAACCCTCACATATTTGTAATTCAAACCTGGGTTTCTATATGTTGTTTTTCTGTAGAGCCGGCAATCCACTTGCTCTGCCTAAGATGATTTAAAAAAATGCATTCAAACCTGACCTTGTGACCAAAAACCTCTGCAGTATTCCTCTTGAATCCTTTTGACGCCTCTATTATTCACTTGGTAAGTTTCTTTATTTACAAAACAACACGACCCTTTTAAAATATTCCACCACCACCTGTTTTATGCGCTCTTCAGTCTACAGAAGTTATGCATGTCTTGATGCACGTATATCTGCGAGCCCTAGGAAACAAATAACAGAGGGACCTGCTCTTTTAAGCACCACCCATCCACAACTGCTTATAAACTCAACAGAGAGGGTGTGTGAGAGTGGAAGACGTGGACACAGTGGAGTGAGCAAATATGGGCTTCATAGCTCTGGTAATGGTTGCACGACATTGTGATCCAACAGACCAATCAGCTGTTAGCCCTTTGTGATATGTTTCTGTGATTGTCGGAAACAGTCAAGAGCTAGGTTTAAGAATCAGCCCGAGTTTCTCAGGCATAAATGCAGCCTTCCCACCTCTGTGCTGCTGTTCACAAACTGATGTGTGCAGGCTTTCCTCCATCTCTCTGACTGAAGAGGAGCTGACTGCGTCTCACTGTAAGACCTCTGCTGGCTGTTCAGATAAATACAGCCTCACCCTCAAACAGTGATGTTATGATTGCTTTGTTTCAGCGCTTCTGTGAATGTGAGGTTGTGGGATTTAGCGAGATGTCTTTGCCGCGTGACAGCTTTATTACTGGCTGCCACTGGACTGATGATGGGCCCTATTGAGCGTGTGGGTGGGCTGTATGGTTTGTGTATGAAAGGGTGGGTATAATAACAGGTACAAATGTCACGCTGATAGAGAGATATGATTTTCACTGAGCTGCACCAGCATAAGCACCACTGAAAGTGCATCAGTAGAGTTAGCACAGTTTACTGCATTTCAAGAGGCTGATCTGTGTGTTGAGTAGTAAAAACAAATAGGGACAATACATTTAGATTAAAGGGGATATTGTATGTTGCAATGTGATAGGGATGGGCGATACGGGCTTAAAAAATTATCACGATAAGTTTTGCCATGCTTTGACGATATCGATAAATGTCCCGATAAAAAATATGATAATTCCGATCGATGTTTTTGACTCATTCTGTCTTGAGAACACCAGTTGGAATAGTCAAATAAGATACTTCACCACAAGTTGAAGTGGTAGATCATAGAGAAAACTAGTGACATAAAATAAGTCTGAAATGTGAAAACACTTTCAACATTTATTGAAAACTTTTCTTGCAGAGTGAACAGTGAGCAGATCTACTGTCCGATGTCAGGCATATCTGATTGTGCTCGTCTAAACCCCAATCTTGAAGGAAATCCCTCATGTGGAGCCTCATTTATCAACAAACTGCTCAAAAAACATCTTCTTCACCACCTTCAGCCATGTTTGTGTCTGTGTGGGCTTCGGCTGCAAGTCCGCCGCTCGTGCTTACGTCATCAACTTGCATTTATCTTGTTTATCGGGAGATGGCAAATATTTATCATGGAGGAATTTTCTGACGATAAATCGTGAACAATAATTTATCGCCCATCCCTACAATGTGATCATATCTGCCATAGGTTTGTTTATAGATTGACCAAAATAAAATAGAGGAATGTTTTAATCACCAAAACAAATATGCAGTTGGTTCCACTCAGAAAGAAGAAGTAAAAATATTTGTTTCCAAGTTTTTGAGAACTTATCTGCATTTCTTGGCCTTGAATCTAACAAAACAGAAAATTATTAGTATTCAGGCAGACAAAGCAGGACATCAGATGAATCAAGTTGGGCTTCAATTATCTGGTTGATTTGTGGGTATGTGCTCTCATGACACTGAAGACTCTTTTTGCATAAACATTTTTTTGTGTTTTTCCCAGTTGCTTGTACTTGGGTTGCTTCTCATACACCCACAAGCACTGATTTACTTTATGTGTTGTATTTTTTTCCAAGTTATCAGCCAGGTAGGCTTTTACAACATGTTGACTTTAACTGCGTTATGTTCAGTTTTGTGCAGCACTGATGTCATTTTATCTCCTCAAGGAAAACTGCATCTCCTTATTTGGAGCCAATGTAGAAACAACATAAATAACTCTCAAGACTGTGTATTTTTAGTCCTAGTAAGAAATAATAGACGTGATTTCAAAGACTAACTGTGTAATAATTGATGCTACAGGCCTGCATCTGTCTATCTTCATAAATCTGAATGCCTCTCTCCAAATCTACAGGATGTTGTGTATTGATTTGGAAGAATCTGGAGTGGACTGTAAGATCTTGTGAGCTGTTAGGGTCGCCTCTCTGCCTGTTTGTTTTCGTTGTTTATTCATGCAGGAGGGAGATTCATTAGTCATTCAGCATGGCAGTGAAAATGTGTACACAAGAAGTTTGCTCTTTGCCAAGAACTAAAGCACAGCTGATCCTGTGCCAAGATAAAACTTGGCTTTACATTACCTGCAGTCAAGATGGCAGTCTTATGAAAAAAAAAATCACTGTTTATCTTTTCAGAAAAGCAGCCAGGATATTGCCTCAGAGGAGTTGGTTTTGCAGATTAATCTGGCACAGTTAACTCACAAGTAATGTCTGTATTCAATGGAGCATTAAGATTGAATTTTTACGAATGACTTATTGGCCCAAAGGCTAGTGTCAGTATCCCACAAGTATTCAAATGTGACTGCTAACTTGGTGACTGCTACAAAATAGATCCAGAAATAGGAGAAGAAAATCAGTAAGCTGCACAACCTCATAGTAATCCTGTATTCTCTGATAAATAACCGGGGTAGCAGGAGCTTTTCTAAGTAAGTCCCAGTCATTTCTATTCTTTGCTTAGACAGTATGTGAAGCAGTAAGGGGACAGTCAGAGCACTTCTTGGTTGGACATGAACTCTCTCACTGGCTCATTAGTGCAACATGTTCAGGGTGGCTTACACCAAAATTCCACCTGATCCATGTCCCTCCTCTGATCTGATCTTGTTTGACCCTTTGCTCCACCAGACAGCCGGGGTCACAAGACCAAAGATTTCTCTTGTTAAATACAGAATCAACGGTTTTCTACATCCATAAAAAGCTCTGAAAACCTCTGATCTGTCCACTTCAGACTACAGAGTGACTCTTGAAAATGAATTGAATGTTTAATGGATGCTTTAATGTTGTTTTGGTATTTGACTTTATGTCCTCCTCAATCTAACCTGTGCTAATTGATGCGTTGTGACCTTGTGTCCAGCTAAAAATGAAGCAGTCTGCTGAGGAGAGTTCTGGATTGCCAGAGCTGAAAAGCAAGCCATTAGAAGAGAAGATATTGACTTCTGTAAAAACGTATCTGCTCTGCTGAGATTGTGGACTGAACATGGATGTAGTGGAATTTAGGGATTAGATTTAGAGACTGTGTGTTTGAGAATAGAAAAGCACTCAAAGGGGACTCAATGGCAGCGCAGAGATCAACTTCTGTTCACGCCTCTTGTAGTTATCAGTTTGAAACAGCTCAAGACGTACCGATTCAGCAAGTGTTGAATGTACTAATTTAACCTTGTAATTCCACAGAGGTGCTAGTAGATGTTTCAGTCATGAAGCCAGATGCTCACCACAAGCGACACCACATGTTTGACAGCATTTTATTTATATTTAAGGAAGAGAGTCAAAATCTGACCATACAACTGAAGTTTTTCCTCAACTTTTTCAAACTCTGAAGGAGCTGACTTTGTCATTACAAATTTCAAACTCAGAGGCGATACAAGAAAGACTTTGTAAGTCAGAAATGCATTTTCATGTAAAAACCAGTGGCTATACGAAGCTGAAAAGCTCTTGGTTGTATTCTAGTTATATTAGCCGAGTTAACATAGTAATGAGATACTAACACACTCATTCATGGTGGGAGCTCTCCTGAGGGACAGATGAGGGAGTTATCTGTAAATAAGACACGCTCTTGACTCTTACTCTCACATTGTACCATAGCTTTGCATTCAGTTTTGACAGACCAAATAAATATCAACCCTATTCAGTTTGGTTTGGGACATTTGTGTGTTTGAAAAATTATTGGCATATACGTGATATACGACTGAAAACTATGAGCCACAGCCACAGACAAATGAGTTTAGAAGAGAGATTATCAATCTTAAGTGGTATTAAAAAGGACTCATTTCCCAACACTGTACAAGATTAGTGTGTCTGTCGAGAAAGGAGTGATGTTTGGTTTCATAATACAGGACTTTTAGTGGCTTAGTCACTGCTGCAGACAAAATCTGTGGAGTGACTGTAGAACAGACATGAGGCATTATCATAAATCAACCACAGTCCATCTGTGAAAAACTCGTCACTTTTACAATGTGCGTTTTTCTCAGGAAAGACATTAAGGCGAATCAAACGTGTTTACCTCGAGTTCCAGTTTGAGTTGTTTCTCTTCAGTCACGTACTTCAGAAGCACTCTGTTGCTTTTACATCAGCAGCCACATCAAAGCAGCAATAAACACTGAGAAATGAAATCATACCGCATTACTCATGGTGATTACTCATTCAGAGATCCTTTTATTAATTATGTATTCACTTATGCTGATCACAAACATCAGCATACGTGAATACACTTCGACACAATACAGTACACAATACAAGTAGATGTTTAAAAAGATTGTGGATGATTATTGTAAAAGGTGTATTTGTGGATAGTTGTTTGTCTGTTTGGAGGAGTAGAAGAAAATCTCTGCTGGTGCGTTTTGACACAAGACTTGATGATTTCTCTCTTTTTTTCTTCCTGTGACCGAGTTCAGAGCAGTGTTTTCCGTGTTTCTTTATTTCTATTTGGTTACAGATTGTACTTGTTCTGAGCTGCCTTTTAGGTTTGTTCCAGCTTTTGTACAAATACAAATGAATTCCTCTGGCTTCAAGTGAATTTTAATTACCACCTCTTTGTTTTACCATCGGGCTTCTTGAGAAATCAATCAGGGTCTGTTGGGAAGAAGCTGTTGTTCTCTCTGAAAGACTTTCCCTTTTTTTTGTCTTACTCCTTATAGACAGCCTTGTGCTAATTTTTTTTCTTACTTTGATGAAAGTCCCCCAATCCAGATAACGTGACTTGTTTCTGGAAAAGTTTGTATCACCGTTTTCTGAGGTATCTGGCAGAGGGGGCTGTGGATGTTTCATGTGGATGTTTGAAATGATGAGGGCACTCAGGGTTGGTTAAATTATACTTTTACGTTTCCACCCTTTTGGAAACGGAGCTTCACTGCAAACAGATAGACATGAAGAGAGTCTTTCAGTGTTTTAGTTTAACTTCCTCAAAGATGGCTGTTGGCTGAGGCTGACTTGTTATCTCCTGCCATTGAATAGGAAAAGGCACTCAGTGGGTGATGCTTTTCTGTGGTGTGTTTTGTGTTGAATGCACTTCCAAACTGGTGTGCGCTTGTCATTCATGAGGAAAAGTGCTGTGTTTAGCTGAAGTGTGTCAATGTTACTCACACAAAATCATTGCTGCAGCTTCAGAGGACTTGTTTTAACTTGATCCCTGCAGTTGAAAATGTCTGTAAACAGCTGTAAATCTATTGTTGCAAAGCAATAAATTCTCCTGTGACTGAAATTAAAATTAAATCCTGCCTTACTGATGAGAACAAAGTAAAAAAGAAACGAAACACATCGACCACATTCAAATTTAGCACAATTTATTCAACACCTAAACAAATTGGTTTACTTGATACTTAGCACCACTCCAGTCCTCCCTGCAGGTCAGTATTTTGTGACTGTACAGGTTATGCATTGCTCCAGTCAACTGGTTATATACCAGTTTAACTAAACACAGCCTGCTCTTCATTTTCCAGGTCAACACACTGCCATGTCATTTATGTCTGTTCAAGGTAGTTGAGCATTAAAGCGCTGTAGCAGTTGTCATTTACTGAAGATACAGTCTCAGCAAGTGGCTGCAGAACAACTTAGTCATTATGTATGACTGGCATTTCAGGTCTACAATTATAAAAACACCACTCATGTCACCTTTGCTCAGTCTTCGTTTAGTCCTTGGTCTATAGGCAGTAAAATACTTTAAAATCAGACAGACTATCTGACATTAAGGTAGAAAAGAAAACCTCAGTGCATGCAAGCCATTTGGTGTTTACTCTGTGGCAACATGCTGTTTTATGTGATGTCTATTTACAACAAATCATGTAACAGCTGAGGCCTAGCAAACAAGAGTGTCCCTCTGTTGTTTATGTATAAGTGCTATATTATTCAGAGTCTTCTGCCTCGACTGACTGTTTCCTTTAACCACAATAATATTTTACTCCAGCTGAGTGGGATGCAGTCAGAATAAGATCACAGACTTTCAAATGAAAGATTTTTCTATGAAAGGTGACATGTCCCTATATTTAAGCTGCAAATGTCCTAGTTTCCCTCCGTCAGATAGAAAGAAGGTTTATTAAGAGGATGAAATGATATGATTGTTAGGAGGTAAGAAGAGTAAAAGGAACCAGTGGCAGTTCAGACACTCTGTCTGTGTGCTGCCCTTCACCTGTGGGCAGAAACAACCCACTGAGCAATTTTTGGTCTAAAAGAGGTCTAATAGACGTCTAAATGTAGACTAGACGACTGATCTAAAATCAGGCTACCACAGGTCTAAAAATGAAAGTTTTTTAGATGTCTAGATTTAGACCAAGTCTAAATATCTAGTTCATAATAGCTAGCTTATATCTATACTGTACTATATATTGCTCAACTGCTATCATAATTATTTTTGGTTAAGTACTCAGAGATCAGTTATGCAACTCACAGTTGCCTTTTGAAATAAATAGTTATCGAATAATGGGTTAAAGTGCAACGTCTAAATTCTGTCTAAAAATATACAGAACCCAGGTGGTTGAAATTAGGTCTAAAAGAAAACTAGACGTCTAATAGCCGTCTATTGCTCAGTGGGAAGATCATGAGCAGGGGTAGTCTTTAGTAGCCGTCTGCATCAGTTTCCTGAAGAGTTTCAGGTAGGGCTGGGTGATATGGCCTCAGATCAATATCACGATATATTGAGCAGTTCACCTCAATAATGATAAACGGACGATAACTTCTCCACAAGCTGCTCAGCCCCTCCCACATTAACTTTGTGTACTTCAGCCGCTACAACTTTTGAACCGTCCTCCACCTCCTTACCTGTCTTTCCCTCTCTGTTACGAACTGGATAGGGTCGATGTAGGACAGCATCTTAAAGGGACATGAGACCATAGCCTACCTACACACATCCAAAACCAACTTCTATTTATTTATTTTTTTTGACACTGAACATACCGATATGGGCAATATGATGTTGGTTACTGTTGTAAATTTTCGGCCCTAGTTTCAGGACTCTGTCAGGTGTGGACGTAAGGAAGCTGTTCCACTCTTTGAAGAGATTCAGACTTGTGGAAATGATTCTTTAGGGTGCTACTTGGGACAGGTGACTGAAAAGAGACCGGAGTGCAGACCTGGGATTCAGTAGTCTACATGTCTACATTTGGGATCCCAAAAAGCAGCAAATGAGCAGCATGAAGTAACACTGAAAAGAGCATGTAAGAATGAATTGATGTTGTTGAGTTGGCCCATGTGAATTTTAAAAAGCCCATTTAAAAAAAAAAAAAAAAGGTTTGTGTGTGTGTGCATGTGTATGTGTATGTGTGTATGTGTCTCTTTGACATATGCTGCTGTTTCATTCTCCTCCAGCGCAGCCATTAGCAGATTGAGTCGCACGTCTGTGTGCAGCAGAGAGATGAAAGGCTCTTTGATCTGAATTATTTTGAGGTTTCCTCATTTGATTGAAGATATTTTCAAAATTTTAATGTAGGCTATTCTCTGATCAAGGATTAGTTTCTGACAATGCCTGAGTGAGTTTTAAACATTTGTCTTATCTTTGATCAAATGATCTCTGTTCCTCTGTGAGGGTATTATCCATGATTGTGTAAAATATTTAGATAGGCCTTCAGAAATGTTAAGGTTCATCGTGGAAGTCCCACTTTGTGTTGCCTGTCTGCTACAACAAAAGTACAAATCCTTTTGAATGTTTTAAATCCAAATATAAACCAGCATATTTGCATGCATGTTCTGGATGATTTTTCCTGTGAAGAATCTATACTTGCACGTGTCGAGTCATGCTGCATTTTAAATGTATGTGGCAAAAATAAACACAAAGCACGTCAAGGTTTTTACATTTTCCATCTGGGTTAGAGTGGGCAGTGGGCACCATCATGCATTTGGAAAATCGAAACACTGACATAGAAATTTGCATGTGAGTGAAAAGGTATTTGACAGAAATAAATGACTCATTGGATTTGTGTTTCTCTAAATAAGACTTCTCTTCTAAACATAGATGAGCCTTTACATACAAGCAGCTGTGCTCAAACAAATCTCCCTCTTTGTGATTTTGTTGATGAATATGCAGTGATTGGATCTTTCAATGCCTCCTGTGATCTGGTGTTGATGATTTGTGCTCTCGTGCTTTTCTTACTCATCTTTCCAAAATAATTTCTCTTTGAATCCCTTCCCAGCTGTGAAGGAAGCTGACTGTGCAGCTGAATGTGTGAAATAAGCATCAAGATTAAGTCCAGATGTCAGTCCTGCTCACTTTAAGTGATTTTGTCAAAGTGTAATTACTGGTTTTACCCAGCAGAGGGCGATAATGTAGCATAGCATGCTCCCTGATAAGACTGCGGTTCCTCAGTTCTATTAGAGTCAGGGGCTTTGCTCTGTTCAGCAGTTTATTTTGAAGTGATGCACTTTCTCAGTTATTGTTTTAATATAAACTATTTTTGACTTTGTTGTGTGTTGAGTCTGGTATTAAAGATTAGTATACATTTGAATGATTGTATTAGACCTACTTTAAATCAGTCCATCTTGGTGGTAAACTGAAATAATTGTTCATAAATTTGTGTTGAAGGAATTCCCAGCAGTTATGTTAATTATAAAAGTCATTGTCTGCGATTTGGATTTAGTTTGGACTGTTTTTTCACCATTTTGTGTAACTTCTGACTTTAGCCTTTGGAGGGCAGTGTTGAATTTTGGCCTAATATCCAACATCTCTGTGGGTACTATAATTATTATAATAGGAAACTCTACTGTGAAGAAATATGTTTTCCTCTTAAGCGCGCGCAAATTAATTTATGAATGCCTGTGGGGCTTAAAGCGTCGATAAAGAAGAGAGTTAGTTAGGCGTCCTTATTTGTGCTACATATTCCTTATTCTTCATCTCCACTCCCACTCTGTGTGCCTGTTGCATAATCAATCCAAGTAAGTGCCACTTAAGTGCATGTTTTACTCAGAAAATAAGGAAAGCCTTGCCTCTGTCAGGAGGATGACGTGGGTGTATTTCACCTTGAGGTGTTTACAGTTAAGTGTGGAGTCCGACAGGGAGCATTTCCTCCTACTGTCTTTCTGTTTGCTGCTTCTTCTTACTCAGTTTGCTTCCTCTATTTTTAAAGCTCAGTTGTTGATGTGGCTTGTTCTTCGGAAAGTGTGCTGCAGTTTCAATCTCTCTTAAAGGAAAGTGGACAGTATGTATGCTTTAGTTCAGACAGCGAGGTTGACCTATTCACCCAATTACTATCTGTCTGTCTCTCCCACGTCTTTTCGAGTAATTCCCTCCCTTCCTCTGATTTATATGCTTGTCAGGATGTTGAAGTATTGCCTTTGTGACCCCATATAACTCTATACCTTACACATGCAGCTGTTGTCAGAGGGCTGTTACCACAAGAGAAACGCTGTGGTTTAAAAAAAAAAAAAATCATCAGACTTTTATGGTGCTTATTTTGATGAAACAATATTGTCTCTCCATCATGAATAAACTGGGCTTGCCTGCTTTGTTGTAGGTGTACTGAGCTGTGAAAGACCACGATTTGAACCCCTGACAGAAGCAGCTTGTTGTTCTTTTCCCCTGAAGACTTGAGTAATGCAGCTGCACCTACAAATAACATCAGTGGGTGACCAAAGTGGAGACACTCCCTGTTGAAGTGATGAGAAATCAGCCTCTCCCTCAGATGTGTTAGTTTAACAGAGCAAAGAAAATTATGGAGAGAACTCAGAAATGATGTCCTCTAAATTTAGAGCTCTACAAACTTTGTACAGTACAGTCAGGACGAGACTCTGTGGATCTGAATGAGGAAAGAGAGGACGACAAGAGGAGGCATACATGGATGTGCCAAACTGGCACTGGGTTGAGTCACTGACTCAGTTCACTGCCCAGCTCTAAACACTGTCCTCAATTTGTCGGCTTTCCCTGCACACGCCGAGTCTGTGTTGCAGAGTGGCATTGATCGCCCCCATTTCCTCTATGGATTAACAGGGTGTTCTATTAGAATGCCAAATCAGGATGTGGGAAAGTTCACTGAGGATATATCTGTGGTTATGGTGATTTCATTCGTCAGAAAGACTCCCATGTACAGCCTCCCCACCTAATTCATGTACATGTACAAGAACATACTGTCCACATGCTCACAGCTTTGTTTACGAGGAGTCTGATAAACGTCCCTCTGTAAGAGTGGAACAATCACGTTCTATGTGTTTGTGTGCTTTTCTAGTTTATCGCTGCTTCTCTGTGTTCTTCTGTTGTTGGACTTGGATTGGGCATCCAGACTCAACTGTAGTAAGGTTGCAGTTTTTAAGCTGTAGCCAGTCATTTTTCCCCAGCACTTCACTTTTTGATTTATGTCCACAGAAGTGTTTTTTATTTTGTCTTTAATACTGTATCAGTTGTTTTACTTTTGCAGCACCATTGTACTTTAAACAATAGATATACTGCACCTCACAGAAAGGTAGGAGTCAGATAAAAAGCTCAAGAGCTTATAGGGTAACTTTATCTTTTGTTTATTAGGACTGTTCTTCACATGACTGAGGCTGTAGGCAAGAAGTGGAATTTGTGCTCCCCACAATGTTTGTTTAGTCATCTGCTGTTTGCCGTTCTGCAGCCTGGAGATGATAATATTTGACAATATGCAGCACATGATGAGTTGTTTTGTGCTCGCTGCAGAGAGCTCATTTGGTTAGAAAGGAGAGGGCCTGAATAAAATATGATTGTAATCAACAAATGCATATGTAATTGAAAGGAAGTAGCGATGTTAAAATAAATATTGTTTTGCCTGATTACAGATTTCATGCAATCCTCGAAATCCTCCTCCTTATAATTCACAACATCCAACATTTGAGCTCACTTTCCTTTGCTCTCACTTTCTTCTTCCTCTCCCTCTCTGTCTCTCTGAGGATCTGGTTCTGCCACTCTCATTGCTGACCCACTTCTGATGGTCATCTTTCCTATAATCAGCTGGACTGATGTCTCTATGAGGAAGTGCTGCCCGCGTCTCTGCTCACGCTAGCAGCGATCTTTGCCTGGGGACTGGAGGAACTAGAGCTTACCAGATCTTCTTATTGCATTTCATTCCAGTGTCAGTTAATGGCTGCCATTCTCTAAATCTGTCCGTCAATCTAAAGTTGAAATCTTTTCCCTTCTGCTGCTCCTGTGGTTGTGGCTTTTCTTCCAACATGCCTCTATCCTTGCCCGTTAAAGTTCTGGATGATAGACAGATCAATACCACCCCTCACCAGGGGTGGTATTATTTGTTTGTGGCTGCAGCGGATGATATTGGATTTTGCTCCTATATTGAGGGCACACACACTCTCGTCAGTCACACACTCTCTGTCAGCTTGACACACACACACACACACTGCAGTTAAACTTTCCATGACATTATTGGTTTTATCAGAAGTAGGCCAAAGCAGAAGCCTGGCCCTCTGGCAGGCCTACTGAGCATGCTCAAGAGTGCTGAGGGCGAGTTAGTGCAGCAGAACCTCATTTTTTAACTACAACTACTTTTCTCTTGCTGTGTCTTTGTGGGTCTGTCACTGCTGCTGGAAAAGGACAGGGACCACACAGGCTCAAAGTTTGCCATCATTTTTATCACAGGGTGAAAACTTGGAACTATTTTTGAGTTGGCAGGCTGTGAGGAAATAGTAGAAAAGGGAATAACAAGGCTTGTCTCTTTCGCTGAAAAGTTTGCTTAAAAGTAGAATTTGTATTCCTGATTGTTACTGATGAATCACCTCGCGGTTTGACACTTAAACTATTCAGTAAAACCTGCTTATAACAAGAGAGATAAAAAGTCATGCCCTCTACTTTCTGGTATTTTGTGTTAAAAAAGACAAAATAAGACAAAAGGTGATGAAAGAAAGTAGGGATGTCCCAATAAAAAAAAACAATATCAGATTATATTGGCCTGCATTTAAAATCTCTGATATCAGCACTCTGATCCAAGCAGTCCATTCCAGACTCCACTCCAGCACCTTTATCTAGCAGTGCCAGGATTCAGCATGCAGAGCCCACATGATCATAAGTTAACAACAGTGTGTACTAAGGTACTAACAAAGTCACAAGGAGTAGGAGTGATGTTGGACGTGTGGCAGTATTTCCAAGTTCCAAGTATCAAGTCCAAAAAAGACGTTGCAGCTAAGGGCAAAGCTTGTCAAGTTTGTGCTAATATTGGATCAGTATCAGTATTGGCCAATACTGAAGGCTACAATATCGGTATTGTATCGGGACACCCCTAAAAGAAAGTTTTCACATTATTCATTATAATTGATCCTGTTATTGATGCTTTTGTAATATTGTTCATTTGACATTTATGCCAAGGCAGCATAAAGCTGGAAAAAACAAAAACGCAGATGACAAAAATTCAGGCACAACTTCACCATCTTCCAAGGTGTTTGGAGAAAAAGGTTCTTAAAGAGGTCGAAAGAGCTTCAGCAACACTTGTAGTTCAGGAAAACAACTTTATTCGACCAACGCTCTTCGGCTTGTGGCCTTCGTCAGGGTCAAAACAAAAACACAGACAACAAGTAGAAGAGTGAAGCCGACAGGGTGTCACAGTTTCTTTGTTGTTTCATACTCATGACTGAGGTGTTATAATCTGTAGGGTGTAGTATTTGTCCTGTCAGTGTTTAGTGATGATGAACCAACAGTTAACCAGTTTGTCATTGTACACTAACAGGAAACTTTAGTCATAAGGAGCAAGTGTTCTCATCTAAACGCCTATCTGAAGCTTCACAACTTATTCTCAAGCTCCGGGAGTTTTTTTCCGCTCCAAATCCTTTATGATTTTGATTTTTGCATTTGTGAATAACTCTTTTTATTTCTGTTCTACACACAACAAAGTGGCACAATGGAGCTCATCAACAGCACACACAAAATCAAGCAATGACTTTGTCCCTTTTTGTCGCGTTTCTCGAGCAGAAAGAAAAAAAAAAGCAGCCTCCAAACCTACTTAGAAGAAGGATCTGGATCTGGAACTGGGGCACACTCCTTTTCAGTCATTTTTCATTCTAAGCTATTTAACGAACTCTAGATATATTGATTTTGTTCCCATAAAACCAAACGCTGACGTTAAAAACAGTACAGAAATATAAGATACATAAACATGTTCTCAGTCCCTCAGTTGCTCCCTGAAGCATCTAGCATTTATTGCAGACGTAGATCACACTATCTCTGGTTTCTTTCTTAATCACAGACGCAGGTGCACTACTTTGGAGACTCTGGGTTGTGGTTTATTCAAAAGAAACTGTTCACCCCTCTTGTGTTTTGTCTCTTTTCATATGTATTGAGTCAGTCAGTTTGGCCTTAAAATAAGAGTGTCGTAAACCTTAAGTCGTTTTATGGCGGGACGATGGTATTGTTATCCAGCTGTGTTGAATAGACAGTTTTCTCCAGTTCATCAATAATAAAGGAAGTAGCTGTGAGAGAGAGACAGAAGGTCTTGGTGGCCAGTAAATAGTCCTCCTGGATTCGAAGAATGGAAATCTGATGCAGTCATTCACAGAAAAAATCAAGTAGTTTGTTTAAAGGGAAGCAGATCTGTTTTATTTCCTGAATGGATACATAACTTATCTTTTATTGCATGCAGTCACACATCGCCTGCAGCCCGGTGAAGCAGAGTTGATTAATGTTGTAGCATCAAGTTTGCCTCAGCTCTATGCTGCTGCTGCACTGTACTCTGTGGTGTAGATATTTGTGCTGCAGAGGGTGAAACTGCATCTCCTTAATCAATCTGAAACACAAACTCAGCCTTGGGAGGGGAAAGGAGGATACTGCTAGCTGACGATACACGCTGCGGTATAGTGTTGTTGTGTACTCATCAGTTTAAAGTTAGTGGTTGTGGAGACTCCCCGTGTTATGTGGATGGAGTGGGTTTTATTGGCTCAATCAAATCAGCACCATGGCCTACATTACGTCCTCCCAGTGGGCTCATTACACCTGCAGGCATGAGTTGATATATTCATTAGGCTCATGAATGAACTGTGTGGATCTTTTTAGCGTTTACCTGGAGGAGCTGTGCGTGGGTGTTAAAAGGATCTGTACAGCTTGACTATTGTTTTTCTATCTAGCTTTTGGCTCAAGGAAATTTTTAGTTTTATGCGGATGTACCAACATTGACAACAAACAAAGTCAAGTGAAGCTATAAATAATGAATAAATAAGAAAGCTGCATCCTCCTGCTGGAGGAGCTGTGCTGGCAGTTCATTCATGTAACAGGATGCGTTTTGGTACAGCAGACTCGACCTTGCTCTGCTGCTTTTCTTTGGCTGTGTGTTCAAGTTTGAATAAATATGGCTGAATGTTCAAGTTAGCCAACAGTGTAAAAACAGCCCGTAATTCTTTCAGGGAGTTTTCGGAGGTGAATTGATGGGACTTCAGTCCAGAGGAGCAAGAGATTTTGCAGCTGTTTCTGAGAGAACTGGATGTGTTTTTACACTGCAGGTGTTTCTACACTCCCTAAAACTAACTGATGACACAACTTTGGATAAGATGCCATAGTTCCACTTTAAGTGGTTGTACTGTTTGCATATGTTAGTTGAATCCTGATAGTGCGTACAGATGTGGTGAATTTGATAAGATATCGTCAAAGTGATGCATAAGTGCTAAACTAATTCACTGAGTGTTTCCTCAAACAATTTTTCATCCAGTTACATGAGACGACTTTCATAAGCCAACTAGGGCTGGGCGATAAGGGAAAAAGTTTATTCATACTGGTAAATACCAATATATATCATGATACAAAAAAATCACTTGTCAATCTTAAATGTTCCCAGTTACTCTTAAATGAAATTTAACATGTATGCTATGGTTGTGTGTAGCTGCAGCCTGCTACCACGCAATTGTTTGCTACTTGGTTCTAATTCAGCACATGATTGGTTCAGTGCGATGCGACCCAGAGCAACTCCCCTTTTCATTGGCTGTACATAAAGTCTACCAAAACATGGCAGAATGACGGCTATTGAAAAGCATATCAACCATGTTTCATATCAATATCGAGGGAAATTAATTTTTGAGATATATCGTTATCATTTTATCACCCAGCCCTAGGGCCAACTAAGTTAAGTGAATTTACTGCAAACTGTTACTGCAAGGCAAGCCCTTCAAAATACATGTACACTACCAAAAAGAGATGTATCCGTACTGAGTCACACATCGATACAAGAGCTGCAAAATTACCTAAAATTTAATTTTGATCAGGACTTTGACACTACGATGATCAAATAATTGTAATCAAAGTATAATAGATAAATATTTTGTGGCTGATGATATGTCTAGGTTTCCTATTGGAGTATATCCCTCAGCCATTTCCACTTTTCTTTTTATCCATAGAAGACTAACAGCTGGTGTGGATAGTGGGCGATCTTTATCTCTACTCCTCAAGTATTATATTGTAGGTGTCACAAGTTGTGTCCTCACACATGCTCTGCAGGAAGACAGAGACATGACAGGTGATGATACAACAGTGCAACAGCTTATGTCTCCTCAGGGGGTTCTTATTCATCTTTTTTTGTACTGGTGCTCTGTCGTCATTTACTCCAGCACCTACATGGTCTGTATGGGTTGTAGCTTTTGTTTTCCTTAAACGTGAGGTTCTTTTGGTGACTCCCCCAAGAAAACAGAAAAACTAAACTGAGACACAAGGCTCTAAAAAAGGCAAAATAAATCATCGCAAATAGCAGTTTTATAAGGAAATCTTTTCCCTTAAACTTTGACATAAACTGGATTTTTTACCGTCTTAAAAAATGATGTATTGTGTTTTGTTGTGAACCCAGCATTATAAATTGTATCTCCTTGCATGCTTGTTCCCCCTTGTTAAACGTGTCTTGCCGGTGTAATATTGCTCTGATGTCCATGACAATTTTTCATTTCAGATAGAAGCTCTTGTTTAATAAAGCCGAGCCGTTTCCAACTCTCATTCATCTCTTGTCAGGAGGTGTGGCCTCTGGTCAGGTGGATTATGATTCACATCTCTGACTCAGACTGTATGGGTGTTGGATAAAGTCTGCATGTGGAAAACAGGGGATTTTTATGGATGGTGTATCAAAGGACTAGTTTACCTAGTATGGAGTAGAGAACTAAGAAAACTTTCTGTATGCACAAGAAAACTTCCTCGTGTTCTCATGCATTCCTTTTTTGGTCAAAACAGTAAATTTTTATGAGCCCCAGAGCTCACCACTTTGATGACTTGATCTGATTCCAATACCATTTTGGAGTTTACCTGAAGATTCAGAGTACCATCCTTCTCCTGTCATTCTGCAAACCTAAGGCACCACAGAGCAGCGCTTTGCTGACCCAGAGGTTTTGTGTTTATGTTGAACAGATTAACTATGAATTATTCATACCAAAATAATTACCTCTGCGTTTGGTTGCCAGTGTTGCTAACGCAGTTGACAGGCTGATGCTTTCAGCTGTATGATCCAAGATGTGAAGGATCTATAAATATTTTGAAGGGAATTAGAGCCTCCTTTTTGCTGATACTGAAATAGAAAGAGGGAAAAAAGTCAGGCCCGTTAGAAAGCAGTCAGGAGTTGGCTGGGTTGTGCTTCGGGGGGTGGGGCTGGGCTAATGCTAGAGTGCATTGCTATTTGTGTTTTGAATGCAGACTTTGGAATTTGCGACTGTCAGTGCTAGCAGGCCTCACAAAGCAGCCTGAGCTTTTGAGGCAAGTCAGTCAGACCCTTCTGTTCACTGCTGATCTTCTTTGAGGTCACTAACCAGAAACGTTGTGCTTATAAAACACTCTGGGTTCACTGATCTGTAGGTTTATTTTTCCTCCCACATGTTTCGCTCCATCATCCTGGTAATTCAAGCACCTAGGTTTAATCCCAGGACTTCACATTGGCTGAGTCTGCTCCGGCTAGCAGAATCTGGTATTCTACTTCTGTGAGCCTGATCCTAGAAACAGCCTTTCGATTTTCGATGTGTCCATAGTGCAGTGTTTTTTCGTTTTTATTTCTGCCTGCTTGTGTAATTGTTGTCAGTGGGGTTTGCAGTTCATGAGAGGATTCGGCTCTCCTAAACTTCCTGCCAGCCTGGGGGGACTTTGAGTTTGACTTCCCTATTGATCGGGCTGTTTTGTTGGCCTCTGCAAAATTAACTTTGTACTTCTCGATCTTTGTTTCATTAGTTATTTTTTAGTGTGCTTGTTTTTAACACAATTTCTTTTTTTTCAAACAGCAATGGAAAATAGCCATGGATAAATATCTTTGTACTATTGTTTTCAATAGTTCGACAATCATAAATCAATAAATCGTAAAAGGCTGGAGTCACAGTAATACAGAGCCATCCCATCTGTTTTAGAGCATTATATTCAGCTCGGTATCAGGAGCTGTCATCTCTTAAGTAAAGGCGCATGATAGTACCTGTCTGGTTGTGAGATTTCTCAATTTTCACCAAACATTTCTCTACCACAGAGATAGAAACAGCTCCAGACGTCTCTCTTTTTTTTTCTTCAATTCTGTTTTTTTTAATTCATGTTAGATACCATCAATCACAGCATGGAGTCTTCCCTTGAGCGAGTCAAGACTTGCTTAAGACTAGCTTAGAAAACAAAGCAGTAGACATCATGAAGGCAAGCTAAAAGTTCTCTGTAAGTGATGTAGTGTTATTTAGTCTTTACCAGAAGCTAATTGGATACCCTGAGTAAACACTGTGAATCTCAAACCCACATAATCTCTTGAGAAGAGGGGGTAAAAAGTTTTCAATCCGCTGGTGCCACTAGAGTCTTGTTCCTCTGGATTGCACTGCTCATGCACCCAGCTGTCCATTGTTGTTTTTCAGCTCCATTTGACACACAAAGCTAATTGCTGAAGCTAGAGACACCCCTCCCCCTACACTTGCACACACCAATGCACCAAGAGGTTGACCATTTAGCTCATCTTCTCAGTGTGTCCCTGTAGAAAAGCTGCTAACAGAGTTGTTTATGCGTGCACTATTCTTCGACTATCGCTCAGTTGGAAACGGAGACCCCCTGCAGAGAGCTGGCAAACGCTCTGATTCAGGCTGTCTTCTTCAACATCAACCCTCCACATGCTGCTGATATCGATGCTCAGAGCCACTGTACCTGCAGCTGGTCAGAACAGCAGCAGGTAACGACCTGCAAATCTGTGACAAAGAGGGGAGCGTGGGCGTGTAGGTGGTAGAGGAAAGAGCCAGAGACGAGAACGAGTGGGCAGGTAGAAGAGGACCCTCTGGGAGTGGATAAACATGTGAACACTTAGCGATTTCCCTCTCCCTTCCTGTCTCTCTCTCTGACTTTGAGTGGGCAGTTAATGAGTCTGAAAGCTTCTCCCTGGCATCTGTCAGCTGAGGACCAGATGAATCCTCTAGTGCATGCTGAAAAGCTGAAAAGAAATGCTCTATTGCTCATTGATAATTGGTACAATGGATAGCAGGAGGGTTTTATTCTGTCACTTCTCATATCATCATAACCTTTCTTCAAGTCCAGTTGCACATTATTGTCAAGGACATCAGTCCTTTAACACATTTTACTCTATCAGGATATGAAAACTTGTAGAATGAAGGATTTATAACTTTACTGTACATTTAGCTATTCTAAGTTTGGGTGTAAGAAGTATTTTAGAAGATATTTTATTTCCTTCCTTTTATGTACGAAATTTCCTTTCATGAGTAACATGTTGCAGAAATTCATCTACTACTGGGTTGCGCTTAACAAAATTGAATGCTATGAGCCTTTCAAAGGTAGTGCATTTCAGAGAACTGTTCGGATTGTGTGGCTCAGGTGATTCTGTTGTTCACAGGCTCTATCTGCTTCGTTACTTTACGAGGCCCTTCAGCTCTGACAGGGAGGCAGGAGCGCTGGAGCCAAACTGCTATGATAACATCAACAGATCTGAGCTTGCCCACTGTGTTATCCTTACTCTGTCATAAAGCCTAATGGTGTGTAGCTGTAAAACGGAGTGGGGCTTAGGTTTAGGTTGAGATAAAACAGAGTTTGTATGACCTTGGCATGGACACAACCCTGCTTAAACAGACTCCCTCTCCCACTCAGCGCCTAATGAAGTTGGGACGGGGCTATCTTGTATTTTCCATGACCTTGTTTCATACAAAAAGAAACTCAATACTAATAGAAAAAGATTTAAAAACAGAAAAAAACACTTCACTGCCAAAATTGATCTTAACTGATGCCAAAAAATTGTTTGAGCCATCCAACCCACTTTTTGATCTGAGAAAGAAATTTAAATCACCTTGAGCAACATGAGCTGAAGTCTGTGACCCCATCCTGAAGATGTTTGTCCTGGGTATGTTGGGTGTGATGGTAGGGCTGGGAAATATGGCCTCAGATCAATCAATAAATGGACGATAACTACTCCACAAGCTACTCACCCCCTCCCACATTAACTTTGTCTACTTCAGCTGCCACTCCAGCAGCTACAACTTTTGAACCGGCACCTGTCTTTCCCTCTTTGTTACAGACTGGATGGGGTGGAGTCACGTTTCCGATGTAGGACAGCGTCTTAAAGAGACATGAGACCATAGTCTACCTACAAACATCCAAAACCAGCTTTTATTTATTGATTGTTTTGGCACCGAATATATTGACATGAGCAAAATGAGGTCAGCTATTGTTGTAAATTTCGGTAACTGTAAATTTTCGGTTTATCGCCCAGCCCTAGTTTATGGTCCCTGGGCTTGGGACTCTGGTATGGGTAGGATAAGATAAGATACTCTTTTATTAGCCCCTCAAGGGGGATTTCCCCTTGCACTGCAAGTAGTTACAATTCTGTGCACGAGGATAATGGTGAGACACCGGACAACACTGCCAAACATACACTCTGCAATCATAAACCAGTAGAGCATCATTACCCAAAAAGGAAATATTGACCTTGTTGACAAATGTCATGTAAGTGAAAAGAGATGTACAGTGTCAAAAAGACACTGTGAGGGAAAATCACTCAGTTTTCAGACACAACTTTGGAGAAGTGAGTATCGTGTTGTGACAGTGCCAGAATCTTACATTTCAACACTTGAGACTTCATTTGTAAAGATCAGTCTCACAAGAACATAACAAAAGCTCAACTCCCTCTTTTTAACCATTTTATATTTTTGTGAACAGATATGGTTCAGAAAAAAAGCATAGAAGAGACACCAACATTTGACATACTGATAGATGACATTTCCTTTTCTTTCTTACTGCTTTGGTTCAGTCGAGGTGTGTGCTCTCTTTACTTTCTCTCAATGAAACTCAACCACTTACTGTAGTTCTCTCTTTCACCCTGAGCAGCTTCGGGTAGGAAATATGACAGTGGATCTGTCTTTTTGATAATCTTTGGTACTTTGGTACTGTCTAATGCAAGAATAATGAAGATTGTATTATTTTAATGCAAATGATATTGAAAAGCAGTGAGGTATGAGAAATTTTGACAACCTTTGCGCGGATCAATCCTGTAAAAAATATTTGGATTGAGTTTTCCAGCCTGACTGTGAAATAAATCACCTAAAAAAATAATTGGACTGTTTGATTAGAACACTGACAGCTTCAATTCAGTCATCCAGGATTTAAAAAAAACCATGCTCTCCGGCTGCAACACACAGCACATACACAGATGGCCAAACAGCTTGCTTTGACTTTCTCCTTTGACACTTTTTTTAATGGGTGTTGAAGCACACGCTCCTTATTTGCCTTGGATCAATCTTCCATGGATTTGCTCTCTAAATATCATATCATATATCCCCCGGTTTCTCATTATTCCTTCACCGCTCTGGTTTCTTTGGGGTATAGTGTCCATTTGGTACCCCAGGTGTTGTCCATATCCCATGGCTCCAGGCTTTAGAATGGGGGGCTCTCCCTGGAGGACTAAATACCCCCCTCCTTCCATGCTTTGTAGCAGAGGCATGGTGCATTATTTATTACAGCTTGCCAAGGTAGTTCACATAATGCTGATGGTACGAGTATCTAAAATGCATCTTTATTATGTTTCAATCCATAACAAGTCCATTCAGTTGTTTGTAGTTGTCAAAACTGGAGGATTTTTAGAGCTACATGTAGTCTGTAGATTTGTGAGCATCTCTCTAAAAGGAGGGAGCAGGGAGGAAAAAGGCAGCCAAGAACACTGTATTGACTGCTCTGGGTGTCTTCCTTCACCATTGACTGCACTCAGCAGGTTGATGAGTGGAGGAGCTGTTTGGCATCTTTAGGTCCGGGCCGTGGTCATTGTCCGGGCTTTCAGATCTTCAATAGCTTCAGGGTCCCTGCTGAAACTACTTAATATTCAGTTCTTTCTTTCTCTTCGTCCTTCTGAAACTAACAAGATTTCACCACATAACATGGTTCCATTTGCCGGACAGGAAACCAACCCTGTGATACAGCCTGTGTCAGTATGACTACATTATTTCGTAACAAATCACAGCTACGTCTGGATGATTCAAAAATACTTTTATGATGATCCTTTGAGGCCACGGTTTCTTTTTTGAACATGCATGCTTGTCAGGACTTGCCAAAGAATGAGGGGAGGGAGGTGCATCTTGGCAAAGCTGTGAACTGCTGCTATAGAGAACACTTCCCATTTATTTATGGGCAAAACTTTCACCCGCTACGTAAAGTTTTAAATAAGTAATATAACAATTTGTGCTTTTATTATGTGTCCCGTGTTTTTTCATGTAGTTTGCCTTTCCTTGAACACATTACAAACAATCAACACAAAAAGGCTTAAAGTTAGCCTTAATCTAGCCCTTTAATTCCTGAAACCATAAATTATGGCCTGAAAATACACATTTTTTGGAGCTGAAATGTTTATTTCACTTACTACTGAAAACCAAAAAAGAAAAATCAAAATTTCCTTAAAATTTAACAAATATATATATTTATCTTGTTTGATACATTAAGTGTTTTTGGAAACTGATAAACCACAGGAGGACATTTTTATCATTTATCAGACTGTATTCAGGAGTTTTTTTTAGTAATTTGTTGATCATATCGATTTGATAGAAGTATCATAAAAATGTGTATCAAATATGATACAAAAGACATTATAGGACTAGAGATATGCTCTGTAAGTAATAATAGCTATGTGATAAAAAAGATTTACAGTAATAAGATAAAGTCAAAATTATGACAAGTAATAAGATCTTGTCAAAAATGAAGAAAAAAGTTACTGCTTTGAAATGAAAAGCTGGAGTCGCTCAATAGGAAGTTAAAATTTAAAGAGAAAAGGTTCACAATTAGAAGTATTCAGTGACAAGCAGGGAAATAACTCCTTTTTTAGATAACTATCATGATAAATATACAGAAATAAAACTTTTAGTCATAACTATGAGGTAGGGCTGCACGATATATCGTTTGAGCATCATCATCGTGATGTATGTGTGCGCAACAGTGACATTGCAGAGCCTGCGATGTAGGAGTCAAATGAACTATCTAACTTAAAGGGTAGCTGATGAGATACAATCAATGTGACTCTCTATGTGCTGTGCAGGTATCCACCAATCACATTCGTTCTTTACTTAGTTGCCAAGCAGACTACTCTGCCAGCCATCAATCAAAATCAGAGAGGAGGAAACCGCACCCCTCCACATGAAGTGAGTCACTGGCACTGCCAGTGTTGTGCTGACAAATACATTCCCGCCGAGAATTACTTTGGGAACATTACTCATCACTGTTTAGCCCCACAAATAAGAACTGTATGGGTTTTCAATTGTACATTTCTGTCGACCACTCTACTATAAGCAGTGCGCGTTTGGCGAGGTGCAGGCAATTCTCAGCAGACATGCGTTTCTTGGCACAACACCGATAACAACAACGATTGCAAAGTGAGCAACGAACAAGAGAAAAACCACCGAAAATGTAGACTTTTTGCTCAAAAGAAAAGGAAAGTCAATTATCTGTAATTATTTCGGTTACAAGAAGGATGATGTTGACCAAAACACGTGTTCTGTGTCAGCAGTGCCTTTCACCCTTTGCCACAACGAGAGATAACAAGTCCCAGCACAATAAAAGCAAGTTAAAAGCCTTTCTAGTAACGTTCACAAAACGAGGTAAGATCAGTGCAGGTTAACTGCCCACAAGGTTTCAGCATAAAGTGATATTCAGGTCATCTGGTGAAAATTCCTGTATTTTTTTATATCCCAATATATATCCCAGGGTTGAAAAAATTGCAATGTGAGTCTTTTCCAATATCGTGCAGCCCTACTATTAGGGAAAAAGTAAAATGTTGAAAGTTGTTAAACAAAACTCAAAATTATGAAATTTTCATTATTACTATTTGTTAGAAAGTCCAAGTAATGAGAGGATTCATCATAAGTACAGGATAAAAATTGATATATTTGAGACAAAAGTCAAAATTAGAAATAAAGTAAACTAAACTAAAAGAAGAGATAAAGTCTTCATGTATCCTATCATAGAATAAACATGGTAAGTTATGGTCACCGTAGAGAAATGATGAACAGCAGACCTGTTCTGCCTCCATGACACCCTCACTGTACTGTAGCTGCTCCTCTCTGCGTGTATACAACCTGCTTTGGTTTGTAATTATGCAGGAGGGGGACAATAAAAGCCCCCCTGGCCACCTTGCTTGCTTTACATCCGGCCCGTGACATCATCGCTCCTCGGGTTTCAGTGTGTCTCTACTACAGGCGCACGCGGCACAGCAGTCAGCAGCGCGAGAGCCTCTGCCCTGTGAGCACAGCAGCAGCAGCAGTAGCAGTAGTATACTGGACACACTTCACAACACACGCTTATTCTTCAAAGTACCAGGAAACTCTTCACGTCTTCACATCTCACGCTTGGATAAATCGGTTGCGGTTTTTTTTACGAGCCATCCGACTTGACCGCGATTATTTTGTAACTGCGTGGACGCTTATGGGAGCTTTTCATTGTAAGTAAAAAGCTGCAGTGTTGTTTATTTCTGCGAAATGCATTGAGTGGGGTGTGTTTAACCCACGATAATTGAGGTGTGTGTTGTGTTGAAATGTGCTCTTGCTGATGCTTAATGCTGCCATAAGGCTTTTTACACGCAGCTCCTGTGATTAGCCTCTGTGTTGCAGTTCCACCGAGCTCTTGCCAGGCTCTCAGTCAGCGATTTTTCTCCCATTACTTCATAAGAAAGCAGCTTCTCTATCATTGGACCACTACCAAAGAGCCCCATAACGTTTCGAGTCAATGATAAACTATACTTACTAAGAACTTTTGTCCACTTTTTTGTTGAATTGTCCACATTACATCTGAACCAGAATGATGTTTATCTTTATTTTCACAAATCCAGTTCTTGTCATGTAAAAATTAAAAATTCTGGTTGTTTGGGATGGCATACAACTCTAAACTTCTCTTATGCGACCAAGGAAATTGCTATTTTCGATTTCTGTTTTTCTCAGCATGAAAACTCATAATCTGTTGGTCAGTAAAACCGAGCCCCAGGAGTTTCCAGCAACTGTACACAACTCTGAAAGCAAACCCCTGCAGGGAAAATACTTTCAGCCTTCCTCCTCAGTTTCTATTTTGTCTGGGAACTCTTTTTTTAACAGCAGTGGAGTTAAATTTCAAAATAAAACTAACTCTTATGTTTTTCTCTTTTGTTAGACTTAATTTTGATTTCAGTTTCTCTCAAGTCTCAGCTGTTTCTTGACACCTAACTCTAAGCAGAGAGCTGCTTTTTTCTCTCTCAGAACTGCAACCTATTTCTGTGTTTTAGTTGATATTTTCTATTCCTGGAATTACTTTAGTGCACAGTAGTTAGATGATTCAGAAAAACCACAGTTAGTTGAGGCATAAATTCAAAGGACTGACCACTTTCTTTGCAAGTATCATCTGTCTTCTCTCTAATTATTAAAGTAGACCACATCACATATACTTTAGAAAATCATTCACCATTTTTTTGTTTCTTTTTTTAATCTTGTGGTTTATGGCAGAGTATCTTGAAATACAAGGAGCTGTTGAACCTGTCTCTCATGTTTCCTATGTACCTCTTCTTGTTAAATCGTAGCTTAAGGCCATGAATAAACATCATCTGTTTGTCTGTCAAATTAAGGCAAGTCAATATCTTTATGAGTTTCTTTTTGTTTCAGTGAAGTATTTCTGTTCGGGCTTGTTGGAAAGAAGATGAAACACATTTTGTGTGGTTAAGCATGTGTGCAGTGGAGCTATCACTTTGAAAAGCCAGTGATCAGGGTGAAACTTGTCAAACCCACTGGCTGTGCTGTCCTAAGTCCTTCCTAACTTTGTCTTTTAGCTCACTCAATGACTATTCTTGTGTCAATCTTCCACCTGGAATAATCTGTGTATCAGCAGGGTTTCCTACAGGCAGACTTTTCAAGCAGTCCAGTTTGATAGACTATAAAGGAAATGGTCAAAAGCTGTTCTTGGATGGACTGAGTCTTATTTTAGGGGCGAATGAGGAGGAGAGATTAACCAAATGAGTCATGGTGAAGGAGACACAGATTTCATAAGAGATCCTGACAGCTGTAATATAGATGTGCAGATGCCCTGTAATAGGCTCATAGCCCCACACCAGGATTCACTGAGCAGAAGCCATCAAGGGAGACAGGAGGGCGGGGCTGCGTTTGATTTCAGGCTGTGAATCATGAGAGATACACCAGGAAAATGCTGAAATCTGCAGAGGAGTGTGCTATCCCATTATCAGCCAGTGTACAGGATGTGATGCATGGAGCTACCATCTTCGGTGTCCAGTATCTGCCCTTTAAGCTCAGTTAATTAAGTGAGTACATGATGTTTATTTTGTTATCATGGCTGCAGCTATCTATGTTTATACACTTACAGAGTACATTCCAGTTCTGGCATGATACTAGTGTATGTGTGTGAGGCATCTTATCCAAACGCTGTCTTTTAGTTTCCCTTCTTATTCATTATGTGTTAAAGGAGGAGCAGTTGTTACCACTGAACACTACGAGTGTGGGCTCAAGTGATAAACAAACCTGAGAATGCCAAAGTCTTTTTTAACTTACATTTAAAGCAAATTATCGTTAATATTCAGATTCCAATTTATCTGTCTGCATTTTTTAATATCTTAAATGTCTCTATCTACAACCATGTGACCTTGATTATGATTGTTGATGTACTTTTTGAGGTGCTTCGCCTCTCTTTCCTACATAGTTGCAAATTAAGGATGTAATTTTCATATTTTCTTTTGGAAATTACAGCTGAAACATCATGAGAGTGCTTGATTTATATAACACTTCTCTGTGAGTCTTCCCTACTCTAGGCTTGCCTCCTGCTGGCTTTAATGTAGCCTTAAATTAAACATTGAATGCTTAACATACAGGGGTTCTTGCAGATACTAAAGGGAGAGATCGCAACTTTTGACAAGTGGAAAATGTTGTATGGAATTTCTCCTCTTGAAAGGACCTTAGAGGAAGAGTTTCTGTTTTAGGAATGACAGTTCGAACATGTTGGCCTGCAGTCATTAGGTCACAACCAGGCTTGACAAAAATCCATGGCATTTTCCCCTCAAGTATCCTCCCGCATTTTCTTCACAGATGCAAACTTTCACTTTTAGTCAGTGTCTTTTTATCCTCCAGTAGGCAGCTTGTTTCCATGGCTCTGAAATCTTCCTGAATCGCCCGTTCAGCTGTGTCACCTTGACACACTTTGAAGACAGTCCCAGCTGCTTCGAGGGGCTGCTAATTGAATTGTTTGTGAAAAAAAGATCTGATTTGGGGCCCGAATGAGCAGCTGTTTCTGTGGTTAAGCACAAAGGTCTTAGGTGAAAGTCAAAGCTTCACACCACACAGCTGAAGCTCTCAGTTTCTTCAGTGTTCTCTGCAGTGATTGTGGTGCAGGTTTTCCCACAACATTTCTTTAGATATGAACCCACATCAGATCCGGATACAACAACAGATCCAGGTATTTCACGTCTGTGATTGGGAATTGCTTCATGTTGTTACACTGAGTTTCATGTGGCCCCCCGGGTGCTGCAAAGCTACTGTTTTGTCTTTTTTGTCTTCTCTGCCTCTGCCCTCCACATGCCTACTCAAAAACTGCTTAGTCTGCTTATTCTGCTCGGCTTTTGTGAGGAAGGCTATTCATACTTTCAGTCAATGTCCATGCAGCATAGAGGACTCCTGCTGCAGCCAAACTTTGTCCCCCTCTAGTCAGGAGTGCACACCTGATAATGTGGGAGCATTAATTAGAGCCCACTGGCTGGCCTTGTGCAAAGTTGTGCCTAACTCACTACCTGTGTAATGGGATTAGAGTTCTGGCATTCACAAGAGAATGAACTGTAAGTGAATGGCTTGTTTTGATGATGTTTACTTCTATCTGTGTAAAGAGCTACAGAGTTTTCCTCTTGCAGACTTGGCTTGTTGCTTTTCTGTGGTGAGCAGCCGTTTAGAAAGTCTTTAAAAATGTGTGATTTCGATTTTATTTTGAACACGAAGCCATCATTTACGTGTTTATAAGACCCTGCATGGCCCTTTCACCAGACTACATCTCAGAGTTGTTTGTAGTTTATGAAACAGGACGTCCTCTAAGATCCTCGGGCTCCTCTCTTTTAACTGCTCCTCAAACATTCAGAGATGCTGCTTTCAATCATTACGCTCCAAGACTGGAACAGTTTGTCAGGATCAGAGAGGAGCTAGACTTTAAAATGTTAACTTAAGACCTTTCTGTTCAGTCTGGCTTTTATATAGAGATTTTATTAGTTTCGTTATTTGCTCTTTTATATCGGTTTTTAATGCTATTTTGTTGGTTTATTCTAATTTGTAATTTTATTTGATTACTCATTACATCAGCGCGTCGTGCCCCATTAAAAGTAGTCTGAACATAATGTCATGCTTTGAGCTTGAAAAATTAAATTACTCCATGAGGCGGAGGAAATTCCTCTATCAATTTTTGTAATCAAGGTACTCAAATGATTTCATCCCTAACCTTGTCCAAATATTTAACTGAGCCGTTACTTACTTAAAAAAGTAAAACAAAGGCATCACAAAGATACAAGAAACAACATGACACAGATGAAGCTACTGCATAGGCAGCTGCTCGCATCAGGCACCGGAGGATATAGCATCACATCCTCCAGCATCACATCTGTGTGTTCAGATACATTATATGAATATAGGTCAAGAGGGCGAGAGCTGAAGTATTTGCCTTTATATCAGGGTTCAAAAAGTTCATATTATTTCACTGGTGCACCATTAATAATAGATTTGTGATCCCTCTGGAATATATGCTGAGATATTTCTTACATATGTAACTGTTCAGGCTGTAATTGAAGCTTTCCTCTATGGAATTTGTCATTACATTTTATCCTTTGGGACAAATCGAGATTCTTGATTGCTGTGCCCTGGATTGCTTATTTCCTCACAGCAAACTGCCCACTCAGTAGAGGACCTATGGCAGCTTGAGAGGCATTCAATTACAAATAATTAGGGAAAATTTGCTGTCGTCAGGCTGTGTGTATTTATAGAAGCTGTCAGGATGGAGTGAGAGGCAGGACTTTCATAGCAAAAGGTTTCCTCTAGAGAAAACTTGAATCTATCAGCAGCATGACTGTTGTGAGGTAGATGATGATTATTGGGTCACCCTTAATTCATGATTAGGATTGGACGACATTTTATGTCTCAAAACTTCACAGTGTCACACAAAAAAACAAATTACTCTGACTCGGATTTTTCCCACTATTCAGCTTAGTTTCTTCTTCATCAGTCTCAGCCGAAATTGCAGAACTTGTCTCAAAGGACTTTTTTCTTTAAATGTTCCCTTTTTTAAATGAGCTGCAGCAGTTCAGGCCCTGAGAGGTGCTTTTTTTTGTGTTTTGACAAAGTACTAAGAAACCCCCTCTGCTTTCACCGTTAGGCAACACTGAACATTTGACAAAACAAATGACCACAAGGCCTGCGAGAAGTTAAGCTGTAAGGATGCAAGTTAACCCAATATTGGCTCCCAAAGGATTAACAAAAGGCACACATATATTTTTAAGTTATTTAACAATTTTTACTGCACTGCCTTTTCAAAAGGAGTCTGTCAATTGAAAGAACTTTAAACATTAGAAGCTATTTAAAAGTAAAACTTTAAAAAGCTTTTTTGACTTGAACTTAAAAAGATTAAAAATAAATTCCAGGTCTGGTTTGGTTTTCAAGTAAAATAGTTACACAAAGTAATCCTGCGCAGGTGGCAAACTTAGGTTTTTACATCCAACAGTATATTGTCAAAACTCAGGAAGACCTTCCCCCTCCTCTTTAACATGAAGATCCTTATGGAGCCCTTCACTTGTTTGTGGTTGAACTGTAAAAGAGGAGCAGGGGATCAAAGACCCACCCAGCATAATAAAAGCTAAGCCCACGAAGTGTTGACCCCCAGACCTTAAGCTCTTCATTACTGCGGCTCACTGCTAATTAATGTGGACAGGACAGTCTGAAAACCAGAAAATTACCCAACCCTCCTCTCTACAGGGTGGTCAGCTCTAACAGCCACTCCTGGCTCCCAACTTGTAAACATCTGAGGGTCAGGAGGCAAAGAAACCTGCTGGGGCCCTTCACCTGTACCCACCCAATAAACCAACACTCTCACTCAAGAAAAGGCAGAAACCCTAAACCTTAAATGAAGAGAATACAATGTTTTTACCTTCTCCGTTGAAGCAGAAATGTTACCATATGCTCCTGTTTTTGTACAGCCCCTGATTTGGTGCCAACTTAATCTTGACTGTAGTGACCACAGACCACATCCTCAAGGCCATGTGGGCCCATAAGTTGGCAGAGATATTTGAAAAAACTTTTTTTCCTCAAAATAGATGAAACTTTGAGATGTTAGCCATGTAGCACCTGATTATCTGGAATCACCAGCAGCTTGTGTCTAGAACAGAGAAGAAATCCTTCCCACATATTCTGATAATAAATGTTTGTACAGCAGAAACCATTCACATTTCCCATCAACTGGATGTAGAACTAATTATAAATATAGTATAGCAGTGTGGGTGGGATACTGTCATGCTCTTAATCAGCATTTCCAGTCTGTCACCATGATACACTAAACGTCACTTCTGTGTAATTTGAATAAGATGACAAAATAGCCCAGACAGTAGTTAAAAAAGAGGAAAACACAGAGAGTTTTTTTCTCTTTCCTCAAAAAAAGGGAAATGTGAGTTATCCTGTCTATTTTTGCCTCCACACAGCCACACCCATCGTGTTCCCTCAGAGCCCCCATGTTTTCCACCGGGGTTTGAAAACTCGTGTCCTGCCATACCGCATGGGTCATGTGGGGAATGTTTAGGACCTTCTCAAATAGCTTCCATCTATATAGGTGTGGAAACTCTTTGATGTCACACAGACCCCCCCCCTTAAAAACTCTGACCCTGCACACGTGTCGGGCAGTCCATCTGCTAAAACTTAACAAACATCAGATGGGCTTTTTTAATTTTATAGATGGAAGCTTCAGAATCTATATCAGCTTCATTTTCAAGGTCATGTTTGAAAAGTTATATTCAGTCGCTTTGATTGACATCTGGCTCCTGCCAGGATCACCTGCTAATAGCTTTTAAAGAAGGAAAAGTGAATATTTATTTCATTTAGGTACTTAAAAGATGTCAATGTTGCACCATATCTCGAAGGTCAGAGTGCATGGTAAGCCTAAGTAGTCTAATGTAGTTTAATTAAATAGTTAATCAGGTTAATTTATATGATGATGAGTGTTTTGATTTCTAAAAGGATATACAGCAGACATGTCCAAAAATGATAACTACCTTTATTTGTCAAGGTCTGCAAGTTAGAGGGAGTCAGATAATATGGAACTGTATGAGATGATTTCCTGTGTCTCACTTAGCAACTTAAGATTTCAAACTAGCAGTCGAGAAATGACGCAAATCCTCACCAACACATTTTCAAGTTCATTTAGACAAATGAGGGTTTAATTTGGAAATTACAAAAAGGCCTGAAAAAAAAAGACAATGACCTCTTTGAACAGAACAAGTAGGGGCCATCTCTCTCTCTCTCAAGATCTGTTGTTAACTCACAGTCCTACTAAGTCGAGATAAGATCCTTTAGTCTGTCTTCAAATGAAAATGACCTGAGTACATCAGATATTTTGTGATTCAATTTGGTACAAAAATTGTATGTTGCATCTCTGTCTCTCATTTTTATATGTCCAGATGTAACGCTAATGAATAGATCAACAGCATCCATCAATATGTTTTAACTTATGCTTTTTTTTAGCCCTGATTGAAGTACCACATGAGAGAAAATTCGCAATGCATGCATGAGGTCACTAATTGCAGAAGAGTTATTGGAGTTAATCTAAGCTAAGCATCTCATCTTATTAATCACATCCAGTGATCATCAAGGCATCAGTCTGTTATCCTACTTTTGTGTCCGTATATATACCCATCCAGAGTGATTTCTCTTTAAGTCCATAACCAGCCGAAGTTCAGAACCGTATAGGCATGTGTGAAGAAAAAATGGTGCCGCTGGTCTGCCCCAAGACCGCACAGAGTACTCTGCTGCCAACAGTGCCTCCAGTAATTACAGACCAGAGCTGTGGAGACTGTTGCTCTCCAGGCTAAACTGAAACTAAACCTCCTATTTCATGCTTGGTATTTGCTCTTTGCAGTACACGAGTACCCCATGTTTAAAACTGTTATTTTTGGGCTGTAGCTTGACTCTCTTCTGTTTATAGAGCAGCCTGACTGAGTCGGAATATAGAAGAGCTGCCCGGCATTTGAAGCCAGTGATAGCTCGAGGATTGTTGTTGACATTCTCTCTACTCTCGTTATCTAATGTCGAGCTTAATGTCAATATATTTGATGTATATATTGAACCGTACTTTCCCTTTAGCTACTGAACTTCCCATCGCTAACTCACTGACAGAAAAATCAAATAACACTAGAGTTTTTTTCATCTCCAACTGGTGTATTATGAGATAGGGAGAATTAGCCGGAAACAGAGAGGCTGATAATTTTTACAACATGATTTCCAGCTGCCCCCTGGCCATTCAGATCACACACAACACTGACCGTGCTCCACATTCCTGGAAAGCTGCTGTTATTGGAAACACTCCAGTTATACCGTGAGGTTGTCTGTGTCCTGATGCACTGTTAGAACAGATGTGACTGTGGGCAACTGTATTCGATAAAGACTGCTGGGTTGAATCGTCAGTTCCTCTTTCATGATAAGTAATGTTTTGGTCATTTGCAGAAGTGTGTAGATTGTAGTTGTTTGTATGATTCATCTAAGTTTTTTCCTGTGGTGCTTTCTTTTTCTATAGCCTGACTTTATGTTTTGGTTAGAGACAATAATTACATACTTGCGTTTTCTTTGGGTGTTTTAAAAGCCAGCGTTTTTCACCAAAAGCTCCATATTTTTGTTTTGTCTGTGTTTTTGTGCACCATGAGTGGAATCATTTAATTTCACAGTTTCTATGGACAAAGAGCTCAGAAGTGGATTTTCTTAAAATGTTTGACTTTTAGGCTAACCATCAGTGTAACCTTTACTACTTCAAGTATAGCTTATTGATAATGATAGTGTTCTTTAACATTGATCATTCTTGATGTCTCCCTCTCTTTTTTCATCAGCCACAATGAGCGGAAGGTGACCTGTAAGCATCCTGTCTCCAACTTACCCTCCCAAGACAACTGCATCTTTGTCGTCAACGAACAGTAAGTCTCTTGTTTTTACTTTCAGAATGCCACTGAGTCGCATTTTTGAGCTCTACAGCAAGCTGTTGCAACTCCCGATGTGAAGGCAACGTTGCGCAAGTCTGCGCCTGCCACTTTCTGTTTGAGGTTCTTCCCTTTCAGTTCAAAACTTCTTCAGCGCAGTGCCTTCTCCAACCCACATAAACAAATCCTCACAAATAAGACCGAAGCTTTCATATGGAAAAGTCACTTGGAAGGATGTTATTTTTTTTTTGCACTGTACTTCTACAACTAGTGTCAAGGTAAAGTTTATATTGTTGTACAACACTCTGACAATGAAAAGACATCAACTTTTGGGAGTGAATTGATTCACACCTCTCCTCATTTTAACCTGCACAAGAGTTCATGACCTTTTTAGTTGTCAGAAGTTCAAGAGTTTGTCCCCTTCTGTCCATGTGATCTCCCACGCTGCTTCTCAGCACAACAGTCGTCACATGTCCCCCCCATATGACTGGATCAGAGGCCACTCATCTTGAACTTTCACTTCAAGGAGAACTTCACTGTAAATCTGTCAAACTAGAATTAGTGTCTCACTCTCTAACGGAGGAAACAAAGTGCAAATACTGATGTTAAACTCTGGCCTTCTTTTCATTCCCACTCAAATTTACTTCCAGTCTGTGAGTGTACTAAATATACTTGCACATGTACTAGACTTTATGCATCACAGCCCACACCCTGACTCTAGCCTCAGCTTTTATCCTCCACCCTAGACATCCAGGCTTAATGTTATGCAACATATATCAGCTCCGTGCAGTAACTCATTCCCCTCAGAAACTCTTTCTAAGCAGATTCTTCTCACAGTTCTGTTATGACACTGAAGTCACACCATCACAACTGGTGTCAATTATAGTGTTGTTGAGCCATGAATGCTAATTGAAATGTGTTCAACTTCAAGACATGAGATTTCACTCCCATGTGGAAAATCGTTGCCAAGTCCAAAAGCTTAGTGGAAGATGAATCCCTGACGGCGCCTGTTTAATCTTTTATCAGTTTGTGTCTAAAAAATTAAAAGCGTGTTATTACCAGAAAATGACAGATTACATCTTTTTTTTTTGTCTGACCAAATTAAACTGAGCAGCTTTTGTTCAGCGTAGATGAAAAAATCAGAGGAGGGATGTGAAGGAGCATTTTGTGCCGAAGATGTCATGCTGCACTCTCTCGACACATTCCTCCCCTTCTCGTGTTATTCTCACATCTCTGCTGTTTTTCATGCTGGACAGCACAACATGCTGCTGCACAATGATATTTCATTTTTAAGCATTTAAAGATAAATAAAGAGAAGGAAAAGCCCAGATCTTTTAGGGGTCAATTATGAAAAAGTAGTATCAAAGTGATTCAAAACTCCTTTTATGATTCATTGTCATTTTTGAGTTTATTACAGTGCTGTTTTTTTTCTCTCCAACAGTTGACTCTGTTTTTGCTAAGTGATAAGCAGAAAATTCTTCAACACAGTCTAGTAATAAAAGGCAAAGACGGATTTAAGCTGGTGCGGGGATCAAGAGGCCAGGCTGAAAATCACTACATAATCTGTTCTGTACTTAAAGTAAATCCTAAACACAAAATGTAGTTTACATCCTGTACTATGAGTTTAAGAAACTGTCAAGTGGTATAAAAAGATCATTAAACATATCAGCTAAAAGGAAGAATAAGTTATTCGTATGATTAAGATCTAGAAGCCTTTGTACTTTGAGATGTATTTATATCCTTTTTTAGGAAAACAACACAGCCATGACTTGGGAAACTCATTTACACACACATGATGAATGCGGTAGCCTCAGCTGAGCATGTTTCAAGCCTATTAAAGTGTCTGTCATACTTGGACATTGAGCTATGCTGTGATATAAGTCACGACTCGAACCCCTGCTCAGCCCCTTCTTTGACATGTGGCTTTACTGACCTCAGAGAGTATCAACCTCTGGATTCTTCTTTCATTAGCACTCAGCTCTGTACCTTTTTTAGCCCATTGGTCATCTGTAAGCTGACAGGGACATTTGAATAACACACATACCAGACATGTTGATGAAACATGAACTGGCCAAAACTTAGTGTAAGACTGTGGTGTTGTTAATACAGAGCAGGAAGGACACAATATGGCACATCATGCACATCACTATAGCTGTTTCTTAAAGAATAACCTGCTGCAGACAGACGATTGAACCACACTCCAAAAAGGCACAAATTGGTCATTTTCATTAGGGGTGTCCAGATCCAATATTGATATCGGATATCGGGCTGATATTGGCAAAAACAACAAATATCGGATTTTATCAACCTGCATCTAAAATCTCTGTTATCAGCACTCCGATACTAGGCCAGTCGATTCCAGATTTACTGAAGGCTACAATATCGGTATCATATCAGAAGTGAAAAAGTTATATTTGGACACCCCTAATTTTCATTCATTAAAGTTTAATCAGTCCAGGATGACAGAAGCTAAGAACACATCAAAGCAAGATTCTCAAGATTTTCAACACATGTCACATTTTTGGAGGTTGGAATCAAACACTAGCTGCCCTTTTGTGGGTTATAGTCTCTGTATATGGAACATTTAACTCGCCCAAACCAGCACCCCTTGACTTGTGATAAGAGCTGTATCCATGGAGATGCTGCGCTATAAAGAAATAACCGACCATTGCTATGGAGGTACTGACCAATCAGAATGAAGTATACGACACAGCAGTGTAATAAAGCAGCATTAGAGGAAGTCTAATCACTGGCTTATCACTGTGACCCTTCATGTTCAGAGTCTTTTAGGGACGTTCAGATCAGCCACAGGCCTCTAATCCACTTTTTTTGATACTGAGTGTCTGTTTTACTAAGAGTGAGACAATCAAAAAAGCTAAAAAAAAAAAGCTTTGTAATTGATGTAAGACTGCATAAAACTAATTTTGAAATGTGAAAAGTGTGGTCATCTTCATACAAGTTCATAACAAAAAACAAAAATTATTACATGTGCTGCCAGTTTTCAAACATTTAATTCTTTAAATCTGACTTTTAAACTCAACAGACTTATCTTTCCTCTATTTCATAGTGTGAATTGTGGGAAATTGTGTCACCCAGCATTTAGCAGGTAAAACATCATGGTGTAAAGATGAATGACTCTGTGTACTCCTGTTTTTTGTTTTTTTTTACTGTGAAACACTTGGACATGTATGTCTGTCGGTAACCCTTGTTGTGTCACACTAACCACAGACTGTCGGTTGTTGGAATGACCTGTTATGCATTTGCATTCCTAAGTCCTGTAAGGTGCATTTATCTGTCTGGACCGTTTGTTGTGTTCCCCTCTAACTCTCAGCACAGGAGGGTCTTTACTTACATCCACTCTGCTGTAAATCAAATATTCAATGAGCTGATTATCTCAAAGCCTAAAAAGTACATTTAGGAGTCACTGTTTTTTGATGGTTCAGAAACTAAACGTATAAAAAGCCTTTCATGTTCCACCCCTGATGAATGCATGGGCCAGAATCAGGTAGCAATCCCAAATAATGCCTTGTTTGTGTCTGTAAATCATTTGCCTGTTACCCAGATTTGTGATTATCTGCATCTCTGAACCTGTGCCAAATGTACACACAGTTTTCTTGAAGCGTGTGTGCTTGCTGTTTCTCCTAGTCTTTTGTTCAGTAAAAAGAAAAGATCAGGTTCAGCAGCAAACAAAAGTGTTTGAAAGCACCCTTATTTCTTTAGAAATGCTGTGTGGTCATTTTAAAAATGCACCCTCAGCCGCTCAGTTCAGTGTTTCCCCCCAGTGTGCTGAGAGCACCAAGCCTCAGTGGCAGTGTTATCCCTCCTCACACAGATCCACACGCTCACACAGACGCTGCACAAAATCCATGCAGGGCAAGGCAGGGATGTGTTACTGGTTAGTCTGTCAGTGTGGAATCGATCAGTTGATAAACAGTTAATGTTTATGTCTCTGTGAGGAGATTTGATTTTGTTGTCGACACTAAATACATACCGCACAGTCATCAGCTGTTAGTGTGTCTGTTATGTAAGGGATAATATGTGGTGAGCCGCTTGTGACAGTGGGTTATGACCTTGAAAAGTGAGCAGGATCCCAGCATGAAGTGGATAATTCTTGTCTCACCTTCAAGGGTTTTCTCTGTTATAATGAGTTGTACAATATCATGATTATTACTCAGCTCCTTAGTTATCGAATCATTGACTTTAAACTTAATATTGATTCAGAAATAATTCATATTTCATAGTGGTCATGTTTCTTTTGTTGAAAACAGTTTGTTACTCTCAGTTTCAGCAGTATCCATAGCTACGGCTAACTCTGCAGCCTCCTCAAAATGAGCTAACTTTGCAGTTATTACTTGGCTTTCAGCTAAGCTCTTGACACTGAGGTAAAACAAGGTGAACTGGACTGTATGAGTCAGAGCAGCACCTGGTTGAATTTCTCTTCCTTTGTCACATTTAGAGGCTGTGATATTTCCTGTCCTATTTATCAGTCTGTAAACTGCAAACCGTGTAATGGGAAGTGTTAACTTTATTAAGTTTTGTGGATTTAGCCTTGGTAGCCCAGAACTTGTGTCTCCAACCTCTCCTTTGTTGATGTTCACTTCTGTAAACAACCTGACGCCATATCAAACAAACACCTTCTGGTGGATTGCTATGATTACAGCAGGCTGTATCATATAACTTCATTCACAGACGACAGGACAGTAAACCTGGGAGAGAGAGTGTGGATATGGTCAGTTGCTGCAGATTGAAATCAAACTCTAGCTGCCCACTTGTGGGTTATAGTCTCTGTATATGGAACATTTAACTTAACCACCCACCCAAACCAGCACCCCTTAACTTGTGATTAGAGCTGTATCCATGACGATGCTGTGCTTTAAAGAAATAACTGACCATTGCTATGGAGGTACTGACCAATCAGAATCAAGTATACGACACAGCAGTGTAATAAAGCAGCATTAGAGGAAGTCTAATCACTGGCTTATCACTGTGACCCTTCATGTTCAGAGTCAGAGTGGCACTTAATCCACTTTTTTTGATACTGAGTATCTGTCCTTTCTGATACAACGTTGTAGTCTGAAATATTTCCACACTGCTGACATTCTAGCCAGGGGCTTCTTAAAGCAACATGTTCATACTTCAGCCTGAACCACGTGTCCCTGGAGGGTTACCTCAGACTGCTGTTGTAATCTGGCTTTCTGGGAACATCCTATCTGATGGTTGAGATAAGGATTGGAACAAAATGAGTGGAATATCCTGAACAATATTGAATAATTGCAGTATTTTAAGAATGAATTTAGTTCAGAATTACTGATTTAGCACCTATACAGCTCCAGGTTTGCATTTTCATCTTGTGGTGGTAGGCCCCTGAGTAAATCCATGAATCTCAGTGAATCAAGTATGCCTGCTCCTGAGTCCACCGATGTTCCTCTAGGTTTACCACCAAACCAAAGGCATGTAGAGTATGTGGGATCAAATGAACACCATAAATTACCTCTCGGTGTCAGAATGAATGCATTTGCCTGCCTGTGGACCTCCAACCTGCTCATGGTATTTCTTTGCAGGTGGATGCTCATGTAGCTGCAATAGATTTTCAAAATATGCATGCTCTGCAAACCTAAGCTGTATCACCTGCACATAAACTAACAGATGTTACTTATTCAAAAGTAAACTCCTTTTTTGTAGGTTGATTATCTCATGAGCCTTTCAGGTTACGGTTTGAGATACAGTATGTTGAGCTGCTGATGTGGAGCTGTGGTAAAACAAGGTATTTCCCTGCAGCTTTTACTGTGTCAGTACATCACAGACATACCCACTGTAAGATGCTGCTCCTAAGAGAGTGGCACAAAACCTAAATAAGAAACTAGACTTGAAATTCTAGCGGCATGTTGTGGAAATAAACAGTGCAGCAGGTCATGTGAAGTGCCATGATGACATTTTAACGAATTCCAGTTTGTGCAAAGTCTCACACCCGCCCATACAAATAAAGCTTTTGTTTGCTTTGACTGTGTGTGCAGTCCATGCACTGCCAGCTAATTTTTTCTTAGGACCTGGGGATGAGGGAAGCCCGCTCAAAAAGGGAAAATTAGTGCCAAAAGTGTCAGTCAGTTGATCTGAAACCATTCAGAAGTTTATTTTTAATCTTTATATAAGCCCAATTAAAAAAAAGAACTAAAATCACAATTTAATTTTGCTGTTTCAAAGTTTATCTTTAAATGTACTTGTTTGTCTGACAAAGATCAATTTGAGGATATCAGTCTGAGCTTACTCTCCTCGGTTTGCGGATCGATCAATCTGCACAGTCACTAATTTCTGCCCTTATCGCCATCCTTGTCTTAGAGTCAAGTTTGTCTCATTTTTTCACTGAATAAATCACCATGGTTTAAGTTACATGTTTGTTCAAAGATGTTGCTTTCAGTTAAATTCTTAGATATTTTGTGTAGAAACAGATGTTGAACTTAAGGCTTTAGTGACTAAAACACATTGAGCTGTGCAGAAAAGCTGTAATGCAGCATTATTCCTTTGGTTTCCATCCTCCTGCAGTCATAGACCACCTCTGTCTCCTGAGCAGCTTATTTGATAACATTTTTTAATGGCGCTGCATGCAGATCAATTGTTGTTACTGACTAATTACCAGCACAGCTCCGACACACAAACAAACAGTTCAGAGCCTGGAAATGGTCTGTCAGCCAAATTAAGCATTTGATAGAGCAACACCACGCTTAACCACAAAGTCAATCCACTTCGACCGCCAGAAGATTAATTGAAGTGTGCTAAGGATCTCTGCTGCCTCTGAAGATGCTAAAAATCTTTGCAGTTCAATTTCTAAAGAAAGTTTTCAGATGCAGAAAAGGAAAGAAAGCCTTCGTCACTCTCGAACACTGTGCATAGGCAGCTATTTCTGAACAGCAAGTTGAAAACTGTGTGCTTTTAACTTGTGGAAATGTAAGTCGCCCACACGTCCAGCCGATGACGTCCTTGATGGTGTTTCCAGAGATGTGTCGCCTTTATGCAGAACCCCCTTATAGGTTCAGGCAGTGAACAGTAATGTTGAGAAGAACTCTCTTTCCTGGAGAGAAATAGGATGAATAGAATAAGATGTTAGCCATAGCTTGTAACAAACCAATAACAGGTAAGACGTTTTTATTTTTCTGAAGGGTCTGCAGGTGATATCAGACCTGCCACTCTGCTGCACGGGTATGAACATCCTGTGTTTGTTGCCTGCTGTTGTGAGATTAACTGATGTTATCCCTCGTGATCCCTTTCTGTGTTTGTGCACTTTGACTATAACAGCATGGAGTCTGGATTGTTGAATCCTTTTCAAATTTACTTTTAGTTTCCTTATTCCTAAGTGTAAGTAGTCTTGTCTTTGTGTACAACATGTTCATCCAGGTGGTATCTATGAAGAGTTATATTCGATTAAGTTAATGTCATAATTATGGTGACTGGAATCAGATAATCTGAAATCTCCGAAAATTAGATAATCTTTTAAATCGACAGGTTAGATGGGGGGGAAGTATGCAGTGCAGGGTTGGCAGCTTCTGTCCTTATTCAGTGACCTGAAACCAATACATCAGAGAGATAACACTTTTTTTTTTTTTTTCCTGCTGCAGTATTTTTGCTCTACTCTGGTTTTCCTGCCGTGTTCCCAGTAGACTACAGCTTTGTTCCCCATCTAAAGAATGTAGGACATCTCCATAGGCTAGAGACAACTTATTTAACAATGCGCTCGGTCCTATGGCCAATGCATTGAATTTCTTATGCTTGCAAATTTTTGCTGTAAAAGCTCGAACCTTTTGTAGTCCTTCTTGCCTGATTCACAGCTGCATCTCAGTATGTCAGGCAGGCTTGCAGACCATTTAAAGCTGTTAGAGAGTAGGGAATGTATCTGCAGTGACAGGGTGGGAGTAATTGGCTTGATTCATAGGCCCATGTTGAGATCTCATTATATAAGGGATTGAACTTCAGAGGAATGAAGGCAGAACAGACAATAAAGTGCTTCCTTCTTTTCTCGTTCTTTCATTGAGGTCATAGGACACAGATCCGGTCTTTATTTCTGCTCCGTGATTTTTTTTTTTTTGTCTTATATTTTTTTTTCTTGCTTTGTGTCTTTTTTTTCCTCCAGATCTGCCCCCAAAGCGTCGAATGAGAAAAAGGAACGGCCGCTGAGCACCATGAGTGAGGCCTCCAACTACACAGGCGGCTCGGACCAAGCCGCAAACCCCAGCAGCCCAGCAGGAAGAGTGAGTGACTCACATGGAGATGAGATTATCGGGCATGTCAGAAGAGTTCGGATAATAAAAATGGAAAAGCAAAGGGGTCATATTTTGATGCCTTGAAAAGTTTTTTGGTGAGGGGAGTGATGAAGCTAAGTTGCCGTTTTGTCTCTCATACTGTACCTGTAGCCCTCAAGACCTTCAAAAAAAGTCCACAACTTTGGGAAGAGATCCAACTCCATTAGGAGGAATCCCAGCGCTCCGGTAATCAAGAGAAACTGGCTTTATAAACAGGTGAGCAAGATTATGCAGTATGTCTGAAGTGAAATTAAATCCTTTAGAGGCAGTAAAGGAACATTGGGTTCATTTTTTTTGCAAAGCAAGCAGTTTAGCACTTTAATTGCAGTTTAACTGTTTGTCAGGAAGATAAGGCTAAAAGGCCGCTGTCTAGTTTGAAACGTATAAATACCCATCAGCTAGAACATTTGACCATTTGTCTTATCGACTGCAATCCAGTACAGTTTACAGGTTACTGTATCAGATGCCTGACAGAACATTTAAATGTAAATGGAATTGGCCTCACACCAGAGATGCTTGACCTTCATGAACAGGACACTGAGCTGCTTTGACCGTGGGGGGCACCAGACCGACATAAACCGCAAAATTATTCGTAAAAGCTTAAAAGTTCACATTTTATAGTAACAAAACTTATTCATATTCATAAATGTTATACTTTCCTGTTGACATTTGTTTGATTCATGAATAATCTGTGTGTAAAGCTGATTGATAGTAAGAAAAAAACTATACTTGTAGAGTGTTTACATGTTCGCACAGAGCTGGAGGTTTTCTCAAACTGTTTCCTACTTTTTACTCTTGAACAAGGTTAGTGCCTCCCTCTTCTTTCAAGATTAGCCACAGCCGTCCTAAGATAAGCACAGAGGAAGCTTTTTGATGTGTGTAAAGATCTGAGCATTTCTTTGTCCAGTGTTTCTGCTCAGCCGGTCATCCACAGCGGCCAGTGTTTGAATACCAATCCTTCACCACAGCTCCCTGGTTACTTACAGGAGGGTGAAAAGGGGGTGCTTGAGGGTGCTCTTGGTCAGACAGGACTCTCTCATGCTTTTTAAGTGGGAGACTCATTTAGTTTTGATTGCAGCCTCCTGGTGAAGCTTTGTGAACACATGATGGCTTCCTTTGGTTCAGCTGCCAGCTGCTTCTTCTTTTGGGACCTCAATCAGGGTGACGTAGATCAAGGAAAAGACTCACAAATCTGCTACCGTGAATAAAAGCTGGATTTGCACTTTTATTTTCCTGCCTCATAGAAACCTGGAAGCTATTGAGGGCCTTGGCTGGGGAAAAGCTGCAGCCCTCCAGTTGATCCATTGGGAGAACAAAGTGTCACAGTGATTGATGTGATGGTGAAAGCCCCATTTTTCCTTTCCTGGCTGAGCAGAGCAACATCTGACAGAACTTTTGATAAAGTTTATTCATGGCCACTTTGTTAAATTAGAGGATAAAACCTTGATTAAATTGTGGAAAGGTGTTAAGTACAATAGAAGCAGGAAGTTTAATTCTTTCTGTTACATTTCTGATGCGCCTCCCTCGTGAACACACCGACCGAGCAGCATCTGGTATTGTGACTTTTTGATACTGATGTGTCGAACACCCTAGCTCATGGAATTGAATTTCCATTTAAAGTAAACTGCTGCCCACATGCTGTTTCACCATAATGACACAGTTGCTTAGGCTCCTCCTCCTACTTTTGTCTCCTGGTCCAATCCTCGATTAAGGACTCTGCTCAAGTTTTCCAATAAAGCAACCGGGGGAGTTAATACCCTTTTCCTCACCCTTCATCCTTCACAAGCAGCAGCCTGAAACCCCCTTTGATCACAGCAATGCAGCACTAAAGCACAACTTTAAGCCAAGAGGGTTTATTTTTTTATTCACCGTTGAATAACAATCTTCCTCTAAAGGTAAAAGCTCAAATGATAAAACAGAGATGCACTCCACTGGGTTTATTTCTGTCCACAAATCAAATGTGTCTTTTTAACTGACTAAACCACCACCGATTTTGACTATTGAGAGACAAAAATGGTGTGATATAAAGTAGATTTAAAGAGTGATGTACATAATTCAAAGAGGCAATAAAGTGGCAGGTAACATAGAAGCTATTCATCTCTTAGGTTCTAATGTCTTTGGGGCATGATGAAAGCTAATATCATAACTAGCTTTCTTACAAGCATTGCAATCCGCCAACACACTGGCTTGTTCCGTGATTGTTTTCTTTATTTCTCCAAGCCTGGAGAAATATGCTCCGCCCCCGGACTTGATTTGCTACGTAGGAATTCTCACTGTATCTGAACCATAGACTGTATATAGAATGGACAGAGTCTGCCTCCTTGCTGGGTGAAGCCACTCTGAGAACAGCACCCTCTGTTGGCGGGCTGCAGTATAGGTCATAGATCCCACCTCCGCCAGCAAAACTTATGGAGCTGTGGACAAACTTTAGAAATTTATTACACAGAACACAAATTGTGTAGTTACTGTAAGACTGGTTTGTGCTCAAGTGCTCTTTTTTCTGTGAAGCTCCGTTTTTAAAAGTTATGTGGGGGTTCATATTTTCTTTGATTGACACCTGATACAGCCTATGAGCGTTCAGGGATTGCGTTGCTCACCCGGGGGATACGCTGTTTGAGCCGAGCCTCATCACAGCGACTCTCTGTGCAGCGCTGGTTTCAGGAAATAAAGAAAAATCCTGGAAATACCGAGAGCTTTTTGGCTTCAAATCCATATACAGGCGGGAGGCGGAACCAAGTTGTCCATCGTATATACAGTCTATGATCTGAACCTGCTGTTTGGGTCTGCCAGAGATTAATAGCGATTTGAATGTGGAAATACTCACTTATTTTTCTTATGATTTCTCCTGTAGTATCAGAAAAATGCCATATGTACATATAAAAAACAAGAAAAACATGATCTTCATCAGAGCGGGTCTTTAACAGATTTTAAACCAAAATTTAAAGTTCAAATTGGAAACTATTTTTTTCTGGTAGTAAAGGTAAGGTAAGTAACAGAGCTCTGTTCCTCTCTTGTCTTTTCAGGACAGTACAGGGATGAAGCTGTGGAAAAAGAGGTGGTTCGTGCTGTCTGACCTGTGCCTCTTTTACTACAGAGGTGAGTCCTGACCTTGCAGCCTGCGCACTAACACGTTTCATTAGCTCTACATTGCTCACCACATTGATGGCTTTCGATTAGCAGTTCAAAGTAGTGACCTCCAAAACCACAAGCCAATCCGGCCCCTGTGGTGAGCAGCCCTTCAGGTCCAACTAAAGTGACATTTTAATTGAAATGGCTCCCCTGATCTCTGATTTGTGATTTAAGAGATCGTTTATTCCACAAGAGAAGCCACAGCTTTGAACATGACTCAGATGAAGTCATAGTGTTAAAACACTTTCCAGAGATGATGCTGTTTTTATGCAGCGGTTGCATACGAGTGCAATACTTGGATTCAGTTGCATTAGGCGAAATTGATGGAGCCAATATTTGAAATCCACATTAGAGGAAGCTCTTTGATAATATGGCTTTGATCATCCTCTTGAAAACGTGTGGTATTATGGTCCTGCAATTTAAAGAAGAGAACCTATAATTCCATGACCAACTAATAAAAGATTATATTTGGACGAAAGCAGAAATATGAATCAGTTTATTTCAGAGCTTCGGTTTTAATAAACCTGAGCACCTTCATCATTGTCTTTTTCATCATAGTCTCATAACAAGAGTCCCAGTCTGATTTTAAAATTTGCACACGTTCATCAAAACCAGGTGGTCTTAAACCTCATTAAGTGTCTGCTTCCGTTCCTCAGTAGACGAATGTTTGCAAGTGTTACAGGTGATCCCTTATGTTAGCTGCTATTTACTTAGCTGCTATTGACTGGGTATCTCAGCTTTCCAGAACTAATGTTCAGGTCAAATATTGACACAGCTGTGTCCAGAGAAGACAAAGAGCTGTCCTATAAAAAAAAGATCTATTTACAGTGTAAGGTAACTGTTGTGTGTGCCCACTACTAAACAGGAAAAAGAAGACTTACTGGATATAATCCTGATGTCCCTTGCTCATTCAATACGGATACAGTCATCATTTCTGCTGATCAGGATGACATCTCGTCTGTGTTATTTCTGGTGTCTGCCAGTACTGTCGCCCTCTTTCCGCCCACTGACTGACAAAAGCCACAGCCAGCAGCAGAACCAAAGGCCTTATCCAGACAGACTTGTAGAGAAATCCATCCATCAGCAGAGAGTGGGCAGAGAGGTCATGAACTCTGCTGCCCCTCCTCTAAACTGAACTGATTTCTGCAGCTGTTATCAGGCTGTTATTGTGTGCTGAGATTTTACCCACAATGTTAGCTTGTGCACAGACTGCTCTGTAATATCCTCAGTGGTTGTGTGCATGTTAGAGAGCGAAGTAGAGAGACTTAGTGATTAAATAAATACATGTGGGGCTGCTGATGCAGGTGAATAGATAAACACTCCAATCCTTCAGAGTTTAGAAATGCTACCAGGGCTTGAAGCTAGCTCCAAGGTAAACTGTTTTCACTTCTTCACTACCAGAGGCTGACCAGAGTTCAGCTACAGAGTCTTCCTTCAAATGTTAATTCACATTATAAACCTAATTCATCTCAGTCTGAATCAATGAGTCACTCAGACCCAACATAACATCCTCAGTAAACACACAAACAAGAACATATGCCAGTCAGACAGAGCAAATGCTCATACAGAACAGCAGCAGTCATTTCCCTGATGTATTCGGTTTTCCTGTACTGTTTTGAGTGAGCAGTGCAGATTGCTTATATCAAATTAGGGGGTTTAAGCAATTCTCCTGCCTAAAACTCGGGACTCAATCTAATCCCCCCTGTGGAGAGAGCTGCATTGTCAGTGTGGAGTCCTGTCTGCTAACTTAATGAGGATTAGAGAAGCCTAGTTGCATGGGACATTGAATCAATGCTTTTTCCGCTGATTGGACACTGCTCAGCTGACTAGCACACTCCTCTTTTAGTTTTTTTTTTTATGTTGGACTCTCCTTGGTTTGTCCCAGGCCTTATTTTTAAATCTACAATTGAATGTTCTCCCGAAGAGTTGAGTTGAAGTTTACAGACGAAAACAAACCCCTCCTCCGACAGTGTGTGAAATTGCTTGACTTTGTTTTTTTTTTTCCTCTGCAGATGAAAAAGAGGAGGGGATACTCGGCAGCATCCTCCTACCAAGCTTTCATGTATCCATGCTATCTGTGGATGATCACATTAACAGAAAATATGCCTTCAAGGTCAGTGCATGTTTTCATTCCTGTCAAACTTTGTTAGACTGCACATGTTAAAGAAGAGTCAGTAATTAGTATAATTTAAAGCTCTAATAAAATGAAATAAGAGCTGAGGGTACAAAGCTTCCCTTAAGTCACTGGTATACAGTTTGAAGATCTGTGTTTTATTACTGCAGTGTTTTGTATAAATCATCCTCCAAGTTTACTTTGCTTTGAACATTCACCAAAGACATAATTTCCAGGTGATTGGGAGTAAAGTAATACAAGTCATTTCTTCAAAACTTGATCTTTTCACTGCTGATGTTAAGAAAGCTCCAGCCAACAGTGATACGTCTGTGCTCGTGGCGCAGTACTAGAGCGTGGCGATAGATGACTCGGAAACCCCAAGTTACAGGGCAACAGGAATATTTTATGGTGTATACAGCAATTGACTGTGGTTTGCTTCGTAAAACCTAAGAGACAAAAAAGTTGACCCGCCAAGTACAGCCAAACACAGACGCCCAGGAGTCTGCCCAACGTCTCTGCAACCGCACAGCCCACTCCTTTTTCCAACTTAGACCGAGAGAGAGAGACAGAGAAAGAGAAAGGAGAGAGGAAGTGAGGGAGAAACATGAGAGCAGGGTATGACCTCTTCAGTTTACAGGGATTCACTCAGGAATGGGATGCCTTTTTGACTTCATAGTTTTTATTCTGAACTTTTTCTGCCCCCTGTTGTTGTGGCCAAAAAAGTCCATGTCATTAAAAGTTCTTCATTTCTCTGTATTATTCTCAGGAAGTTGAAGTGAAGGCAGCTTTTTTTTTTTTGCTGTTGTTGTTTTTAGACGTCGGTAAACAGGATATTGAGGTTCTTGACTTTACATTTTGTTTTTCTCTTTCTGTGTCTGGCTTCAACAATAAACCGGTTTGTTCACTGCAAGCAAACAAAACAACTACAGAACAACGAGTCACCTTCATGATACATTTTGTGGTAAGTGCCACACTACTGTGACTAGTTTGGTGCCCTGATCCAATGTAACGCATGCAACAAAAGGTCAACCATGGTAGCATTTTTTACCACTGTAGACCAAGTGCCCAGTATTGAATATTAGGGCACATTTTATTTGACACCTATCTCTATAACGCATTATAAATATATGTATAATGCATTAGAATCACATTATAGCACTGTGAAACTATAGTTATAAACACTCATAAATGATCATAATGCTTTACAGCAATAATCATTATAAAGAATTTTATCATGACTTACAAGGTCAGGTATTATAATGTGTTATAACTGTTAACAACTCACTGACAATACCTACATAGATAATGTAATGCAACTGTTGATAGCACATTATAATACCTGACCTTGTAAGTCATTATAAAATGCTTTAGATTGTGTTATGGTTATTGCTATAAAGCATTATGATAATTTATGAGTATTTATAACTGTAGTCATACGGTGCTATAACATGATTATAACGCATTATAAATATATTGATAATGCATAACAGAGAGAGGCGTCAAATAAAGTGTTACCGAATATTTTATGTCTTACATTTGGTGATAAACCTTAATTAAAGCAACCAAAACATAATCCAAAAGATATGATTGAAGCATGAAGCCTCCCCTCTGACTCAGATCCTCTCTTCTCTCTCACAGGTAACTTTGTCTGCCTGTCCAATGTCACAACAGGCCACCCATCCCAACATGAGGACATACTATTTTTGCAGCGACACAGCCAAAGAGATGGAGTCATGGATGAAAGTAATGACAGACGCTGCCCTTGTGCATTCAGAGCCCGTCAAAAGGTTTGTAGGAGCATCACTAATGCAGCCATTTTCCCAGAGAGGCTTCATTTGATCTGAGATACAGTGGATTTTTTCACTTGAGTGGAGAGGAAGACATTTGAAAAGGCACACGAGGACATTTCTTAGCACAAGATTGTTAACTTTGTTTTCCTCCCTGCATTCTGATTTTCCTTCCTAACATTTTATGGAGCGAAAGTATTTTTCAGTCCTTCTTTAAACCTTTTTAATTTTTAAGCAGCAGTTTAGTTTAGCACACGCATCTGACATTTCTGTTTTGTGGGTTTTAAGAAACGGCGACAGTCTTTTAATGTTACGTAACTGTTTTTTAACGAACTTTACATGCAAGAATGCCATGTGCATGTGGGCATAAAGGGACTGTAATTGCATGGTGCAGGTTGTTTTGCACAGCTGTGCTGGCTGATCAGGATCACTGACTCATCAGGACAAGTTTTTTTCCTTCCTTTTTTTTAAAAACTGTGTTAAATGTCGGTGATTTGGCAGCTCGCCTGTCTAATGCCCTCTTTCTACATGGGCGAGCAGAGGCGTATTAGTGAAGTGTTTTGTAATTACACAGCCTAGTAGTGCCTGAAATCTGCTGAACAGTACTGATAAATTGGACAGAGTGATGTTGATTAAAGGTTATCTGTGTAACAGAATTCTCTTATTTATCAGGACTGCAGGGTTTTTACATTTCAAAGTATCTACTGCTTTGTATTCTTTAGACAGTGTTAAGTTTAATCACAACCTTTTGTATCTAAAGCAGGTGGGATTTTAAAAAGAACAAGATTCTGTAGCCAACAAAAGGACTTTTTTCTTTTTGGTGTGTCTACGTCCTTTTTTTTTTTTAGCAATAATGAGTAAATGCATGCAGACCTCTAAAAAGGCTTATAATAAACCCTTCTTGGCTGCTGGAGCCACAGAAGGCTGGAGAAGACATTACGTGACTGTTTAAAAGGAGACAAATGGAAACTGTGAAGGGGTGTCTTTCCTTTCGCCCCCTATTGCTTACCCAGTGAGCCGTGCTGCTAAAGGGAATTTGCAAAAACTTTGAAGCTGTGACCTTGACTCTGTTCAGGCCAAGGAGCAGTGGTGTCTATTACCTCCGCAGACCTCCCTAAGGACCAAAGAGCTGTAGATAAGGCTTCTAGGGAAGAGGCAAGGGGGAGTTGCAAATGCACAGACTGTGTTTTACTGAAGATATCTGATTCCCTTTTTACACGCCTGGCCTCCCCTGGCAACTGGAAGAAACACTGTGCACCTCCACCCATCTTTTATGCACTTTGTTTTTTTCAGAGCAAAGTAGATAGAGCATTTAGACATCAAGTATCTATACTTAATGCTCTTTTTAAAGTACTTTTTTTCCTGGTGGTCTGTGACAAAGGGTCTAATCTAAGCTGAACAGTTAATCTTTTGCAGTCATCATCCTCTCTAATGTCTGCTCAGGTGTGTCTTTATTGCCAATAACTTATACAGGTTTAGAAAGTTCATATCACCCAAACTGACAAAATGTGTTTTTCTTTTTTAGGCTGGACAAGCTAAAAGTGGAGCAGTGTGGACCACAAGAAATAAATCATGTGTCCAACAACAGGCCACCGCTCACACAGCCTGAAATACAAAACAACGAAAGGAACCGTGAGGTGGGACATGAACACACTGTAGCAGTCACAACTACCACCGCAGAAGACGAGAGGAAGCAACGAGACGCAGAGCGCTACGGCTTCCAGAAGGACGGGGCAGAGCGGGAACATCCACTCACCAAGATTAACAGCATCAAACTGCAGCCAGCTCAGGCAGCGGCCGTCAAAGCCAACATCGCCTCGCCGCAGACCCCCACAGAGATGGACGGGCTACACCGCAGCCCCAGGGTCAATGGATCTGGTGAGCAGTGTCCAGCTAACGGGACCGGAGCTCCTCTTCAGAGGAGTCCCACACATGAGCCAGACCGCACCCTAAGTAGGACGAACTCCATGCAGCAACTGGAGCAGTGGGTCCGCACACAAAGAGGACGAAACCAGGATGATGACACAAGAAGGTTGGTTTGATCGTGTGACTGTTTGCAGATTTATGGAATCTGAATCTTAAATTAACTTGGATACCAAAAAGCAAATATATAATAAAAAAAAAAAAAACTAGAAAAGTTAAATTTTTTTCTATCTTTGACAGCAAGGAGTCGAAACTTTGTATAATCCATTAATGCTGATTCACTCGTAGAGTACCCATACACAGTACAAACACAGATTTTCCAAAGCTCCTTAGACCTGTATTTTTCTGTAAAGCTGGGTTAAAGTCAAAGAATTCACCTGCTCCTTTCTGACTCCGTGTTTTAGACACTTTGATATTACAGTATTGAGTGTTTACTAAGTAGAAGTGGGGATACACAATAGCCGAGACGAGCTGTTAGCAGGAGCTGCTGCCTGATTCACTCACCCTGCTGTGAAGGTCTCATTTGTAATTGGTGGAGATTAAACTTCCTCTCTCACCACGTCTGCCTGTCTGCCTGCCTGGCCGTCTGTCAGTGTGTCTGTCTCTCCATCTGTTTGTGGTTGCTTGGCTTGTGTTCAGTCTCCCATATTTTCTCCCATACTCTCATTTTATAAGTTGATCAAAAAAGTCCTCACTCATCACTTTGATAAGTGCCTGAGTTTGAAAGTTAAACATGGATATGACCATAACTAGGCTTTAGACCTTCAGTTCCACTTTGGTCCTCTGTGATAAGCGTGTGCGCTCACTCTTTCATCAGTCTCTCGTCGTCGTTACATGCATATTCTCCAGAAGGATCTTTGGTTTCCATGTAATCACTTTTTTTAATGCTTCTGGGCTTAAAAGACTGGTGAGCAACAATCTGTCAGGGAGCCTTAATGGGAAGCTCTCTCGATGCCAGCTGCACTGACTTTGAACCCACTGTGGAAGTGGAGCTTTTCACAGGCATGAATGTGTCCTTTAGAGAGAGCAGAGTCCAAACTGTATCTGTAAAAACACAAGAGGAGGATTTTGGGATCTACCAGTTTTTTTCGAAGGCAAATCATCATTTTCACTGGTTTGCTTAAAATGTATCATTACTTGGAGTTCGTAAACAACACAAACATTTTTTTAATATCCCAGTATTATTTTTTCTGATTTTAAGTTAATTAAAAATTATTTAAGTATACATCAAAAGAATAATGTTTGTTCCCTCATGTTGGTATTTGTTTTTCCTGTCTCTGCAGCATTACATCATACCAGACACTGCCTCGAAACTTGCCAAGCCATCGAGTACCCTACATGCCTCATTATGGTGACGGCTACTGCAGTATGCCCAGGAATAGCATGGCACAACGGGACAGCATCTGCAGCATATCCCCATCCCTCTATGACCAATCCCTGGGTCCCTCAGCAGCTGACAAACGCCGCTCAATGCGCGACGACACCATGTGGCAGTTGTTTGAGTGGCAACAAAGGCAGGCCTACACCAGACATCAAGGACTCTACAGCAACATGGCCAGCCCCAAAACCATGATCAACCTGTCGGAGCACGCTGCACCCAGCCACTCCATCCCCCCATCGCCCTCTCACGGCTCGCTGTCCATGTACGGTGGCTATTCTCCAATGAGATCCTACAACATGAGCAGCGCGCGGTCAGAGCTGTCTTCACCCATCTACAGAAGAGACATGAGCATCGACAGGCGGCACAGGCAGCAGCCTAACAAGGTCTGTTCAGGCCCAAATGCATGCTCAAGTGGAGGGTTTAATCAGTGGTATCTATTCATCAGTCAGTGGTATCATGCAGATGTTTAAAGCTTTTATTGATTCGTGGGTATTTATCTCTAAGATAAAATGGAGGGGAGTTGAGTTTTCTTGATGTATAAAGGCTAAAAACATCTCTTCCAACACTCAGCGCCAAGACATGCTGTCAACAGAACCTCATTTCATTGTTGAGATAAAAACTGTTGGCAGCGTTTGCTTCGGATTCTCTGGAGCAAAAGGCACTCTTCGAGTTTAATAGCTTTTAAAAGCTTAATACCCTTTTTGGTCGTTACAGTTTCCATCCATCAGTCAAGTAATTTTCATGGTTTCGAGCATCCCAGACTAATTACAAGTCATTTGTATTACCTTTATGTAGACTTTAACCCAAGCTTGATCGTTTGATATTAAAGTTCATCAAACAAAAATACCTCAAAACATTTTCTGGATGCACTAAGTGTTGACTTGGTTTTGATGATCTGATAGGCTGTGCTGTAAAATCCTCATTTGTTCTTGGTTGTGTCCTTCAGTACGCCTACCCACCTGACAGGAGGTCTATGCCTGCAGGGATCCCAGTGCAGACTATCACTGCTCAGTCTCTTCAAGGCAAAACAGTAAGTCTTAATCAGTGTTGTCCCCATCAGTGTCCGTCCGATTTGTGTTGTACAACCACTGCTTAATTTCCCACCTGTGCTCGACACACTTATTCATCAGGGTCTAATTGAACTTCAGTGAGTGACAAGGCTATTTCCAAAACACCACCTACCCTCCCTTTCTCCCTCTCCTTTCCGTCCTTAATGTCTTTCCAGGATGACATTATGAAAGAATCTTTGGAGTCAGATTTAGGCAGAACCCGGTCGTATGTTTCAAACGGTCGGATTTTGGGTGTTTCTCACTAAGGAGCTCCTTTGGCTCACTTCACATCAGTGGAGACTTAAAAACCCTGTCACTCAGAGCTCTCTAAGCCTGATCAGGAATTTATGTCAGACTGGTGCACAGTACCGTGTCCTCATGGAGCTGGGAAAGTGTGAACTGAATCATGTATCAAATGCAAAACTGTTCTTCTGTCTTGAGTGGATGTGTGGAATTTGCATGCTGCTATAACACCTTGGATATTCTCATGTCCCTGAGCTGCATGAAAATTAAATACCAAGATATAACAACTTTTCACCTTTCGGGGCCTCGATACCTCCTAATCTCCTGTCATGGTGTGATCTCTCCTTCCTCTCCCACTCCCCCTGTGGTATGTCCTTGCTTCCTTGTGGCTACATCCCCCTCCCTTTCTACCTCCCTGGCAGCCTGAGGAACTGACTCTGCTGCTGATAAAGCTGCGGCGGCAGCAGGCAGAGCTAAACAGTATCCGGGAGCACACTGTAGCACAGCTTATGCAACTTAACGTGGATGGCAACAACCCAAAGGTCAGGCCCCCAGAGATTCTCCTGCAGGGGTTTTGGGGGTGTGTTAGCGTGTGTGTATGCCATCTTTACCCACTACCATCATTCATCTGGATCTGGAGAATTCTCTTGTTCTCTACACATGGATGATAAATGGAAAAGAGAGGCACTGCAGAAGACATACTCTCCATAAAGAACTAAACTTTGGCATATTCAGAGATCAGCCATCTTTCTTTCTTTCTTTCTACTTTTTTTTTCCATGACTAATGAAGCATGCTGGGAAAAAAAGAGTCTTATTTTTGAGCAGAGGTTTGATAATCCACTCCAGTAGAGCATGCAGTAATTGAGCCATTTCACTTCCCCTATTTGTAGAACCGACAGATTTCAGCCAGATATCAAACTCAAAGCCATTAGTCAGCTTAAGAAGTGAGTGAACGTAAGAGTTTAATACCACTGATATACATAAATGTTATTTTATTACAAATTTGACCATTCCTGGTGCAGGTTACTGAAGCTGGAGGGAATATTCAGGAGAATTTGTTTTATAAACACCTTCTTGCACATTTTTTAATCTACTATTTAATAATTCAGGTCTTATTTGATGCCTTGCTGCACTAAGTTTAGTGTGTGAGAACCATGAAACGCACACACTTTCGAGCGGTGAAGCTGAGGTTCTTTTCAGCCTCAGCACTCTGCTTTTCATGGTTTTTAGGTCAAGTCGTAGACGTGTATAGCTGTTTGGTAATTACGGAGCTGTAGTCTCACCCATCCCACAGTACCTTGTTTTTTTTTGTTCCCTTTTTTAGCACATCCACCATCTGACCTTATTTCCCACCTTGACTGCTCTTGTGTTCTTCTCTGTCCTGTTATATTTGGGTAACTGGACATGAGAAATCTGTGTGTGTGTGTGTGTGTGACTGTGTGTGTGTGTCTTGAAAGAGAGAGAGAGAGAGAGAGCATCCAAGGATGAATGTGACCTTTTCTTTTGTCTCACCGTCCTGTTGCCTTTTCTCTGCTCTCCTCTTCGCTGCTGACGTTAGAACAACATTCTCTCCCACCACCTCCAAAGGAACCTCATGTATTTGGACAATCAGGTGGGGTAATGCATGAATGCATGGCCCTGTCTCATGAACTAAACTCAGTTTATGCTTTGCTTTAATAATACAGAGCAGTGCTGTCATCTTTGACTTTCTCTTCAATGCTCAGCTACTTACTTCTCATAATAGAATATCAAATTTTAAGCATGGACTGATGTTATAGACCACATTTGAACATTTATTGCTCAGACTAGTTTGTTGTAGTTTTACTAAAATGCTGGACATATTCATTCATTCATTAGCCTCTAATTTCACTGTCAGCTAAACTAACTTGAAATCACTTGATTCTTTGGTAAGAAAGAAAAATGAAATAACGTGGAGCCTAAAGAAGCATGTTTAATGTAAACATACAGTGAGGAAAAGAAGAAAAAAAACTTTGTGGCTGCAAATGTCTGAATTAAAAACAGTTGCTGAATATGGCCTAAAAAGCAAACCCTGTCAACAGAAAGGTTGATAATTTCTTCATAGTTGCTTTTTATGCTGTCAACTCCTGCAGTAAGTTAGGGCTTCCATATCCTTGTACACACTTGACCAGCACTTAGCAACAAGCTGCAGAAACTGTCTGTTTTTTGTTCTTTCTACACCAGAGACTCATTGTGATTTACTTGTTAGACATTTAAAAGGCAGCATGAACATTTTTTGGCAGAAATCCGAACTGACACGTGCAAAGTGTAAAGGGATTCATTTTCCTGCTTTGCCCAGAGGGGGCGCCAAATTCAGCATAATCTTGGAGTTCCTCCGGGGCTTTCAAAAGAAGTAATTGAAGATGGTTTTATATTTAAGTAATCTTGCCTCACTTTGTGCAGCTGTTACCTGTGAATTATTGACATGTAAAATATTTACTGTCTACAGAAAGATATGAATGTTAACGTTTTGATCTTATAATGTGTACAAGGACAGAGCTTTCACCAACAATTCATTCGATTTGAGAGCATCACACTTCAGTTTCTTCTTGATTCTGTTTGTAAGCATCTCTTATCACTCCTTGTATCCATCCCTGTCCAGTTTGTGTTTATGTTTGAGTCCGCTTGATGAAAGCTAACAAGATGTGAAGATATTATCAGTGTTGTCTCTGAAATGAAGCACTGCCTTAAACTGACAAATGACCTATCGCTCCTCTCCACACCGGACTAGATGAAGGAAAATGACCCTTTAATCGTCATGACTCACACTATGATTGAGAACTCTGCCCACAGGCCTCAACTTTACCAGCAAGTAAGGCCAACCGTAGGCTTTGCTCCGCCTCATCCTCACCAGTCGCTGTTGTTCTTTTGGTCTGTCGTGCTGCAATGCTCCCTCTTTGGTGTTCAAGCCCTCATGCCATCTTGAACTGGTCTGTTTGTTAACGTTCGTTTCGCCCGCACCTCTTCATTCACTGCTTTTGACTGTTCTCCTTGTATTCAAGAAGTCATGCTAGAACAGGCATGACTTGTGAGAGAGTAGTTTGACGTGTCTGCTTTTCTGTTCAGTTAAAACCCCTCTTCTCTCTCAGGCTCGTTTGTTGGTCTACTTAAGGGATGTACTGTGTAGAGATGGTCTAGTTGTGGGATTGTCTTAAAGAGCTTCAGTCACATTCAGATTATTTATGTTGAAAATCCAGTTCTTTCCCTGTTTTGTTATTGTCCCAACAAGTAGTTAAATTAATATTCCAATTTGTTAAACAAAATGTAGAAGGAGTATGTCATTCAGAGTAAACTTGGAGTCAACTAGTACAACTTAATAAATTGAATGTGATGGGTTAGGGTAAAATATGTAACACCCTTGAGCATCAGCTGTGAATTCTACTCTCCATCTAATCTAACCAGAGGGACTCATTGATGTTGAGCGTTAAGACAGATGTCTTCTAGAGTCCAATCCCTGTCTCCACACTCCTAAATATAAAGGCGTGGTAAGTGTGTGAGTGCTAAGTCAAGTCACAGGGCTCTGATGCAATCCTTAAATGCCAAATTATGTTGTATTTTACCCAGAGTTCACTGAGTTTTTGGTGATGTTTAAAAAGATTATAGTCCAGCTCAGCACTAAACGTAAAAGGCCAGGCAGTATTTAGTCAGTTATGGACGAAATATCTAAATCCAAACAAAGAAAACGTGGGTTAATCCTGAAATGACCCATGTTAGGAATCACCTTTGTGGTTAAATAAAGCCTGTTTGTTAAATTTCTTGTTTTTCAGATAAATATTATTGTCTTTAATACCATTGTTTTTTAATCATTATTTTTGATTTTTGATTGTTTGCCCAAATAAATTAATACAAAAAAATAAGACATAGAATTATTTTTTTAAGATAAATTAATGGTTTTTTAAGCACTAAACAATGTCATAGTGTCCCTTTCCTCCTTTTACTCCATCTTGAGCACACAAGGGCTCACACACTGTACGCCTAATGTCATTTTTTAGGTCTGTGATTGGCAGATTGGGATTGATCCTAGCTAAACTTCTCAGTGTTTCAGCCTCTCTAGTCGTTGTGCTGCTTGAAAGGATAAAATGAGCCCACTTGCGTGGGAAGACGGCCATGAAATCACTCTGCCACTTTTGTGATCGCCTCATGGGGTGTAAAAGTGCCGCCAAAAAACTGCCCCTTGCCCTCGCCACTCTCCCCCCTCCTACCATCCATCGGTGTTCCAGCCAGGCAACAGCTGCATATCCACCTGTTCAGCTGCCAGAAGTCTGTCTTTCCCCCTCCGCCCTTTCTTCTTCTTCCTCTTCCCCTTCGTCCATGCTACATGTAATCCACACCACACAACCCAACAGTGAATCTCTCCGAGCTGTGGGAGAGTTTGCATGTTCTGTGTGGAATGCCATGTGGTTCTCGGGTCCCTCCTGCTTTATCTGTGTTGTGTGGATCAGCTGAGGAAGAAGTTGTTTAGAAAAGCGTGTGAAAGAGTGCAGGTGTGTGGAGTGTTGATTTACACCGTAGTCTAAAGGTATTTGGACAGTGTGTCAGTTTTTGTTGTTTTGACTCTGAAAGTATTGGGTTTAAAATCAGGTAATATCTTTGAAGTTTGAAGTGTTCACTTAGCTCTAGTGCAATGGAGGGACATGAAAATGACTGCTGTACAACTAGAGCAGCTACTAAACAAAACAAAACTTCTGTATGTTTCACAAGCTGAAGACCAGCAAAAGTTCCAAGCTAAGCAAGAAGACAAGATCACATGTGCAAGCTGATGTTAGCCAGTCACAGGCTGGAAATGGTTATATTGAAGACCATCAAAAGTCTGTGAATTGAAAAAATCTGGCTCTTGTAAGTGAGTCCAGTCAGAATGTGAATTAAACTGAACTGTTTGCACTTTGGTGAGAGAGACATTATTTTTATGTGAACTTAATATTATTAGAAACGCCAAACAAAACAGGCATAACTCACTGTCCTCATACTTTTGGACTTCTTGCTTTTAGATTATAAAGAGTGGATGAATGATGAAGTCATTTCTGGAAACATGGGATCCAATGCAGTTACATTGAGTCTCCCTGCACATGCAGTATTTTTCTTTTTTGAATGAAGATCGGTTGTATAAATCCAAATGGTTTATACCACAGTTCAGGTAACTGTGGTATAGTTTTGATCATATTTTAGCCTTTATTATTGTACCACCTTTATGACTCTTGCCCTTTGACTTCATTCAGCTTCTACACAGTCTTAGGAGAAATCGCCCTCAGAGCATTTGTGGAGAACACACAGTTGGATGATAAAGCTTATTCATTTATTTTATAGTTTAGTGTCGTTTTTTATGCACTATTGTTCCCCAATAAAACTCTTGTGTCGTGCATATATAGACAGACGCCTGTAGATGATGAACCACAAAGACCAGAACCTCTATTTAGACTTGCTGCACTGTCACTCTTGGTTTCTCGTTCAGATGATTCAGGGAAATATGAGTCTTAACTCTTGGAAAAACCCCGTGGCTCAGTGAAAAAGTCCTGCCATGACACTGCATTAGATCTCCAGAGTGCTGTGTGTATGTGCATATCCAGAGTCTCTGTGTAATCTTCGGTCTTTCTTCACAGCTGAGTCCAGAAGACTACAGCCAACACGCCTACACATGTATGCCAGAGGAGGCTGACATTGATGTAAGTCCAGAGTGTTATATTCTTAGATAACATGATACTTCATTTAACTTTATAATGGGTTACAACTCACTGCTGTGTTTGTCTTCTCAGACCAAACTCAGCCGGTTGTGTGAGCAGGATAAACTGGTGAGGACACAGGAGGAAAAACTTCAGCAGCTGTACAGAGAGAAGGTGAAACTCCAGCTCCTTTGATATCATTACTTAGTAGTTAGGATCTGAATTTTTTTTTCTTCTCTATTGTTTAACTTTATTAGAGATTTTGAAGTACAGTTTTGGATGTGATTGTTTGAGATGGAAACATTGAGTGCTGTATGTGAACATGTGAAATGACTGATGGTGTGTAATACCTAACATGAGACCACACATAGCATGTAGCACAGCCATCTTTGAGTACATGACCATATTCATGTACAAAACAGTGTACAAATGAATGAATATCAGTTCCAGACAGAAACTCCGAAGATAAACAATAAAAAAAACACATTGAGCAACATTCAGTGCTGCTCACTGTGAATTTATTGTTGCCAAGCACTGTTTTTTAAAGCAGCCATAGTGGGATTTAGCACCCCTGGTATGCAGTCAGAATAGCTTATGCTGCTGGCAATTTAGATATGAAGACAACTCTCATTTTTATATGAAACATAAGGTTGATTTATCACAAAAGCCAAGGTTTTACAAAAAAAGGGGAACTGCATCCTTGTTCTGATACCTTTTCCAGATGTAGCTGCAAGTATAAAAACATAAGCCAAAAAGTTCACGAGGCTGAATAACCCTCTATGACTTTGCTAAAGTTGACTGTTCTGTAAGAGATACAGTGACAAATTACAGTGGCGTGCTGTATGTGTATGTGATATGTGGTATGTTCCTCCAGCACACCCTGGAGACAGCACTCCTGTCAGCCAGCCAGGAGATCGAGATGGGCTGTGATAACCCTGCTGCCATGCAGAGCGTGATACAGCAGAGAGATCTACTGCAGAGCGGTCTGCTCAGCACCTGTAGAGAGCTTTCCAGAGTCACAGCCGTGAGTCACGCACCTCATGCACCCACATAACATGTCCCAGTACTTGTGTAAAATTAATTGTCTAGTCATTCCCTAAGTTTATCTTTCCCTTCACCAGGAGCTAGAGCGTTCCTGGAGAGAGTATGACAAGCTGGAAGGAGACGTGACTCTGGCTAAGAACAACCTCCTGGAGCAGCTTGAAGCACTGGGGAGCCCTCAGGTAGGATCCTCCTTTTAATCTGAGTCTGTGCTGCTTTCTTTCTCTAGTTCTGCTTTCTATCACTGGCATTGTTAAACAGTCTCACTGCGGTTGGGGTATGTTTTCTGTGGAGCGTTAAAAAAAGTTTAATATGTGCTAGATTACCTCAAACATGCAGTCATCCTTTTTGGAGAGAGTTTATTTTTACCAAGGGGAAAAGTAAAGACTGCGCTCTGGTGCCCTCGGCTGCAGCGTTGAGGGAAGTAGCTGAGATCAAAGGAACAGCATGAGTGATTGATGATAGAGCAGTTCTTAATTAAACCTGTCTTTTATCTTGTCCTCCATCGTGGGAGAGGTGTAGAGGCAGAGGGAGTTCTTCTAACACTTACTCCTGGTTGAGTCTAAGTCAGAGCCAATAATCATTCAGTATAGAGAAGTCAGCAGGGAGTCTGGACATTGTCTTCTTAAACGCCCTTCACTCACAGGCAAACCTGTCATCAGTAAGGAGATAATTACAATCTGACTCTCTAGCGCTCTCTCCACTGTGTCCTGAGATAAGGTTGGCTTTTGAACATGCGTGCGTTTTCTCACACAGACGGAGCCCCCCAGCCAGCAGCACGTACGCATCCAGAAGGAACTTTGGGGGATTCAAGATGTAATGGAGGCGCTCAATAAACACAAAGCTCAGAGAAATGCCATCGATGGTATGAACTGCTACGGGTCGAAAAACAACTTCAGCAAGCACAAAAACGAGGTGAGGAAGCACAAACATTACGATGTGAAACCACTGGAATAATACGCCGTTGAATGAATTTAGATTGTGCTAATCCTGTCATTTAACTGTGTAGGTCAACGCCAAACACTTGCTGGAACTCAGTGAGATGATTTGCTCCTTTATTTGTTAGTTTAAGGGATATTTTGGTATTTTTGAAGTGGGGTTTCCTGTGTTCTGTGTCATCAGTAAGTATACTTGCCACAATAGATGCTAATCAGCTCAGCTCCTATAATCAGAAACTGGAGGGAGAACTGGCACGCAAGCTAGGCTACAGTTTTCTGCAGATGTAGCCTAGTCCGCCAAGAAAATTAGCTAACTCTAACAGAGTGCAGCACAAACATTCACCTTGGTTTACAAGTACACTCCACTAAATTGCGATAGCAAATACTGTGTAAGGATGACATAAAAAGACAATGGATGTCAGAGAAAGCTGCAAAAAAACAGCTTCTGGTGTTTGTTCAGAGATTTTGGATTACCAACTTTTCTGATCCAGGCCAACAACAACAGCAGGCACATCACACTCATACATGATAATCAGTATACCAGTGTTGAATAATTATTAAACAATCTTTAGATAATAAAATTGAAAATTAGTACCAGAAAATCTCGATTGAATATTATCTGTGGTTGTGGCGCTACAGTATTCTGTGACTAGTTTTCCGTTAGATGATGGCCAACTTAATGGGAGTCCTCAAACTGCCAGCTCCACTCACGGTCAGTCTGAGTGGTAGTTTCAGAGAGCCATGTGGAGTGCGCTCTCTCTGGCTCATCAGTCCGTTTGGCTGGCCTGTGGGTCACAGCTCCTCTGCACCAGATGGCTGTTGCCTCTAGCGTGCATGGTGGTGGCACCATGTGTCACCTTGCTTCCTGTCCTGTCATGCCCTGTATAATCCCCAGGAGGAGGACTTGGTACCCCCACGGCCGCCCTTACCCCAGTCCTACGAGCCCAACCCTCCTGTGGTGCCCCCCCTGCCTTCTCATGCTGGTGTGCGCACTTCATCCCTCCACAGGCCAGAGGACAGAAGGTCTAATCATAGGAACGGCACGCACAGCGTAAGCCTGCTGACCTGTTGACCTCATGGCTGACCCCGCCCTCAGCTGTGTCATCACATGTCATTGCTTGTTGTGGTGGTTTTTAGTTTCATTTTGACGGATGTCCCGTGTCTTCTGGACTGTTCCTCTTTTGATTTTATCCCTTCATTTACGTGATGCCATTTTTTCATCATATCTCTTTTTTTCTAACGGTTGACGCCATATTGCATTTTAATTCCCTCCTTTTAGTTGAACTGCCATGTCCTTCTTTTCTCTTCTGTGCTGAAATAAAGTCATTTTGTTTGTGTTGTGTTCAGTTCTTGGTTTTCAATCGGGGCCATGTCTGAGTTTGAATGTGTTTGCCTGCTGCCTATTTTTTATTTGGCTGTAAACAGTCTGTTGACCTCAAACCACTTGGATGTTTTTTCCTTAGACTGTATATACTTATATTTTCACATGGCTCAGTACAAAATAAATCTATTTTGCACTCTGAAGTCATCCTGGTAGAAAAACGAAACATTTTCATCTCATTTCATGATTAAGTTTGGAAGTAAATGCTCCATAACGTCAACGTAGAACTATTCTTTTCATGAGTTTAACTTTCTTTTCTTACCATCAGGGTCCAGACTACAGACTCTACAAGAGTGAGCCAGAGCTCACCACAGTAACTGAGGTGGATGAGAGCAATGGAGAGGACAGATCTGAACACCCGTCTGACAGGGAACATCCTGGAAACAAAGGTACATAAGAGAAGGACAACAGCCAGTAAAATGCAGATTCAGTGCAGTTCCCTATTAAACTGCTAATTTGGATTACACCAATAAAAACATGGTAAACTGTTTGAACTGACGCTATGATAAGCTGTTTCTGGTACTGCTAGCAGCTGGGGTTACAGTAGCGTTCATTCAGCCATCAGAGAAACCGGGTTAGGTTTTTCTCCAAAGGCAAAAGCCAAGTCAGTGTGCTCAGAAGTGAAGACAACTCTTAAGACAACTACGGTTGGCAGAAAAAAGGTGCATCGCTTCAGCAGCATCTTCTTCATGACTTTATTTAAGCCTCATGTGGCAAAACTTTTCCTGTTTTCTGTAAAACTTTGTCCATAATTTCCCAGAGTGTCAAAATTTGCCTAGATTTGATCAAACAGCTGACGCATCATAATCCAGGTGTCCTGAAGATGAATGATTACACTGTATCCCTGCACTGGTTCTGTGCAGCTTTACAATCAATAACAGCAACCTGACCCTGCTACATGCGGAAAAATGCTGCAAGAAAAATACAGTTTACTTGGTGAAACTTAAAGGTTTGAAAATAATACTTTTTTTACATTTACTATTTTCATTGAAATAAAGGCTTTAAATGAAGTTTATAACTGGTATTTCTATAATCTGGGTCGTTACACTATAATCAATTTTCATGACACATACACATAATGCATTTTAATGTTGAGATCATTCATTCAGCTTATATTACAGTAGCTTTCTATGACTATATCATAGTTCTATCAAGTTGATATTGTAACTGATATTGTAAAAAAAGCTCTCAAACTGAATCAGATGGCTGACTGACCCTTTGTCTTTGTTTACTGCAGGGGTGTCTTATCCAGTTGGCATTGTCCCACCCAGAACCAAATCCCCAGTGCCTGATTCATCCTCCATAGCTTCATATGTCACCTTAAGGAAGGGCAAGAAGCCAGATCCAAGGACGGTGAGTCTTTTGACTTGTAACTGTGGGCTCAAATGACTTCTCAAAGAAACTTCAAATTACTTTTAGATTTTTTTGGACTAAAGACTACTGCAAGAAATTGAAATTGCTCGCTCTCAATCACCCACTCAAAGTCTTTTAGTTGTAGGAACAGGCTCCTGTTTTATTTTCCTGAATTGTATTAACTTATCTTTTAACTAGTTCTTTTGATAATTAAGCTCTTGTTTGATTGTGAACGTTGTAGAAGAGGTCCCTCATCACACGGACAGGCGTGTGACTCATGCCCCTAAAACCAGCCTCTCCTGAAATTGCTGCTGTGTTTGGTTTATGCAGTTTCTAGCCTTGAACACATCAACTTAAATATACTTAACATGTCATTAGTGCACCACACCGTAGGGCGGGTCCTATTTTTGTTTGTATTTGTGTCTGTGGACATGTATACTAAGTGACCTTTATTATGTCGGTTCACTGACATTCCATCGTACAGCACTCCTCCCTTCAGCTCATTTAGTCTGTGGTTGTAGGAGAGTGTGTCACAGGCCTGCAGAGTTCAGCTAAGTTCTTTTATACCAGCCTCTTGAACAATCTGGACAGTGAGTGGAGTCTCCCTCCTCCGGGCTTTGGACTGAATCCAGATCTGCCATCCCCTCCAGCATGACACCGCTGAATGTGAACAACTTCCCCTCAATTCATGTCACATCATCTGCCTCTCCTGCTGAGGCATCATTAAGCCCCCAGTCTCTCTGAATGCACCCATGCGTGCCAGGAGGAGCGAGTGTGCGTGCACAGCAGCCAGTCAAGTTGTTTCCATATGTGTTTGGCCGCTACTTATTTTTCCCTCAGAGTGAACATTAAAAAGTCTTCACTTTCCTTGTTGTCATTTTTAAGAGACTCATGACCACAAAGTCAGTTAAAAACACAGGAAGTCGTTCCAGTAACAACATAGTATTTCCAAAGAAGATGACATTTCTCTGCTTGGTCAGGTTTAATCTTTTTTTTTTTTATTGCCTCATACTACAAAAGCTCCAAATTCTGACTTTACCACATCATAATGCTATTTGGCTGCTACATCCAAACTATGTGTAGTAAAGTTTGCTATATTGGCATTTGTCTCGTAGCGTGACATCATTATCAACTGTTTTTCTGTGTATTTGTTTTGTACTCTGGTTTGATGTCTGCTGTTTTCATCACTGGCTTACAGGAGCGTCCTCGCAGTGCGGTGGAGCAGCAAATGGGTTCTGCAGAAAGTGGTCGGCCCAGGATGAGCGTGGAGGAGCAGCTGGAGAGGATCAGGCGCCACCAGCAGGGCGCCCTCAGGGAAAAAAAGAAAGGCCTCAACATCCGAGGTGGCAGCCAGGAAAACACACCGTCTCGCAGTCAGTCATTTAATAAAGAAAACCACTTAAGAAGTGTGCAGGTATGGTGTGACAGCTGCAAATACTGAGATGTCATTGAAGGGAAAAGTGGGCTGGAATTATAGTTTGTTTTTTCTCCTTTCTCGTCTCAGATAAGGCGCAGAGATGAGGTGGTCTGTAGCGACATTCAGGAGCTGGAGGCCTCACTGAGGCAACAGGAGGTGGTGAGGGAGCAGGAGACACCTGCGGAGGAGATCGCTCGTCTGAAGGAGGCGTCACAGACTGATATCTTAAATGTGGATCGAGAGGTGAGCCTCATTTGGGTGTTTTAGTTGTTTTACCGCAGAACGTAAGCACTAATTTGTAAAATATTTAGTATTAGCTCAATTGTCTTTTAGAAAGTCTCACTCTTTGTTGTTTTTTCAGCTTGCAGTGCCTGACAAAGTGCTGATTCCTGAGCGCTATGTGGAGTCAGACCCAGAGGAGGCTCTGAGTCCTGAGCAGGAAGCTGACAAGCAGAGAAAGGTTGACCGCATCAAAGCTCTCATCGCCAAAAACAGGTAAACAAACCATCGTGGTCTGTCTGTGCTAGGAATCTTTAACAACCATTGATGTTTGGTATTGATCTTTTGGCTTTCAACTCAAACGAGAGCTCAAAGTTTTCCACAGTTGTTTCAAAGTAATTCTTCATAGAGTTAGGCAAGGATTTAAAGAGAAATACTGTTCAGAGCATCAGTTTTTACTTATAGTACATATAATACATCATTCTTGATACATATGCGATGGGTTTTTCATTTTTATGATAGCTGAAAAGGTGAAATGTCACTTTTAAGGTGACACAAAAGACACAAAAACTGTTTTTCAATCCTTTTTGATTGGTACTGATTCATCGGGGTATTTGGTGTAGAAAAGAAATCCCCAGCTATGGTATTTTCAATGTTTGAAACAATTGGCTTCTGAAGAGTTAAGATAAAGTTACATATGCACCATGTCTTATAGAGAGCACTTGTATATGTGTATTCCCAGCATGCAGAATGTGCTACCTAGTTTGGCTCTAAGCCCAGAGGAGGAGAATGTGGAGGAGGTCACCGTACAGGAGAAAGAGAAAATGATTAATATCTCCTACGAGTTGGCAGCAGAGGCCTCCAAACGCAGCAAGCTGGTAGCAGGTACGTCTCTTGAGAGAGTAAAGTTGGGATGAGCAGGAGAACGCATGTTATAAAACAATAGTTTGTGTGCCTTGTTCTTAGAGGTCATAACTTTTTTTTATGTGAACTGCAGCTGCTTCCATTTGTGCATGTGTTTGGTCATTTGTCATTGTAGCAGATTCATGAATGTCATTGATTTCAGTTATTTTCAGTGTTGTTTAGCTGTTCAGTCATTATTTCTGTGTTGGGTTTTTTTATGTGGTCCGGTTTGTTTGCTCAACATGTTGCTCTGTTTCATTGCAGTGAAAAGCCTGTCGCCCTCTCCCCCACCCCTTCCACAGTCTCCTAACACACCCCCTCAACTCACTGACGGGTCTCACTTCATGTGTGTGTAGTAGCACCAGTAAGGGCCTTCATCAATACGTTTTGTCCATACTCACAATTGTTTAAGTGTTTGATGTTGTCTCTGTGGAGGGAAAAGCATGTCAGCATTAAGAGGTTAAGCGATGTTGACAGATGGCTTTAACTAAAGTTCTCTTGTCCCTTTATTTTTCCATTTTTAAGTAGTTTTAGACTCAAATGGTAAAAGCAATTCAAAACAACAGCTTTACCATAACATCTACCTTTAATTAATGCATTATACTCTGTTGACATTGTTTAAAATGAGCACACTGAACTGCATTTGTTACTAATAAAATGTTACTCAATTCAGGTTCTCATGACACTAATTGGCTTGTTTACAATTCATGATAAATCTTAATCCAGTCATGTTACAGTGGACTCCATTCTTGGTCAATGCAGTATGACAAAGTTACAGTTGGATGGCTGAAATTTGTTAAGTTATGTCAAGCTATAAATGATAAAATGATGATCAGAAATGATGTAGTTAATGGTCTAAATGAATGTTTTTTAAAACTGATGTAAATCCATCACATTTTTCTCTTGTGTCTTTTTTTTGGGCCAACTTTGGTTGCTCATGTCATCACCAGTATCATGAAAAACAACTGCCTTGAAAATCACACAAAGTATCTTTAATCATCAACTGAGTGTGATAGGTTTCCTGTATGGGTCTGTCTAAGAAATGTGGTCCCAATACACCTGAGATTCTTCAAGAATTTTCAGGTTTCGATTGTTTTCGATTGTTTTGGTTGATTTGTTTGTGTATTTCCTTTCTTTTAATTTGAAAACATTGCTTTTTTTCTAACTACAGCACAAGCGCTGGCCTCAGTGAAAACCTACACATGAAGGACTCGGCATCGGACGCTTTAAGATGCCTCAGAAGACCTTTTCAAGAACATCAGCACATGGCAACGGCCTACGGAGAAAGAAACTGCCAGCTCTGAACTCTGGGGTGTTTACCTCAACTTCTGTATTTTCACTGTGACGTCTTAAGCTCCTATGCCACCAAAAAAACACTTTATCTGTTTGACATTTCTCTGTTATTGGTCCTCTTTGGGCTACCACACTCTCCTCAACCTGATGAGGCAATATGCCCCTGTTACTGTTATTGTAACAATTCCATGTTTGGTTTTTACACTATTTTTAAGGTTATTTTATTATTTATATGGTTTTATTTGGTCCTTGTTTGAACATGGGTCAGCTGTACATATGAGGCCAAAAGACTGAACTCTGGAGTTAGATTAAGGGCCCATCCTTAATCTAACTTTTGTTTCGCTGTGTGCCTCAGAAAGTATCAGAGCATATTATTTTCACATAATTTTATCTCAGTCAAAACTTTCAGTAAGCCACATTAATTGTTTTTCACACAACTGTCATTAACCAACCAGTCGTACTTAACAATTGTAAAGAACATTTGTCTATGCTGAAGATAGTATATATAAAGACATACAGTAGATCCCTCTATTATAATGAGAGGATGGGGCCATTTTATTTCTGCAGAAGGATTATGAAGAAGATTATTTGTCCCAGGGTTGTAATAATTTAACAATAGGATCTTCTGTAGGCCTTGACACATTGTTGGCTACAAATATGTAAATGTTAAGGCTTTGGTCACTCAATACTATGTTTTCTATTACTAAGAGATATATTTAAACCAAGAGAAGGAAAATAATTCAGATTTTTTGGTTCTATTTTATGACAAGTTGGTTAAAAGTCTTGGAACTAAAACAATAAAGATTAGCACATGTAAAAGGCAATACAGTTAGAATGTTTGTGGATCCAGGATTAATATTTTTTCCTTTGTGTAAAAAGTGTAATTATCAGAGGTTTACTGTGTATATAATGTACATGATATAGCAGGATGGAAATATGTGCCCAGCCTATGGTTACATACAAGATTTGATTTGAAAGTGTTCATATTCCATCTGATTTATATCATGTTAAATAAATGTTGCCGTTCTTATCAAGGATTCCCTTGTTTTTTTCTTTTTCTTGTTTTGTCTTTAACCACCCTTGTAGACATCTTAGTCTTAGTCTTAGTCTACAAACTGCAGTCAAATGTTCTGTTCACATGGAGTGCTGAGTAAAATTGGTATTTTCAAGCTTAATGGAATGAGGTGTCCATGATTTTTGTATTTGAGTCTTGACATGTAAACATTTTTGATTCCTCAAAAGTGGACATCTAATGGTTTGGTAAGCTTCATCAGAAATTATCAAACCTTAATGAACAGAGTTTTTTTATAGCCCTGAATGTAATATATTCTTAATGGCTGGTCCCAGGGAGCACACTCAATCTTGACTGACCCCTGGTTCAGTTCAAGAGCTGTGGCACCCTCTTGTGGCCTTTCTGCTGCGTTAGTGCTCGCAGTCTCTGATATTGCAGACAAACCCCAAGTGGATGGTGTGTATCATTTTGCAAAAGTCCTTAACTTATTTTATACTTCTGAAATGGTTAGAAATGGCAACCAGCAACACAGAAAGAGGGGATTATCCATCCTTCACAACTGTTGTGCTCCTCTTTGTTCCAGATGGTCAAATTGCAAAGAAGAGAGATGTTTTGTATGCATTGTAAATGTAAAGAAAGACAGGCATACTTGCGATGTTCATGGACATTCCACCACATGTCAAGGGTTAGTAGGTTTTAAAGGAACGTTTAATGTTTATGTTTAGAGGAATGTTTAATTTAGAGCAGGTTTTGAAAATCCAGGTGATCAAAATAGGATTTTCTTAAGAGGTTATATAGTAATCTGTAGTTTATTCAGATGTATAAAACTGCTTGTAGACCTCATGGACTATAGAAAGACTTACTCACCAAAGTCAGTGAGCCAAAGGGTAGGTTGAGCCATTTCATTCTTTCATTATTGAAAGTGAATTTAGTCTGTCATAAGTTTTATTAGAATTGTATTCAGACCAAAAAAGATCATTTTAAATTTGTTTTATACATCAATTGTGGTATCTATGAGCTTCAACATGAGGTCAAAAACCTCACATAAAAGTCCACCATTTTAGTTTAGAGGACTGATAAAGTCATTATAGTAGTTCTGGGGTAAGTTGAGCCAGTGGCTGAACTGAGAAAGTAAAGAAGTCTGATGAGAGGATCAGAGTTTCAGTTCAGATTGTTGAAATGTGTTACTCTTTCTTTTAAAAAATACAGCTGTGAATGTTCTGAATCACTTAAAGACATTCTCATGTTAAAATGACTTTTTACAAAACAGATTTTTAACAGTTATATGCAATAATAATAAAAAGAATTATTGTACCAGTTGAACAGAATATAGTAGATAAAATACACATGAATGTGAAGAAGTGACTGCTATTTATGAGGGGGAGAAGGTGAGGAAGGGCTGGGCTGGAGAGTGGGGTGGTAGTAGGGATACAGCTCAACTTACCAACAACTTACCACTTTTTTTGGCATGCGATATTATAAAGACAGATATGTTTACACTCATTCTGTTGGTTTGCACAACATCCTGAAATATATGCAGATACACTAGTTAGAGACAAAACTATGATCACCTTGATGTAGTGATCTGAAATATGAAAAATGGCTCATCTTACCCCGCTCTCCCCTATTTTTGAGAGGTTATATAGTAATTTGTAGTTCATTCAGGTGTATAAAACTGCAGGTAGACCTCATGGACTGTAGAAAGACTTAGTCACCAAAGTTCTATTAATTCAAAGGTTATATGTAAAAGCAGAAGTAAATTTATGAAATTCATCTTTTAATAAACTTAATATCAAACTTTTGTACAAAAAAGTTACTTTAATAGTGTAAATGCATTTGCATTTTCAGAATGTACCTGCAGTTCTTGACTCATAAATGAAATTAAAGATAGATTATCCGAACTGCTTTTTCCTTTTCAAAACTGATCATTCTGTAACTTGATTTAAATGTTAGAGAAAAAGCCAGTTGAGATTTAATTTTCAGAATATGCCCCAACAAATATGTACCAAAATTAAATTCAAAATGTCAAATCTGAAAAATTCAAATCCATTTACAGTATGGCTTTTTCGTTCCAAAGTAAAAACTGCATAATTTGACTCAGAAACAAAATTAAGAATAAAAAAATACAAATTGCATTTCCATTTCTCATAGTAGACACTGACTCCTCTGTTAAAAAGAAAACTCAGGGATTTCTGAACCACATGGAAAGTTTAAACACCAGCGTCAGTGTCTCTCCTCCTCGTGCCATCTCTGGCCAATCAGAGAGCAGACAGCGGGATTAGACCCGCCCTTCTTCTGCGGAGAAACGTTTGACTGTGCCACGGTTGAATTTTAATACCGAAAGTGTCCCAGGGTACGTCGGTCGGTACGCCGCTGAAATGGCTGCTGCGGCGACGGAAGAAACACCCGCGCCGACTGTTGAGGATGATGTACCGCCCGCGCAGACCAATAAGGACAACGGCGAGGAGAAAGAAAAGGGCCTCCCCGAACCGGAAACAGAGGAGCCACCAGGCAGTAGTGTAGAACCGAAAATGGAAGAGGTAGACGCGGAGGCCGGTGAGGAGGAGAAGCCCGCAGTAGCAGCAGTAACAGCAGAAAAGGCCGCGAGCGAGGCGGTTGTGACAGACAACGGTTCCGAGACGGTGGAGCCGGAGACGACAGCCGCCACGGAAGAAAGGGAACAAGAACCGGTACAAAGGCCAGGGCCGGAGGAGAGCTCCGGAGGGGACAGCAACAACGACTCTGGTGCTAATATCACTATACAAAAACCGAAGGAGGAACCGGGAGAAGACAGCCGGTGCTCAGGGATAGAGTGCGAGAAGAGCAAAACTGGTTGTGAAGATGTCAAGAAACCCACCGGTGGAGGGGACGGGGAGCTGGGCGACAAGAGACGACCGAGTGTGGAGATATCATCCTCGGATGGGGAACCGCTGAGCCGTATGGACTCTGAGGACAGGTTCGTTTGGGAAATGACAAGTTCTAATGGGGGATGCTTGAGTGGTAACAGGTTACCGATGGTAGTTCTCACACTGTCTTATCTCTAAAGGGACACAAAATGACAAATCAATTGATTTCTTTCGCTGTTAACAGGTGAAACTATCAGAGCATGATCTTGTTAATGTGATCAACACAAAAATAAGACATAAAATCAGCTCTCCAACATTGTCCAGATATTGTGCCCAGGTTTTAAAGTTGCTCCAGGACAGGTCAGTTTAATTCTGTACAGTAAATAGAATAGATACCTTTTTGTTGAATTGAGTAAACCAACATACAAGTGAAGTAAAAACAGTAAAACGATGAAACAAAGAAGGACTAAAGAAATGTAAAGTGACACTTATTGGAATGTAATTTTGTTGATCCCATTAATGTAACTGCAGCCAAATCATTCAGTTTGATGAGTGAAATGTTTCTTGATTACCTAGCATAAGGCCTTTATTCATGTTGACAGCACAACAAATTAAAAGTATAGTGCTCAGAGCATTTAGCACAAAGATAGAATTGGTTTGGCATGAGGGATTGAAGTGGTATGCATGAAAAATCAGTTGCAGCCTGAAGGCTTTCACGCATAGTGCCCACTTAATGTGTCTGCACCTGTTCTTCACGGCTGTGTAAAGCTATGAAGATATACTTGATGGCTCTAGCACTTAAGTTATTGACAGGATAACCGTATTCTTTATCCCACTCCTCTCCTTCTCTGTTCTTTCAGTATCAGCAGCACCCTGATGGAGATGGAAAGCACGGTATCCAGTGGGCGCTCCACCCCTGCAATGATGAATGGACAGAGCAGTGCCAGCTCTTCCGGACCTAAAACAGTGGCTTACCCCTGCTGCTGGGACCTCTGTCCACAGTGCTTCAACTCCAGTCCAGATCTGGCAGAGCACATCAGAGGCATTCATGTTGATGGACAGAGAGGAGGGGTTGGTAGTCTTTTAAAGATTACATGTGCTTTGTTCTCACTTACCTTCATAAGGTCTCTTTAAATCAGATATAATCATATCTGACAGGCAGACAAGCAAAATGAAGTTATTTTTTGTTTGAAAGACTGCACACACAAAAGGCAGAGTTAAGTGGTTTAATATGATTTGATTTAACCCGATTACAAAGTAATCAGGGAGCGATCTAATCTCTCGTTTTACTCTGTGTTTAAACTAATCTCTGAAAAAGAAATATGTGGATTCTGTGGTGACGGTGACACTCCTGTGGACTGAGTCGTTGCTGGTAAAACTAAACAACTTTGATTTGTCAATGCTTTAAAAATTCAAAAGGATTTCAGTTCGCCCTCAAATGATCAGACTGAAGGTAGAAATATGTTAAAACTCAGAAGTAAACATAGACTCATCAGTCATCTGATTGATGGCATGAATGAATCAATCGGCCAATACCTGTGCTAACAAGGCCTTTTAAGGAAATAATCAATGCCTGCAGACATTACAGGCAGCCATGTTCATGCAGCTGCTGTCGAGTAGGGCTGGGTGAAAAAGTTAGTGAACTCTCATGCACCCTTTTGTAAATGTTTTCCAAATTACCTTTCTCCATTGTCCTATAAAATAGGATAACACATTTCCCCATCCTGTAAGACAGCCTGTCAAAGTTGCTATAATGCAGCATCTGACGTAAATGTTTGTTTCGCTCTTAGATCTATGGCAAAATCCAATCAATTTTTCTATTTCTCAGATTAAAAATCTAAGATAACCGTGCATGTTATATGGTGATCAAGGAGTAACAGATTTATACAAGTTATTTTAACCACAGTACTTAATCTTTTTTTTTACTTATTAATAAATACTGATGACCAGACAGAAATCCAAAAATCAGTTCGGTGGCAATATTTTAGCTGCGCAAACACCAGAGAAAGCGAATAATAATTGATGCAGTTTTGTTTTTTGCATTTTATGAAACACAGAAACAATGGCACTGTGTTTTTGACATGATATATTGTCCACTGGCCGGATCTGCATTGACTGTCCACAAACAAATGTAGGTCTGCTACTACTCAGAGCCCATACAAAGACAGCTTTCTCTGTTCTCTACTAGGAGTTCGCCAAGTGCCAAATTTTTTTCAAACATTTTTGGATGCTATATTCAGTTGAAATCGTTATATCACTTTACTCTTCATGTACACATGACTTTCAAAAAAACACCCCTAGTACAGGTGTTAAGCTTCTTTAATAGTAAAAATCTTTGAAGTTTTTCTGAGCTAATATATACTGTATATGTGCCATGTGAAGTTTCTATGTCCTGCTTGTGCATCAGAATAAAGTCTTGTCAAATTATTCCTTTATGATAAGTATACAGTATATCAACATTTAGCTTTTTTGGAAATAAAGATTCCATGAACACATTTGCATTTTCCTCTGTAGGCTGGCTTTGAGAAACTTTCCAGAGGTGCAGTTAGGATAAGTCAATGCAACCTGCATAATTACACAGATCTCTGTTTTGCTCTTGGATAGTTTCTATCTGAGTTGTCCTGCCAACCAGCTTATCTTTACCTTAATTTTTGATTGTGCTGTCCTTTTTTTTTCAGTCATTTTCCTCCGCATGGTAGTTTTTGTCATCTGTTTACTATGCTCCTTTTCCTCACTTTATCTTTGTTTATTTCCCGTAGGTTTTTGTGTGTCTATGGAAGGGTTGTAAAGTATACAACACACCATCCACCAGTCAGAGTTGGCTTCAGAGACACATGCTGACCCACAGTGGAGATAAACCCTTCAAGGTAACAAGAACCCTAAAAACTGTTGTTAATCAATGAACTTTTACCTCTTTGCCTTAGTCTTCAAAAGATTTCTTAGTATCTTTTGGTTAGAATATTTTCTGTGTTTTCTGCTTCCGCTGCAGTGTGTGGTTGGAGGCTGCAATGCTAGCTTTGCTTCCCAAGGAGGGTTAGCTCGCCATGTCCCCAGCCACTTCAGCCAGCAGAGCTCCTCCAAAATGTCGAGCCAGGCCAAACTAAAGGAGGAGTCTCCCTCTAAGGCTGGACTCAACAAGAGGAAGAAGCTCAGGAACAAACGCAGGTGCTCCCTACGTACGTACCTCACAGACACACAAACTAAAATCTGCTTTGAATGTTTCTCTTCGTGGTATCTGTCTTTTTCCCTTTTGGTGTGGATCATGATCATGAGCAGAGCACATTAGAGAAGTGCCGCTCAGTTTGATGAACTGGAACAGGTTCTTTGCAGCTTCTGTAAACCGTTTGTCAGAGAGGCTGCAACTGGACCACACATGCAAATACAACAGACTTAAACAGGTGCTCAGGCTTTTGGGTTTGGATGAATTTCTCAATGGCAGTGTTCATCGTTGCACTGAAGAACTTTTTGTCTCAGTCCTCTTAGTCTTTTTGAGTTGATCTCAGATGGTGCGTCTGGTTCTTAACAACCTACTGGTACTTTATGCCTCAGATTGTGTTCTGGTTCATTATTTGAAACTCACTTTTTTCACATTTGCTGCTTTTTACTTTTGAATTTTACAGAATGTTGTGTATATTAATATTAAACATTGATAATATAAGGCTTATGTATAAATGGAGATTAAAACCTAAATTACACACTCAGGGTGTTGCTGTTTGCCACTGCTGTCTTAAACCCATAAACTTTTTTATTTCATATTTACAGTTAAAAGTTTGAAGATTCAGACGGTCATTAAGAGACGTCAGTTATAGTTAGTGTATGCCTGATGTTGACATCAACTGCTTTCCCAACTTTTTGAATCCATCACTTCCTTGAAAGCAGTTTGTTTACATCATTATTAGTTACAGTTACTTTATGAAGGTTATTACACTATGCATGCAGTGACTGCCAAATGTCCCTGGGGTAATATTCCATTATAGAAACTTAATTTGTTTCTGAGATCTGTCACTGGATCACAGGTACTTAATAAAACTCCAAAAAAGAGACAAATTATGAGGACATGCTCATATTATTACAGGTATGTTTTTGGCCTGAAGAAAGAGGTTTGACCAAAAACTCTGTTCTCTTATAAATACAATCATGCAAACAAACATTAAAAAAGTGCCAAGTTTATAAAAGAATACACACATGCATGTCTCATTGATGGATACTATCGTTTCAACAGTGTAACTGCTGTTTCTGTTTAGCCACACGTGACTCCACTCCACAGGTGCAATAAGCTGTTCAGCAGGGGTGATGACAGTGTTAATGTCTTTCTTTAAATATGCATCATTACAAAGCCATCAGCCATTGCCATTTAAACACATTTTAATCAAATGTTCCATTTTCATTTTTTTTGAAGCAGCAAATCTTCTCTCATGACAGATATTGGACTAGAGTTTGAGACTTTTGGTTCAGTGTCATTCCCTCCCATCATCAATAACCTTCTACATCTGGTGCACATGCAGCCACACCCCACAAATACCACAGCAGGCTCATCACCTTCTGCAGTACAGTAGTTCCTTCACACAGACCAAACCTTGGCGGGCTGATCGTCTATTTACCAACCACCTCATTCTGCAGATGTCATCTGTAAAGATCACTGTCTATGACCATCAGGCTGATGTTTTCCCTTTATCGTTAAAAGTGCATAACACAAAGAACGGAGAGAAGCGTCTTCAGTGTGTCCCTGCTGAAGTTAATGATTAAGGTCGAAATCTCATGTGAAATACAAAATGACTGTTGTAATAGAATGATGCAGCTGGTTGCTGCTGTATTGGATTGTTGTTTGGAAGCCTGGTTCCCACACAGTCCACCAGTTGTGATATTGGAACATCAAATGAAACATCTCAAAATGCAAGTTGTGATTGTTGGCTGTGATTCATCGTGCTGCTGACAGCATGATCTGCTTTTCATTATAGCATGTTTTGTTTTCTGTTGATGCTTTTATTATGGCTGTCGACAAACATCTTCCTTTTGAGCCCTCAAAGATTAAAGTTAAGGTAGTGTAACAGCTCACACATTACTGCTGTGCTGTTACTTCTAAAAGTCTGACAGTAATACACACAGGGAGAGGAGACTGAAATTTAAAAATCTTATCATAAATGAAGCAATCATAAAAAGATTGAAAAATGAGATGATCATATTTCTGCTGTCTGTTTTTAAGCCTAAGAAGGGAGTGAGTTTCTACAAACCCACATTACTGCACATGTGCAGGCACTTACTCAGACCTACTGAACCTTAAGAATCTCATTACTTGATGCTTTCAATTAGGAGTAGTTACTTCTTTCATTTGTATTTATTTAAGGGTTTTCTTGTTGCTGCAAGGCAACTCTAACAAACCTCAAACTAAAGGCGGTAATCAATCATGAGATGACTGTGACATGGTGAAGGTCTCTAACAACAGTTCTTTTAAAGGTTGTGGTATTTTGGTATATTAGAGCCAAAGTGTGACTCTTTGCTTTGTTATGTTTATCTGACTCTGGTCTGACATGCGTCTATCTTTCTCCTCCTCCACAGCAAGACCTCATGACTTTTTTGACGCTCAGACCATGGATGCTATCCGGCACAGAGCCATCTGCCTCAACCTGGCCACCCACATCGAGAGTGTGGGAAACGGTCACAGTGTGGTCTTTAACAGCACGGTGAGTTTGTGTACATTTCCATTCGTTGTGTCTGATTTTTAGGGTTTGATTTTTGCAACCAGTTTTCATTTAAAGGGGTTCAAAAACAGTATGAGGGGTGGTTCAAGAAGTGTTTTGTATACTGCAGATTAATCATTGGTAAATAGTCACAGTTGATATTTCATCTTTATGTGTTTAAATCTTTATCTGTCTAATGATCATGAAAAAAAGGCTTCCTGTCCACGAGGTCATTTTCATAGTTGTCATTTGTTGTAATATTCAGTCTCGACAACAGGGGGCGTGAATGAACCATAATTTGAGAATCAGCCTCAGAGCTGCTGCAGATTTTTTTTCACAGTGCACTTGAAGTGAACCTTGTAAATTGCCCTAAGGCTTAATGCTGTTTTTCTCTGAATCGGTCTTCCTGGGAAAGACAATTGGATTGTTTTTGTTTACCCTGCTCAGTCCACTTTGAGCCCAAATGCAACTACCTTCGAATGAGCTCTGAAATGTTTTTGCACCGTACAATGAAGGAGAAATATGAGCACTCAGAGGAAAAATCATGGTTTTCCTGTGACAGATATTCCTTCTCTCATGCACAACTCTTAAAACTGTTGGTGAATGAATTCCTTTTATGGGAGGGATTAACTTTAGCAGCATTTTCAAGGTGAGGAGGTTTTTTTGTTTTTGAATGACTGTTTTTCTGGTGATGTTCCAATAGGGGGCACTCTCACTCCTGTTTAGGTCCCTTACATGGCATGACTATTTTCCCTACCTTCACATATTTCATATTTAAGGAACACACAAGAGCATGTTTACTCATGTCCCTCTGTGAAGTCTCTAATCCTATTTCTTTAAAAACTCACAATTAATTCAGTGAGATTGACTGAGTTCACATGTGTTCATGAGGGCAGAAATAAAACCTTGATACAATACATCTCCATAACTGAAAGTGAGCTTTTTGGTATTCCCGTCACAGTGAGATTACTCATAAAGAAGTAAAAACTTTTGTGCTATCATATTATGAGAAACCACCACTAACAAAACAGATAGAAGAAGAAAACTGCTGTGGAGAAGAATCTACATTTTCTCCCTGATAAGAAGAATGAAAAACGCCTCCTCCTGCACGCCAAAGCACTCTGATAAAGTACATTAATCACATTTGAAGGCACAAAGACACGACACAAAAGGCTGTTTATTTATTGGGCAACAAATAAAGACATAATATCGAACAGATCTGAGAGATCATGTGGGAAAATCAAACAGATCATTGGGTTACATGAGATCAAACTCTGAAGGGAGCTGGAAGAAACTAAAGTGGTGATTTTATACTCATTCAGAATAGACCTGTCAGCTACAGGTGTCTCTTATACACGCATGTCCACATCTGCTTGTAAACAAGTATACATGAAGCTTTAAGACTCTCTACTTTCTCATCAAATCAGTTTTTTTTCTTGTTGAATCATGCCTTAAAAAATAATACCGAGAGTAGTTCAGGGTTGTTTGTTTTATGGAAGTTAAATAATTAAAAGCACTTCAGTGTGTGTATTAGCTAGCTGCAGTTAATTGTCAGTCGTTTTAAAGAGTTTTACAGACTATATGTGTCTACAAAGCCACCTCCACTAGATCATTTGAAACAGCAGGAATGCAGTTCTTGTTCCTCATTAAATCTTTGTAAACCACTTTTCCCCTTTTTTTTCTCCTTCACTTGCTATTACCTCGTCTTCTGCTAATGCAGTCGCTGCCACCGAATTGACACTAAATCTACTCCTTTGTAGTTCATGCTTGTGCTTTCCAAATACACAACAGGGGAGACTGAGACAACATTTAGGCATGAACTCTCATCTGATGAACACGATGTGCCTATAGAAATAAAACAATGATCGCCTTACAGTTTAAAAATAGTCACCAGCTCGTACAGCCGTGTTAATAATAAGAGTTTAATGTAAACCTCATGATGTTTAACAGCTGCCTGTATAATCAGTCTCTGTTGACATGTTTATATTAGTACTTGCCATGAAGTGCAGGTGGGTGTATACACAACTTCCACAGATGGAAATCAGCATATGTGCCTGCATATGCTCATTTCCATAGCAATTATGTAAACGCAGCTTATCAAGCAGTAATGTAAAAAAATCTCGTGTTGTCATCAGCGCTATCCTCACAACAGTATTGGTCTGCTCGTCATGTCTGCTCTGCTCTGCATATAAAAACCCCAAGTGCTCACCAGCAGCCAAGAATTTTAAAAGAAAAGCTGAAAAAAACGAAGACGGAGCTTGGGAAGAGGTTAAGGGAGGTAACCGCATACTTGGACACAGACTGTGAAGGAGGAAGAGACAGCCAGGGGAGGGAGAGTAACAAATGGAGAGAAACAGAGACTTTGAGAGAAAGGACGAGGAAAAAAAAAAGAGGGGTTAAGTTAAGGTCAGGGTCTTGGAATCGAAAGGAGATCTGACCATTTGGGCATACATTCCCCTTCTCTCTAATCCCCCAGAGGATTGTGGTGAGGAAGGACCGCGGTGCTGCGTCAAAGCCCAGGCCCCAGCGGATCCTCCCAGGCCTGGGGAGATGGAGCATAGCCGTGGGGGTTCTGTGGAGTTTGGCCGGTGGGCTTGCTGACACACCAGAGCGGCTCAGGCCTGTTTATGATGGGATATTTTTGTTATTCCGCCAATCTGCGTCATCAGCAGCTTGACCCCCTAACTCCAGACAGACACCCAGTTTTTAACAGGTCTGCCCTGGCTTCGGTCCTGTAGTTTTCACTGCCTTGTTTTGGAGCCACGCTAATAGCCACAGTTCACTCCCAGTTTCCTCCCTTCTCTACCTCACTGCCTCGCTCTCTTCTTGGGTCTAGAGGATTAGAACCTGTCCTTTAAAGCACCAACTTCCATCAACAAGCCACTCAGCTCACAAATCACTTCATGCTGCTTAAACACAAACCCACCTCTTCATCTTCGGTCTTTACATACATGGTCATGGCCTCTTTAAACGTAGCCTGAGTTTGTGATTATTAACCTGGCGCTGTTGAGGAGCCTGAGGGCACAGGTTAACATGCACTTTTAATTAAATGGCTGGTAAAGCAGCAGCTGGCGTATGAGTCTGAGCTGCAAGGATTGAAACACTTATTGTAGAGCAAGTTCAGGATTCAGGCTAATGCTGCTGCCAGGCCTCACTGTTGTCTCTGAGAAATTGCCTCTTCTCCTCCGTGTGGGAGTTAGCACGCAGGAGCAGTAGACGGCCAAGCCCTGATGGAAAACTAACAAATAAAGACAGGGCCAGATAAACAAGAATAAAATGGAATAACAAAGATAATTTATGAGACGAGACTAAGTCTCTTAATATCTGGTACAAAGTTTATCAGAAACACAAGACGAGGGGTCTCATGTCTGCACGCCATGTAAAACTGCTGAAATTACTTATTCAACGTTTAGTTTAGATGGATTAGTTTTCTTCTGATTTATTAATTCTTTATCCTTTCACTCTTTTGACTGTCAAATATTCTCTCTTTACATAATTAATACAGTGTTATAAATTAGGGGTGGGAGAAAAAATCGATTCACATAAGTGTCACAATTTTTTGTTTTACAATTTTTCAATCAATTTTTTTGTTCAAAAATTGATTATTTATTTATTTATTTATATGTAAGGATAAATCTTAAAAACTGACTTACATGTAATGTGAATTTTGGGGGGACATATGGTTCCTGGAATAGTCAGCAGAAGATCATAATCATTCAACTGTTTCACTGGTGTCAAAAATGCAGACTAAAAATCGAGAAAGTCGACAATATTGTAGAATCGCAATTTAAAGTGAATCAGCATCCAAAAAATCACAGAAGAATTGATTTGGGAGAAAAGCGTATCGTCCCAGCCCTATTATAAACACTGTAAATAGTCTATGGTCTAATCTTTGGTGTATTTTTTGTTAAGAGTTTTGTTCTTTTACATTTTAAAAACTTGTGAATTTTACTTTTAACATTGTTTGTCTACACTTTGACATTACAAGCCTTCATAAACGTACAGATCCAAGTACGTCTTCAACTGTTGAAGTTACGCAAGTCCGGCCAGTGACGCACATCTTCATGTTTAGGCTCATGAGCAAGAGAGAGCACCGACGTGGACTCCTCATTTAACCCTGTCCTTACACTTTTCTGATCCACACACAAGGAAAGAGAGAACAGCTCTTCTCAGAATCCTTCCTCTTGTGTCAGACTGTATATATTTCCCGATCATCATAAATAAAGTAGGACTGGTTCTGATTTCAGTATTCATGTTATAGTGTGAGCTGTTATTGCATCACATCCTTCTTGTGTTTATCGCTGCTGTATTGAGCCTAGTTGTTCTGTTTTTCAGTCTAAGGAGTTCTATGCTCACATACCGTTCTACAGACAAGGGACATCAACACAGTCGGTTTGCCAACTTGGCTGAAATTTGCAAAGCTTCACACAGAGAAATATAAAGGCACCGCGCCAGTAACTACACAATTCATATCTGCCTTCCAAGTGTGAATATATTTCTGAAAAGTTATCAGACTGTAACCAAATAGGTTATTTCCTCAAATTTGCAGCCAGACAGTGCTTTACCTGGAGGCTTATCAAAATGTAAATGAAGGTTTGCACACATCCTCACATCAATCCCTGTATTAAAAAGTATGGATACAAACTGGCAACATAAATTTGAAATCTGTGCTTCACACAGGGCAAAAAGATAAACTTGAATTGTCCAGTCCTGTCAGATCGACGGTAAAAATAAACCTGATAGTTGTTTTCTCAAACTGAGGGATCCGTCAAAAATAAAAGAAGAAGAAGAAAAGCTGTAGGATGAGGTGGAGAGTGATTTCTAGGTCTCTGTCTCTTATCTCAGGAGAACCTTCTCCCTCCTGTCCTCAAACCAGTTTCCATCAAAGCCACAGCCAGTCCCCTGAGTCCCAAAAATAATTTCAGATATTCATGTGCGTAAGAGAGCTTCTTCACATGTGAGCTCATTCCCTCTCCTAAAAATAGGCATTCTTCACAAAAAAGAGCCAATTGACGCAAGAGGTTATATCTGCGGCTATTTTCGACTCTCCTGGTTATTTTTCTAGTGTTTCTTTTCCTCTCTGACAACATTTGTGTGAATACCGGACCAGTTTCACTATCAACCAGCACAGCACGATAGATGAAATGTCATGCATGAAAGGGACCAGCTATGCAGCGAACCTAATATTGTCTCAACTGTTTTCTTACAAGACCTTTAAGTTTGAAGTCGAGTTGGCAAACAAGATGAGTTAAGGGTGAGAAAACGGGTATCAAACCGGAGATAGAATAAAGCCAACTTCCCTCGTTCCTGCTGAGGCAAATGTCAGAGAATCTGTCGAATTCCCAAAAGAGGCATCCCTGTTACAAGCTTTGTTGTGTCTGGTGCTGATATAATCTCAAACAAGTGCATTCACTTTTTTTGTGGTGATAACTACACAGTGTAAGCTCAGAATGTCAGCCGTGATAAGCACTTCTCAGTTAAGCCCAAATATTACCTTCCTTTTGTCTGGATTTGAATATTTTGGTGACTGTGTTGCAGGGGAACGTGGCAGAGAACCAGTTGAAAATAGAAACCTCACTGAGCTCTTGCATGCATTATTAAGAGGGCTCACATTGCTTATTAGTGTAATGATCAGACACTGTATCACTTGGTGAGATGTTTGAAGCATGTAGCCTCATTATGAGCTCCAAAGAAGGGGCCAGGACGGGGGTATGTCTTTGAAGCCTGCTCTCCACAGATATGAGAGGATGCTGCAATAGGAGCTAAATCCAACACATTTATGCTCATCTGAAGCTTGTGAAATTATTTACTATCTTTTTAAATTTGAGATGGACATAAAATGTAACTTAAATGCTTATACCAATTTAAGTGCGGCGCAACAGACGAGAAATAGGCTTGAGTGGCATGACCGGGGTTTTCGACGTTAGTTAGCACTTGTGTTCCTTGTATAATTCATTAGCTGTGTTTGTTGTCTGTGCAGGTGCTAGCCAGAAGAAAAGAGGGGTCTGGCAAGGTGAAGGTCCTTCTACACTGGACACCTGAAGACATGTGAGTAAAACTTTCACCACACTATGCTTAACAGCTGCACAAACCTCAAATAGGCCTGAATATCGGCATGATTTTGTTGATACAAAGTATACAAAGATACAAAGTGCTGTCCATAAGTAAACAAAAACAATTCAGACATAAAAGCAAATTAAAACTATTTAAAAGATAAATTAAACAAAGCAGATAGTAAACACTAAAATAATTGGTTCAAAAACAAATTTAAAAACGAAATTTAAAAACAATAAAAAACAACTGAAAGCAAACTATAAAACACTAAAACAGGAGCAGAGTCTCATGCAGGGTTCAAAGTAAGGCTGGGTGATAAACCCAAAATTTACTGACACCGAAATTTACGACAACAATCGACATAATTTTGCCCATTTTGCTATATGCAAAATCAACAATGTGCATGTAATGCTTCTAGATTGTATTACTATTCTTCTTTTCACCTTGCTGTACACTCAACATGGAGGCCTTCCTTAGATCCAGACAAACCCTCTCCCTTTGACTGATCCAGTAGATCTCTCTGTGCAAAGGGTCGGGGTCCTTACACTGTCCTTATCTCACTTGCATCTCTGTTGAAATCCTGTGGTCCCCTTTCAAAGAGAGCAGAGGACATCTGACACGATTATCAGCGGCTATCATCACTCAGTGTTGTTAAACACACGGTCATGCTCACTTATTGAGTGCTGATTGGGTTAGGATGGCCTTTTCCCCGCTCTGGGTCTGCTGCTAGTTGTGTGCCATCTGCTCGGGTCAGTCTTCCTTGAAAAATCTGAATTTGATTCCCTGAGCCCTCTTCAAACTGTGAGTCAGCATCCAGCATTACTTGAAGGATGTTTATTTCTTTTTTTCCACGGTTCTGGATGCACTTAAAACAATCATGTTCAGCCAAATGGGGCCCCTACTCCACACATGTCTCATACCTATTCCTGGCCAATTTTTGGTGGCCCATGGCACCTCTTAAACCCCAGCTCATTTAAGGAATCGGGCAGAAGAGCATGCAGATGCTCTTCCTGAATATGAAATGTGTCTTGCACACAGAGAGAAAAAGCTGCACAGAATGATGGGATTTTCAGCTCAAGGGAAGCTCCTACCACACTTCCAACACTCCCACATCCCCATTAAAGGTTTTAACTGCAAAGCCTCTGAGGATGATCACAGAGAAAAGAGAGGAAAAATAAAAGTGAGGTGGAGAGAAGGTGAAAAAGGTGCGGGATAAGAAGAAACATGCCGGAGGGTAAAGAGGTGCATAAAGACAAGAGGATGAGGGTGGAGGAAGGAAAGGAGAATAAGGTCAAAGGAGACACATTCAAGTTTTGAAAATCAAAGAAAAATGTGCTCCGGAATAAGAGAAGCAAAGAAAACCCAGATGATGCATCATGAAGTAAACTTCATCTGACAGCTTCCGTTGAACAAACTAGTGCCAGAACCTTGTTCTCCTCTTTTTTGTTCCTTTTTGTCTCTGAACCACCTCTGCTCTCTTCTCCCCACCCTGCATGTGGGAGTTTAATCATATGCATAGAGAAATAATGAAGGGGGAGAGGGAGAGGAAGATGAAGTTTGGGGATCAGGAAAGACTCCTCAATTTAATTCCAAGCAGAGAGACACAGATGGAGATTGATTTGGGGACTCAAACACAGATAGTAGCAGAATGGATGAGGGGAAAATGTGGGAGACAGAGAGCGGAGGAAAGTGAGAGATGGGAGTGGGAAGAAAATGGTTGTGGGGGAGAAAAATGTGGTAGAGTGAAACCAGAGAGTGGGTGATAGGGAGAGAATGAAACAGCAAGTGATAAAACGGGAGGGAGAGGCCTTTTGGCTTGATCCATGCCGAGAAATCAGAGACACTGCTGAGTCATACATTCGCCCCGAGGCTGGCGAGTGCTCTGGTAATTAAAACGCATAGCCAGTCCATAGAGGGGTGTTTAGAGAAGTGTACAGTGATATCTTAAGCCGTAAGTGTGGCTGTAATGACTCCCAACACGTAAACGTTGACCAGCTGAAGTAGTATTTATCGTGTTTTACTTAAGTAACCGTAACACATATTTGATGAGTTATCTGCCCTTGGAGATTACAGTTCAACAAATAGACCAAATACTGAACAAAAATTCATATAGAAATCATCTCTATCTTCAGTGTGTTGTTTCAAACCAACAACCTGTGATGTAGATACAGTTCATCAACACTGGTCACGTAGCTCTCCTCTCTGCTGGGTCTCATCACTCCTCTTCTCTTCTCCTAATCCTGTCCTGTTCCTGCTCTCTTTGACTTTAAACAGCCTCGCAGTTATAAACTTGAGCTCTGTTGCATGCAGATGAATAAAAATATTCCTCCTCTTTATTGAAAAGACCAACGTTAAGATCCATATTTCCATATTAACGCTGAACATCAGTTAAACTACTGCCAGATAGGGCTGTCCCAATACGATATTGATATCGGATATCTGTTGGCCTGCATTTAAAATCTCTGATATCAGCACTCTGATACAAGTGGTCAATTCCAGACTCCACTCCAGCACCTCTAGCTAGCTGCGCCCGGATCCAGCATGATCACAACAACAGTGTGTACTAAGGTACGAACAAAGGAGTAGGAGTGATGTCGGCTGTGTGGGAGAATTTTTCCTTTAAGTCGAAAAAGACATTGCAGCTGAGTTCAAAACTTTTCATGCACAAGTTTGTGCCGATATCGGGTCAATATCTTTATTGGCTGATACTGAAGGCTACAATATTGGTATCGTATCGGAAATAAAAAAAAGTTGTATCGGGACACCCCTGCTGCCAGGTGCTACTTCACTGCAAAATAAAACTTGCAAAAAAGATTCATACATTTAATTGAATAAAAGCATTTAAATCGTTTCTATTCATATAGATAATAACACTCTTTCCATTTGTTTTCCTGAAATCTCCATACGAGCTCCAACTAACCATTGTGAATTGCGTTTATTATCATTGCAGCAAATGCTTTTAGGTTAAGAGCCATTTGTATGAAATGAAATACTGTTTCAGGTATCTTTAGTGGCATTACTTAGCTCTAAGCCTCCCACAGGCAGTTAAGAGCTTAATTCAGCTTCAAACCTAAGCCTGAAATCTGGAAGCTTACATTAGTTTAGAAAAGCATCCTATTAAATCCACTTTTGCACTTTTTGTGTTGTGGGGTTTGCAGTGGCTAAACAAAAGACAACAGCTTTCTCTCTCCTAGACTCTAAGTGTCTCCTAGAACTGCCTCATCTATCTATCACTCCAACATTGGGAGTTAACAAGAGCAACAGGCCAGCAATCGGCGTCCAGGGGAGGAAAGCTGTGAAATGTAAGCTGTTTTGGGACAGGGATGGCTGGTTGTGAGTCATAATTCAGCATAGTTAATATTCAATCTTGAATGTAACGTCCAAGTATCTGACAGACAATCAAGTGGACATTTATTCAACCATCAAGTGTCATGACCCTCAACACCAAGGTCAATATCAAGTGCTGTGTATGTGTGTGTGTGTGTGTGTGTGCCTGTATTTGTGCGTTTGTTTGCGTGTGTGTTCACAGTAACTGAGTCAATGATTAGCTGTGTGAATGTGGGAAGTCATGTTAACTAATGCTGGAGCGCACCATTCAGAGTCTGATTGACACTCATTAACTCCATTTGGGTTAATGAGTGACTGATTAACACGAACCATTCTGAACATGAACCACCAGCGGCTCACTGAGGGAGGGGCTGCGTGGGCCGAGAGACAACAAGAGAGCCATAATTGCGGTCTAATCTTTGATGGATGGCTGGATGGATTCCCCTGCTGTTGAATAACAAACAAAAGAGAACACAGTGTGTGACAGTGGACGCCTCGAGCCACTGGCGCATCATGTTGTGACAAACTTTGTCTTGTTTACGAATCTCGACATGGGTTTATCTCTCAGACTTTTGTAAGCTCAGATGTAATTTTTGTTTTTTGTTCTGTATCAGATTTCTCCAATTACCAAACTGCTTCTATTTAATTAGTCAATTTCTATTAATCATATACAGCTTATCTCCTCAGCTAAAAAAAGAGGTTGGTGTTATGTTAAACAGCAGCAGTACATTTAAGTTTTTAAGCAGTGAAACTTATACAACTAAATACACCTCTGGAGGGTAGAAAACTGAAGCAACAAATCTGAAAGAGCAGATACAAAAGCTAAGAGAAATTGATGGTTTCATTATTATTAAAATAATATCACTTCTCCTCTATAACGTGATTATCAATCCAGAATTCTTGAAAATAATGAATGGAGCTACCACTGATTAGGTGTGGGAGAAAAAATGGATACAGCATAAAGTTGAGATATTTTGTCTGGTGATATGTTGATTTAATTAATTGCTAATATCTACTTAAGTTTTGTTTTGTTTCGTTTTATTTTGAATCCACCATTAGTTACAACGAAATGTGCAGTAACTACTCTTCCTGGGGTCCTCATCTTCTTTTCCATTTTCATTTTGAACTTAATCATGTATGATAATGGAAAAAATGAAACCGATTGTTTGTCCAGTGAGGTTGGCAGAGCTGACATCATATAGCAGGAAAAAGTTAGTATAACAAACATAGCAGCACCTGGGGAAGGACATTAGGAATGCAAGAAGGGCACAAATGAGATGGACATGACACAAGGTTTGCAAGAAGTACGACATGAAAATAAAATATTGCATCAATAAGACAAACATAAGGGAAAGACAAATGCTAAATCAGCTAAACAGTTCAAAAAAATGTACAAATCGAAATATATTGTATCGCAATACTTACAGTATCACAAAATGTTTAAAATCGCAATAATATCGAATCGTGGCCCAAGTATCGTGATAATATCGTATCGTAGGGCCACTAGTGATTTCCCACCCCCACCACTGATTCACCTGATACAGCCCAGGGTTGGACTGAGAGGATGACTGGTGAGAGATGGATAGATATATTGGTCTTGTAACAGTCTAATTTCAGACTATTTTTAACCAGCTTCACAGGCGCTCTGAACACACTGAAACTGATACAAATGACTTTGTAGAAGCTAAGTAAACCAGACCATCAGCAACAAGACTGACTTCACCCACAGAAGTGTTTTAAAAACATGTTGGCACTGCCACCAAGTTGGTATCAAGTGAGACTAATAACAGTAGAGTTCTGAAACAGCCTTTTGTTTTCTAATCAGGAAACATCACTCTCACTTATACAGCACAAAGAACAAAGATATAAGACATAATTCTTTGCCTGGATTGACCAAAAAAAAGAAAAGTTCCTCCAGGAAACCTTGACTTTTCATGCCTGCAAACATAAATGAGGTCAACTTGAACTCAAACACAAAACCATGGAACAGCTGCAGGGAGAAATGAGTGCTATCTTTACTTTCTTCTAAGTGTCAGTGCACTATATAACTGATCCAGGAGGTATTTAAATCCACTTAATGTATTTAAGTACAGATAAAGGTCCACAACAGTTAGACAAGTCTTCTTTAAAAGACACACTGTTTTAATCCACTTTCACTCCTATTTCTGTTCTTCTCTTTATTAACATTTGTATTTTCAAGAGCAAGTGTAATGACCAAACTCCCCCCTGAATAGATAGTTTTCTGATTCCGATTTTTAAGCGGTTCCCTTCACAGTCCATAAACCAGCACTCTAAGTCAGCTCTTTTCTCCCTTTTTAAATGATGTACTTTATGAGGTAATAGAACTCCTGCAATAATTCCTGCTGTATAACATATAAAGTGATTTAAAAAGTCAGTCATTTATCACACACTTTGAAGCTGCCAGGAGCACTAAGTTCATCTCAAAGAGCAAAGTCTTTAATCCATCAGTGCAGGCTGACATGGGGGGGAGTTCACTCTGCTGGTTCATCCAGACGCTCTGCCCATTGAGACCTTAGTCACAATATACAACTCTGCTTCTGAAAACAACCAATCAAATAAGCGTCTCTTCAAGAAATAAGTCCACTTGTCTTTATTTGACTTAGTGTGACAAGATGCGGTGTTTGGGCGGAGGCCTCTTTGAAAGTATGTTTGAACACTTTTGTGTTTATGTGTATTTGCTACACTTGTGTGACATGTTGACCCCCAGTCCGGCCCTGCTGAGTGCCTCACATCCATCAGAAAATAATTACACATTTGTACCCCGGCGCACTCACCCTGACATATTTACGGTGACTTCAGAACTGGAACATGCGCACGTACCCAAATACACGCCAGTGTTTACAGCATATTTGACACTCAGCAGGTCCTCCTCTGTCGTTAGAGCTTAGCTTTACGTGAGGACACTAACTCAAGACTTGCTTAAACTTTAAGACAGCAGGACTGGGACTGTTTCTTGTCTTGTCTCTGCCTCTCCTCAGCTTGCCACCATCAAAGGGGAGAGGTAAACTTTGCTATGTACTGCAGAATCAAGAGAGAGAAATGTAACCAGCTTCTCAGTTGCAGTTATTCAATAATAAAGAAACAAATTCTTTCTTGTTTTTGCAAAATAAGGATTTTTTCTGAACCACAGCCTAACTGCTGCTCTTCCATGTTCCAGCTAATAACTACAAAAAGTGTTTGAATATCTTTGACAACTTTATGAACAATGTAGTGAAACTTTTTTTTCTTTTTTAAGGATGTTCAATCCAGTTAGGCTTAGTTTTCTAAAACTTTTTTTTAGCTGTCATTTTCTTCAGCACCATTTTCTTTTAGTTAAATCTGTCTTTGTTGTGCTGCTCGTTGTACTTGCTTATCTGTACGTCCTTTTACAAAAGGTGCTTTTTTTCTGAGCTGAAATCTGCAAAAGATACGAGCTTCAAGTCAAGGAAAGGTCAGGTAGTAACTACAAATCAATGTTAGTTCAACTGTAATAGCCTCAAGTATTTTGTGTAACGCATGGCTGGCGATTGGGAGATCATGAGCACACTACTGAGGTGTTCTGAACTTTATAATGGGTACTAAATTATCCTCTGTGGCTAACCCCATCCTCCAGGCACTTAAACAGGCCATAAAAGGATTTGCAATCACTGTTGAAGTGAGTGGTTGTACATTAACATGAGCCACTTTACATTTTCCCTCCCTCACCACTTTCCCTTTCTCCTCTGTCATCGCTCCTTCTCCTCGCTTGTCTGTTTCCGATCACTTTTCCCTCTCTTTTGTTCCCCACTCCTACCTGCACCCAGTTGCAGTGAACTGGCTGCATGTGAAGCACAGCCATCACCCCGTCCCGCTGAATGGGCTGACTAGGCATGTGAATGAGTGATTTGGCTGGGTGGCTGCCTGCAGAAGGTGTGTGTGTATGTGTGTATCTGTGTGTGTGTGTGTGTGTGTGTGTGTGTGTATGTCTGCATCTCTGGGGGCTCCTGTGATGACGCACGAAGTGACGAGGGGAATGCTGGGGGTGGAGACGGGGGGGGGCCGGAGGAGGGAGGGGGAGGCGCAGTCAACTCGCTAAGCTCTTTGTTTCCCCTGCACCTCGACTTGCCACGCCATTGCTCTCAAACACTCCCTTCTTTCACGGGGGGATCAAACTGTACGGTAAGGTGCAGCTGAGCAGTACAGTACAACATGAGCACATGTGTGTGCCTGTCAATCTAGAGACATCATTCACCCACCCACTCTTGTGCTTTGAGAGGGGAAAATCTCAGGTGCCTGGTTTCTTGTTTTACAGAAATTCTCAGAAGCACAGAGAATCACAATCTCACTTTCACATATCAATCATTCATAAGACAAACAAAAACAGATTTGCAAATGTGACGTCTTTTTTTTTTGTAACAGCCTCTGAGCAGATGGAAATTCAAAGACAGAGGGGTGGGTGATTTACAGCAGAGGACCAAAAGTTAGGCTTGAATTGAGGTCACCCAAAACATAGATAAGTCTAAATGCACATAAACACACTCTACATACATGCACACACACATATACAAACAACACAGTCCTACAGTGGTACCACTACGTTTTGTCGAAGTTTGCACAAGCTATTATAAAAGTACGAGTATTTTGATAATGGACAACACAGGAGGACGGCGTCCTTCTCTGTTTTTGTGTGTGTGTGTGTGCATGTGTGTGAGGCTCGCTGCTGTGGTCAAGGCTGTGTTACTTATGGAAATGTACTCAGTGTTCAGTAGGAGGTGTTAACATGTGTGCTGGACTCAATGAGGCTCTTTGTTCATTCCTCTCACCCTGCTCCTTTCAACTTCCCTCACACCCCTTCCCCTCTTTTCTCTCTCCCTCTCTCTGGTTAGAGTTCAAACCTTGACCACATGTCCCCTCTCTTCATGTGCGTGCGCTGTCTTACAGATTACCTGACGTGTGGGTGAATGAGACCGAGCGATCCCAGCTGAAGACTAAAGTGGTGCACTTGTCCCAGTTACCACAGGACACAGCCATGCTGCTTGACCCCAACATCTATAGGTGAGCATGTGATGATGATGATGATGATGATGATGATGATGATGATGATGATGATGATGATGATGATGCCACACAGACTCACAAACACACTAATGCACATCAATTTGTCCTCAGACAAACACAATCAGTGCATGTGTCACTATCATTTAATCTTCAGTAGAATAATAGTGTAAATTTCCTAAGTGCTGTAGGTGTTTGTGAGTGTTTACCCCTCCCCTCCACTCCTTTGTTTGTGTGTGTATGTGTCTGTGGAGCATCAGTATCGCTTTGTTCCACCAGGGGGCAGCAACCCCTGCCTTCAACTATCAGGTTAAAGTCAAGTGATGGAAAGGATGTCATTCATGTACAGGAGCAAAATATGGTCTTATTTGATAGAAATGTTCAGCCGTGGAAATGAAGGAGCCTGAAATTTAAAGAGTTGAGCTTTTTGCTTCAGCTAGATTTCAGTTATCAAAGCTTCTTAACTGATCAGTGAAGAAACAACAGATTGAAAATGAGGAAGTGATGTATTCAAATCCCATTTAAATACAACAAGTAACATTTTTAAACTCTGAAATATTGAATATAAATGTGACTGAACAGCCCGTTCCTTCAGTCATGAAGTGCTCCCCGTTCTATAAAACATTATCTATATTTTATTATAGATTCTCATCTGCAGACCTGCCAGACTCGGGACACCAGTCACTGAGATAAAAAAGAATCTTTTCTTTCAAGTACATCACAAAAGGCTGAAAATGTACCTTTAAAGAGGAGCCTAAAATAACTGATTGGTCTTTCTACCAGAGATATATAGCTCACAAGTGAGCTGATCAGCTCTCAGGCTGGCTGATTTTAATTGAACTCGAAGGCTCAGTAACTGTAGGGGCTGCTGCTGGACTCCGGTTTCACAGTGAATATAGCCGTCAGCACTCAGCCAGTTTATGTCAAGGTTGTCCTAACGCATGAAATCCCCTCCAAACAAATTAGGTAGCAGGTTCCTGTTGCAGTATATACAGACACAGACACGTACTTAAGCACCTTAAACAGGATGGGCTGAAGGGGGGGTTTACGGGGCTGTTCAGAAATGTATATCACCTATGTTTCTATATGTTGTGGTAATGTTTTATCACACATTATACAGGAAAGAACAGATCCTGCACAGAACACACATTAAAGACGTGCCTGCGAAGTGTCCTGACTTTTCCATCTTTTCTATATTTACAGAGCTCTTCCACAGAAGCGGCTGAAGCGCAGGTAAGATGGGGCAGCTCACCGGGTGACTGTTTCAAATACTGATGCAATTTTGCTAATTTGCACTTAAATATACTTTTAGATATCTTTAAATCTGACACATACCCACACAGTACCTTGGAAAAAAACTGTCCTATTACACTCAAACCTTGTTTTAATTAAAGAGAAACCAGAATATTACAGAATTACACACTGTGTTGTATAAATACACATAAAGTGATATTGCTTCAGCAAATATTCATGAGAATGTTGTCTATTTATAGCTATACTTTCAAGATACATATACTTCACCTTCTAGGTATCGTTATATTTCAAAAATAGTTTGATGCTTTCACATGGGACTAAACCTAATGCCTTGTTAACCTCTGATATGCATGAAATTAAAGTTAAATATGTTCTGTGGAGGGCAATATTGTAGAAAAGGGCCACATTAATGCATTAAATTGCAGCATTTTATAAATAGTAGATGACTTTGTAGACATGACAAATGAGACTTCTGGGATAAATAAAGCTATTCTTATTCTTATTCTTAAAAGAGTTTCTAATCAACATCCCTGCCAGTCTTAAGAAGCTCACGGTGATTTTTGTCTCTATGAGGCTGTATTTTTACTTGTTAGCTCATCTATCAGGCCTCATATCTGCGTACTGCAGTGTGAGACACTTTCCAAACTTCCCTGTTCCTTGTGCTGTAATTCAGATCAAGCTGCAGATGCCTTGATGCTATAGTAATGTTTGTGCTTCTGCTGTATAACCCTTGGCCCTGGCTCTCCCATGGTGAGACATCATAGTAGGTGATTACTCAGCGCCAACGGTGTCACTGTTTCATATGAACCATGAAGCCAGTTAATTGGAAAACTGGCCCTCTTGGAGCCACAATCCTTGGCCTTTTCTAGCCTCATGAGGTCATCTTTGGATGCTCTTCATTATTCCTCTAATTGAAATCAGTGGTTTAGTGCCGTAAAAACTTTGAAATACACCGTGTAATGTGTCCGCAAAGGAAGTCAGCGCAATGTCTGAACAGCCAGTTTCTCAAACCTTAATCTCTCCTATGACACGCTGTGAACATCTCATTCTCCCTGTCTTTTTCTCCTGTCTTTGTGCTCAGCCTGTAAGGACTCATCTGTGGAATTGATACTTAAGGGGGAAGGCTTGTTCATAGGAAGTTTATCTATATAGGATGGGACGCTCTTCATCTGTCTCTGCTGAACACGGGGATTGAAGTGGCGATAAAAGGAAGTATAACTTGGCAGTGCTGCAGTTCTTCTTTTTTTCCCTTTTCAATTTTGTATATCTTAAATGACTGTTGTAGCCAAGGGCAGCATAACAGGGGACAACACTTTTAAGTGTTCAACTTTTTTTGTAAAAGTTTGTGTTCATCAACAACTCAAATGAATGTGTTGTTTTTCTTTCTTTTTTTAAAAAAAAGAAACAGAAGAGGAAAAAAAACAAACTTCATACCTGATGGTGTAAAAAAACGGTTTTGTGTAATCTTGTCAGAAAAGCAGCAAGTTTTGTAAGTGTATTGTGTAAAATATTTATGCAGATTTTTAACTTATTTTTATACCATTGTGTACTGTGGGGGTTGTGAAGGTTTAAATAAAGCCGCATTTACTGTGATGATAATCTATGTAACTGTCAGTTTGGGATATTCGGACATTTCTAGTTGTAATTATGTTGTACATGGCATAAATCTGAACAGATAATCCTATTTATACTCACCTGTGTGTTCGATAATGAGTGGAGTACAGGAGCAATAACTCAGTAGTTAAGGACACTATAGAGTGCAGCTCTTAATCTGACCAGTCAAAGACAGGACAGTATACACTTGGTGTAAAACCATGCCAACTCAACCCCACACCCCTCTTTATGAACTATGAACTGTGTTTAACATAGTTGTTATGATAACCTTGCATTATTGCTTTTTTATTGTTGAAAAAGTGTGTTTTCTACTGTATGATGTCTCTGTTGAAAACGGGATACTGTGTTTGTAATAAAAAGGGGGAAACAATGACAGATGTAACCTGTTTGTACAGATGAGAAACGGAGGTGGTGAGGAGGCTCAAAGCAATATTGCATCCATTGTGGTCTGAATTTTGAGTTCCTTGTGCGTGTGTTGGAGTTCCTGCATGAATAATTTGGCGTCCATTAGCAGAGCAGCTTTGGGAGCATGCTGTGGAGGAGCTAATGACTGGGCCGGGAGGGCAGAGCCCCCGCTGGCCTCAGCTGTTAGTGAACATGCCTGCAGAAAAAACGGAGTTCAGGGTGAGGTCTGCTACAATGTGGCTGCCCTGCCCTTCAGTGTCTTCTACTCTCACACATACAAAATTCATAGGGAATTAGGACTCCTGCATGAGGCATAATGAGGCCTTCAGGTGTAGCTCAGTTAATTTGTGGGGGAAAAAAAGCACTTGGAGTTTTTGACACTCCGTTGTTTTTGGGTGCTTTTGCGTATCTTCAGTGGTCTGTGACTGCTCATAGAAAAGAGAAGAGATGACTGCGAGATATGCAATCAAAACACTCTGTAGTCACTACAATAACTGAGCCCACCACCAGCCCAACTTACACTCAAGTAGACTGTGTGTGGTTTTAAATATCTGAGTGAGGACAATTTTTTTTTTTTAGAAAGTACACTTTTCATAACTTAAAACTGTCTTTCTCAATCTCACCTTTTTTTCTGACATTTGCAAATCTCTCTTTATCTTTTACATTTTTTTCTTCTGACATTTGCAAAGTGACAAAGTTTTTCAATGGTTGTGAGAAACGGTGTTTAGTCCCCACATGCTCTTTTTGAATTGTGCAAAATACATGTAACCACTCGCTTCCTATGCTTGCAGTTTGTTAACCCAATTGTAAGACTAATCACGGCATCACTGATTTAAAGCCATTTGTGAGCAGGAAGTTCTCGGTGATAAGCATGTACTGTGACAGTTGAATAGACCTATCAGTTCTTTCTCGCAGTGAGTAAATAACATTCCCACAGTTCTGTCGACAATTCTCAACTCATAAATCACCGACCATTTGGCTGTGACAGAGTTAGAGATAATCTTATAAATAGAAAGTGGGCCATATCTGCAGAGTTTTCTGCAATAATCAATATTTCTCAGAGGACCAGACTAAACAGTACTTTGGGCACAAGCATTAAAATAAATTACAAGGATTTTATCCAAATTTAACTCAATATATTATTCAATGACTGCAGTCTCAAAATTATTCAACCCCTGAGGCGCACAGATGGCCGAGTGGGTTAACACGCCCCATGTATAGGGACCCCTATACATGGAGTCCGGCCCCTACCATGTGCTGCATGTCCTCCCCCCTCTCTCTCTCTCTCTATCTCCCCACATTTCACTCTGTACTATCAATAAAAAAACAAAATCACCCAAAAAATACTTAAAAAAAAATGTATTCAATCCCCTCAATAGAATTCCTCATACATGCACACGTTTGCAAATCAGGTGTCGTCTCACGCACATCTGATGATCGGGTGTGCTTGAGAAAGAGCACCTTAAATACTTGGACTGTTGGTGGTGATGTTTGATTGCATGTAAGTCAGGAGAATTGTCCAAAAAAAAAGTCAGAGAACAAACTATTGCCTTGAAAAACTAAGAAAAAGGTCTCAAAAAGAGAGAAAATGTTCCTCAAGGAACAGTTGGAAGCATAGTTGGCAGTTTTCAAGATAGAGGAACAGTTGCTGGACATGGCAGACAGTGAAAGCGATCAACGGCTGCCACCAGAGTCCTGAGGGGGCAGGTGGTCAAAATTCACCACTACCAACCCAAAGGTACGAGAAACGTTGGCTCCAATTTGCTCAGAACTATATAAATAAGCTAAAGAAGTTGTGGGATCCTGTTTTTTGGAGCAACGAAATAAAACTTGAACTTTTCGGGCTTATGGATCAACGGTATCTGGAGGAGGAGAAACGAAGCTGGTGTTGAGAAGAACACCCCGACTACAGTGGAGCTTGGCGGTGGCTCAGTGATGCTCTGGGACTGGAAACCTGCAGTGTGTGGAGGGCAAGATGTGGAACTCCCAGCAAGACCTTGATCCTAAGCATACCTCAAATCCACCAAGGCTTGGTTTCAGAAGAAGTCCTGGGAGATAAAAGAGTGGCCATCAAAGTCGCCTGGCTTGGAAAAAAAGCTGGTTACAAAATATCACTGAACTGGAGGCCTTTGCTCATGAGGAATGGACTCAGATTCCTCAGGAATGCTGCTAGAAGCTGGTGTCTGGCTATGCATCATGTTTGCAGCAAAATGGTGCTCTACTAAGATCTAAAGATGCTTTTCATGAAGGCGTTATATAATTTTGAGACTGCAGTAGACATTAAAAGTGGACTTTTGTGTTCAATTTGAAAAAAACAACACTGAATATTAGTTGTGTTGAGCTGTTTGAGTTGTTCTTGTTTGATTTATTTATTACAAACAGTTTGTACAATTTGTGAATAAATCGTTTCAATGAAGGTTCAATAATTTTGATTGCAACTGTATGTGATATTCTGCTGGATTTGCTTTTTTATACTAACAACCTTTCCTTAGTAGACGTAGTAGACCCTGTTCTTCATGTTTTACACTGTTATGAGAAACTCCAAGGCTGTAAATCACACTGTAGTGATTTACATTGTTAATATTGGTAACACTTTATTTACATCATCCAACTTTATAAGCAGATTAAAGTCTAACGATCTCTTCTATTGGATTTGATCTCCATGTTTTATAAGTCTCATCCTTCTTTAGCACATTGTTTTTCCAATATTTTCCTCAAGTGGTTATACGCAGGATGTTTATCACATTGTTACCAAGGTTTGTCCTAACCATGACTTCAGGAGTGACATCATTTGGAGTGCAGAGAATGATTGATGGAGAGACTGGCAGGAAGATATAGAGAGCGGACAGCAGCTCTGCCTGCACACAACCTAATCCTGGCTCAGCTTGTCTGCTCATGAAGGAAACGCTGGGATGCTACCCTAAAGTGACGTCTGTTCACTCAACCCATGAGATAAGTCTTCTTCCTTCATCTCCTCACACACACCCACTATGAGCCAATCCAATAGCCTTTATATCTCCACTCAGATACCCCTGATAAACTGTTTTTGTTTTGGATTAATCACAGCGTGTCTGCAGATGGGAACTTATTGATGTCATATTCTTTACTATTAATCTTCATTACACCAAGAGTGGAAGCACATTCAGTACTGTGACATGTGAACCTCATTTAGTTCCTCCATTTTTCATATGTGACAATGTGTCTGCGAGTGTCTTCCAGTTTCACCGGCTCTTCGGTTCTGCTGCTCCAACATAAATTTCCTCCATCCTCCGCAGCTCTTTTAACTCATTCTTTAATCATCCATACAAGTTTCTCATTGTGCATGAAAGTCTTCTCTTTGCTCTCGCTACATGCACTGCCGTCTCAGAAACGAACAAAGGCATTACACTGAAAACAAAAGCCTTAAGCGGCAGCTCTAAATCCTGAACCAGAATTGTTTTACTTCACTGCTGCACATATTTCTGAAGAGGAAGTGGTCAGAGAAGGAAAGGAGGAAGGCTTGCTCTGTGAGTAGTTTTCCTTTACAGGCTGATTTATTATTGTGGCCTACTAAGGGCTGCGAACACCTTAAAGGATTTGTGACCAAATATCACCATTTATCATCTCACTTCATTCTTCATTGTGTTATATTCTACAAAACTCATTTACTTTAGCAAATTTAAGCTTCTGCCTCGTGCATTTCTTTCGTCTTCATCAGTTGTAATCTAGAGTTCATATTAGGTTAACTTGTTCATTTGCATTATGTAAAAACAGTCCATATAAGGAGGTCTTGCAGTGAGCTCGAGTGAGTTGGTAAGTGAGCAGAAATGAGGGCAGCTGCAGGAGCATTTGTAAATCTCCTCGCTCTCTCTCTTCATTGCTATGATCCTAATTGGCTCTCTGTCGTGTTTATATATTTTTTCTTTTTTGTGGCTACAGCATGAAGGCCTAATAGTCTTTTTATTGAGTGACTTCTCGATGACTGTGTTTCTCTTTTAAGTCTATTTGAGATGCTCGAAGTCTGTGTTTTGACATAACTGTCTGTCCGTATCCTCATCTGTTTGTGCAGTGCACTGTGATGGCTATTCATGTGAGCACTGTCCACTGCTACAGTTTGACAGCTTTGGATCTCTCCATATGTGCACATTGAATGGAGGAATGGTCAATAATCTATCGTTCAATGGCTGTAGATGTTCAATGTATCTTCTCCCCCAACACAAAGACACAATCTTGTCTTATGCTGATGTTTAGTTTGCCGTCTCCCACATTACCTTGCATGGTGGCCTTTCCTTTTGTTTAGCTGTAATTTTGAGAAGCAGTGTGCAGTTTTTTTCTTTCAGGGACTATCAAGTTAACCATCCCTGTTGACAGGTTCTCAAAACATTTGTAGAATTTGTTCTCAGGTAACTAGATCACCAGCATGAGAGGTGTTCAGGTTTTCTGTTTATAGTTTGTTTGTGGTCTGAATAGTATTATATGTCATTCATGAAGCTGCAGGTCTTGGTGTGTGCGGGAAAAGCGAACCACGAGGATGCAAAGGCAGGTGTCAACACACATTGCTAAAATAATATGTCCTATCTTCATGCAAGTGCAGCAAATAATGCCGAATTAAATCCCAAAAGTTGTTAAAGTGGGTCTGGGGACATTGCACTACAAAACAAACATGACTCTGTAGTGGATAGCTCTTCACTACCAAAAAAAACCCAATAACAACAACATATACAATCTCATGATTATGGAAAGTTCAGGGACTCTTGTGTGAATGTTTATTACGTTTTCTCTCAACATTTCTCCTCTATTTTGCTAATCTAGGACACAACACTGCTGGAGCCTGTATTTGTGGACAAAGCTGTCAATCATGATGTGATATTTGCCCTTTTTAAAACGAGAAAAATAAAACTTCACTTGTCCAAAAAAAAAAAAAAAACCGACATGTGATAATAAATCAGCATAATACAAACAAAAGACTTTAATGACCGAAACCATGTTTGAGAAAAATGACCTTAATATGCAATTTTTTAGTTTCGCCTCCATCCGATCTGTTATCATGATCAAACTTTATGACTTGTAGTGCAGCCAGTCATCAGGTGAAGCTCCTACTCTGTGAAAGCATGTTGCTGAAATCAAATATAAACTGAGCACATAGTTTCTATTTACCATTAAAATTTCCGTCTTTTTATGTTTTCTTTCCATTATTTTCAGATAAGAAAAGGTCCACTATTTAAAAACCATCACATTATATTTTAGTAAACGTTTCACACAGCACGCTGACTTTATGGACATGGGTTTGTAAATCAAAATATCTCAAGTTGAGCATAAAATCTGCTTGAGGCAGTACTGAAAAAGCCAATAAGTGTTAGATTTCCGGACTACCTTATATGCATCAGAAAGGATTGATCTAACCTCACTTCAAGGGCTGTGAGGACAGACCTGATAAAGTCGACATTTTTTCCTTTAACAAATCTTAATCACAGTATTATTTTAATATTCTTGAAATCATGAATGTTCTGCAAATTACAAGTAAATATGTATATTTTTTTTTCAGGCTCATTCCTCTCAAATCAGCCAGATTAAACCCTCTAAACAAGTTATTGTGAACCATTAAACTGACACCAACTCAAAACAGTTGAACTGGCAGAATTCAAAATAATGAAATGAACAAAAAACAAAAGCATTTACATTTCAGGCGTTGGAGAGTTTCTTCCTTGTGCTTATTTTATGCTAAGCTTGGCTAACTCACTCCTGATTGGAGGGTTATTACTCATCCTAAGACAAGAGTGGAAGTTTTAAAGCTTTCATCTTATCCGGACACGCAAATTGCTCCCCAAATTGTCAGCTTTTGCTTTTATTGAACTGTATGCTTGTCATATCCTTTTTTTTTTTTTTTGACTGGCCAGTCCCAGGGTGGCACATTTATGATCCCTCTGAGCAGTCAGTCAGTTAGACCCAGTTGACATCGTGCAAACAGCACAGTACGACCCTCAGGAGGGGGATAGTCAGTGTGCTGCGGTTATGTAAGTCGTCATTTCAGTTGATGTGAGAGCATTAGAAAGATCTGCATTAATGAGTTCATATCATGCTCTGTTATTGTGCTGGCCCAACACTCATTCACCGTTGGTTCAATATTGGGGCTCTTGATGGCCCTCCCACTGTTCACCTTGCATCACGTTTTCTTGCCACTCTGCTGCAGAAAAAGTCAGCTGAAGAATTCAAGTCTTATTTGATCCATACTGTGTTATCAGTGCCAGAGGCCAAGAAGCAACATTGAGAAGTGCAAGAAAGCGTTAGAAGTTTTGGGAGTTCTGGTCTGAGTTTGGATCTGTTTTAAAAATACGCTGACATTTCTTACAATATCTTGTTTCCCATGCTTTTATTCTTGGTTTTTGACCAGGCTAAGGGAGGACCTGGATGAATTAGATCAAGCATGTGGATAAGACTGTACACCCTCCAGCTGGTGATCATCATACAATATATTATTATCAATATAAACATAAAAGGACAGGGCTACACTTCCTGACCAACTGTGGTTCATGACTCTGACCTCTGCGTACGATTTATCTCCTTGACATTTATTTTCCATCAGTAAGTCATCTGTAAATCAGAGGGTTTTACAGTTTTGTAGTAAATACATCAATATGAGAATTAATTAACATTTTAAGAATTTATTTCAGTTTATAAAAAGTACAGAAACAATTTATGAAAACTGATTTTAAAGACCCAAGGGGAGAAACATTCCTGATTCCAGGCCAACAGGAGCATCTTTTATTCTAGAAAACTCTTTAGTCCTCAAAGTTTTGACACTGCATTTTAATTGAGGCTGGCTGACTTGCTGATTCATGAAGGTCAAGGCAAGTGGACTGGATGATAGGGATTGCAGCACGGTGTGCAGATGACAGATGCAGAAATAAATGGTAAAGGCTGTTTTCTGCGTTCTGAACGTGTGCCCTGGGGAGGACCAGTTAGTGAAGGCACATTAGCCATGCCTAGCATGGGCTCCCCTTTTACCACATGTGAAATAGAACATCTCAATCCTTGAGGTTTTGTGCTATAATGTATCTCCCGTGCATACATCTCTGGAGGATGGAGGTTGTGTATGATTGGGGTCAACATATGGAAATAATGTCATGCTTCTTGTCTGCCTTCTTACCAATTCCCTTGTCAGGTTTCTTTAGATCATCCTCAGCCTCAGACGAAGTGAAAGCTGCTCTTCAGTTCTTGTTAGATATGGCTGTAATGGCTTTTCCTCTTGCTCTTAACCGTGCTCATGTTT